GGCCTTTAGAGGGCTGCTCTGGGCACTTTTGAGACGGCCAAGATCGAATTTTGAACGACTGCTAAAGGGGTATCCTTGAAACCACTTTAAGTTTCCAGAAAGCCGCCGTTCAAAATTTGCATCGCTACGCGTACTTGCGCCCAATTGCGGACATGTCTCGCCTCTCAGCCAACCAGACAATTCTGGACACTATGAGAGGTGTTCATGAATCAAATCAGAAACTGGCCCGGGGTGCTGAACCGCAAGGTTGTGATCCCCACCGGCAATGATTTCTAAGCGTGCATTCGGTATGCGACTTAATAGTTCCTCACCCACCGCGACAGGGCTAATGGGGTCCGAATCCCCCCAAATCAATAGCGTCAGGGCTGCTATGCCCTCAACAGGAAGAGGTGCCGTTGCATTTTTCTCAGTAATCCAACGGGCGGTATGGGGAAAGGTCTTGAGATAGCTTTTCCTCCAATCCGTGGCGCCGAGGTTTGCCATTTCTAACCCGGCAGAGGTAGCCGTTAACACCAGGCGTCGCACAGAGTCAGGTCTTTCAATAGCAATTCTTGCGGCCACAACACCACCCATCGACTGGGCAATCAGATCTACCGGGTTGTCAATCTCAGTTTCGACCAACGAAACCAGATCATCTACGCTGTTGATGTGTGAGACGGCGGGTTGATCACCCAGTCCTGGCCAACTGAATAAAAAATTTGACTCTGTCTCAGGTAAGCGCGAAGCCACTGGTTCCCAAAAAGTCGCGGCCCCTCCGGCACCTGGCAAGAATAATTTTTTTTTCATTCCAAAATGCTGAATTGGCTGATCAGGAAGCAAGGTCGATGAAACGTTCTGACTACGCAAGCCGCACGAATCAGAGGCAAGGGCGAGTCACGGTATTTATTTTTCGAACCATTTCAGACTCAACAGAGCTCCCGCGTCTACCTCAAGGCGAAATGCGTAATTTGGGTTAGAACGATAAACAAACTGTCACTGCTCCTTTTCAAAATCACACAAGCCAACCCCACCCTGCTGGGTGACATCATTGATAGCTTTATCGGCGTTGTTGTGCGACCTGAACTGTCCTTTAAGCGAGACTCTATCGGTGCATGGCTTGATTCCAGCGTGGGGGTCGCTCGTTGTCCTGTGGATACGGATGATGCTGATGACCTGATTTGGATGCCTAGCGCACCAGTTTATTGAGCACCTGGCGAACTTCTTTCGCCCACTGTGCGGAAACTGTCTTACCTGCCGGCAGGTTGGTCGAGCGGCGACGATAGACAACCTGGCCGTCGCCATCGACCACCAGCAACCCGGGAATGAAGTTGATGCTGTACGCCTCGCCGATGGCATCCGCATCCGCAATGGCATACATCGGAAAGTCGAGAGAGTCGACGTACGCCTTGGGATCACCGCGGCCACGTTCTTTGGAATTCAGCGTCACAATCTGCACCCCGGCGTCTGCGTACTCTGCCTGTATATCTTTTGCGTAGGGCATAAACGCTTTGCAGTACGGGCACCAGGTCGCCCAGAACACAACAACTGCTGGCTTGCCTGCCAGTAAGGCAGGAAACTCAACGGTTTTGCCGTTCACAAGATTGGTGCCGACAAATGGGGGCGCAGTGTCACCTGGACCTACGGCGTATGTGGTTGAAAAAGGCGCCAGCAAGGCGATGGTGATGAAGAGGCGAGCTAAATATGTCATCTCAGCAGCTTAATCGCAGCTGCTGCCAAATGCTAACGCGTGTGGGGCTAGAGTTTGGACTCGCTTTTTAAGCGGGAGATGGCCTGCCAGGCTTTTTTGAAAGTCGGTACCGCGGTTTCTATCTGATGTCGCCGTCGAATCGCTTTCAAATCCACAGGTTGTTGCCGGTCGGCATTTCTGGTGGTGCAGTTCGATGGGTCCAGTTCAAACGCCTGAATCACGGCAGCGGGATCTTTGCCTTCTTCCAACTGGGCCAGGCGAGCAACCAGCAGCGATGCGGATAGCTCTGCGTCGAATTTGTCTGCGTAAGGCCCCAGCATCATGTCCTCGCGGGTGCGGAAATACCAACCTTCTTTGGTTTCCACAAAACGTGCAGTGCGCACAAGCCCGGGAATGCGCTGTTCTTGTTCTCTGTCTTTTTTACGGAGATCCATGCTGTTTCAGATCCGTCTGTCACTGGTTCATAAAAATGTTTGCTGCAGAAGCTGCAGGTAAAATGTGGCGTGTTTTTTTCTGCCGCCCGATGTCTATCTTAATCGTCTGAAGATTACGGCAATGGTCCTGGCGCGCATTTTTTGACTGTTCGCGCAGTGAATTGAGCGCTGGTTCACAACTTCGCGCGGGCAGCTGCTGACCCGGGTATACTTCGGTCAAGTTTGAAAATGGAAAAGTCGATGTATGGTTTTGTCTTACGTGTACTGATGAATATCGCCGGGCTGTGGCTGGCCACTGTCCTTATTTCAGGCATTACGGCGGACACCACAGCGGCCCTGGTATGGGCAGCCATCTCACTGGGGTTGGTCAATGCGTTCATCCGGCCGCTGGTATTTTTCCTGACTCTGCCGGTGACGCTGCTGACGCTGGGCATCTTCATCTTGTTCATAAACGCGGCGATGCTGAACCTTGCCGCCTGGTTCGTGACGGGTTTTGACGTCGTTGGTGTGATTGATGCTCTGCTGGGCGCGATTCTGGTCAGCCTGGTCAGCTGGGTTGGGTCTGCGTTTGTTGGCGACAACGGACGATATCGAGTCATGGTTATAGAGCGAAGAAGCCGTGATTAGTGCATAAATGGCCTGGGTGCGAATCACTTATAACTCCATTACCTAATCGAAGTTGTTTTAAGCAACGTGACAGGTAGAATCTCGCCGCTTTGCCAGAATAAATATTTGTCTAGGGGGACTGCATGCATATAGGTGTGCCAAAGGAAACTTGGCCCGGTGAACTGCGCGTTGCGCTGGTGCCGCTGAACGCAAAGAAACTCATTGGCCTGGGTTTCACAATCACGCTCGAAAGTGGCGCAGGAGCTGCTGCGGGTTTTCTCGATTCCGCCTACGAGGAAGTGGGTGTTCAGATTTCCGCCGACCACAATCAGGTCCTGTCTGGTGCCGACCTTATTTTTCGGGTGCGCAAACCGTCCCTGGCCGAAGTGGAACATCATAAGACGGGTGCCATCAGCATCAGCTTCTTAGACCCCTTCAATGAAAAAGAACTGGTGGAATCCCTGGCCAGCCACGGTGTGGTGAGCATCTCCATGGAGATGATTCCCCGCAGCACCCGCGCGCAGAAGATGGATGCGCTGTCTTCTCAGGCTAACCTTGCGGGTTATGTCACCGTGATTCTGGCCGCGATGCATTGTCCTAAAATTATGCCGATGATGATGACACCTGCGGGCACAATTGCGCCGGCGCGCGTATTTGTCATTGGTGCCGGGGTGGCGGGTTTGCAGGCCATCGCCACAGCAAAACGTCTGGGCGCTCGTGTGGAAGCCTTTGACACACGTCCGGTTGTTGCTGAACAGGTGCAGTCGCTGGGTGCAAAGTTTGTTGAAATTGATCTGGGTGAGGTAGGGCAGACCGATCAGGGCTACGCTAAAGAACTGACCCCGGAGCAAATTGAGCTGCAACGCGAAGGTCAGAAAAAGGTGATTGCGCAAAGCGATGTGGTGATCACCACAGCTCAGCTGTTCGGACGCCCAGCACCGGTTATTGTCAGCCGGGATATGGTTGAAGCCATGAAACCTGGCAGCGTAGTCGTAGATATGGCGGTTGAAACCGGCGGTAATGTCGAAGGCTCGGTGTTAAACGAAGTGGTCGACATTAATGGCGTCAAAGTCATTGGCATGGGCAACCTGCCCAGCGAAGTGGCGCGTAACGCCAGCGAAATGTACTCGAACAACCTGTTCAATCTGATTGGTGATTTCTGGGACGAAGAGGCGAAAAGCCTGAATCTCAATCCCGAAGACGACATTGTGCAGGCTTGTGTCATCACCCGCGATGGCGCGGTGGTGAACGAAACCATCAAAAACATATATAGCGGGGCTTAAGAAGATGGAAGCAGTTTTACTTGGAATGGTCTTAATGCTGTCCATTTTTCTGGGCTTTGAGCTGATCTCGAAGGTGCCCGCAACTTTGCATACACCTTTGATGTCCGGAGCGAACGCCATATCGGGCATTACTATCGTTGGCGCATTGATTTCAGCCGGCAACGATTTAGGCATGATGTCCACGGTCCTTGGCGCTGTGGCGGTTGCCTTTGCAGCGATTAACGTGGTCGGCGGGTACCTGGTGACAAACAGGATGTTGAGCATGTTTAAAAAGAAAGACAGTGGTCAGCGGGGAGGTAAGGCGTGAGCATTGAACTCATCAACGTCGTTTACATTGTAGCCGCAGCGCTTTTTGTATTCGGACTGAAACAGCTCGGTTCTCCTGCTACCGCTGTACGCGGTAACTTACTGTCCAGCGTGGGCATGCTGATCGCGGTAGTGGCGACGCTGTTTAACGCGGAAATTCTGTCCTTCAGCTGGATAATTGGTGCGATTGTTGTTGGCTCTATCGTGGGCTATGTGGCCGCTGTGAAAATCGAAATGACCAGCATGCCGGAAATGGTTGCTCTGTTTAACGGTTCTGGTGGTATTGCCAGTCTGCTGGTGGGTTGGGCTGCATTGTATAATCTGGACAACACAACGTTCACCTATGTGACCATCGTTGTGTCTGTGGTTATTGGCGGGCTGACGTTCACCGGCAGTATTCTGGCCTGGGGTAAGCTGTCGGAAGTAATGCCGTCGCGAGCCATCGTATTTGGCGCGCAGCGGATCTTCAACGGTGTGTTGTTACTGGCGTTGATCACCTGCTCAGTACTGTTCTGCCTGGATCCATCAGCCAGTTCTCCTTACCTGTTTGCGATCATCATCTTAGCCTGTCTTTTTGGTGTGATGGCGGTGTTACCCATCGGTGGTGCAGACATGCCGGTTGTCATTTCGCTGCTCAACAGCTACTCAGGTCTTGCTGCCTGTGCGGCGGGTTTTGCGATACACAACAATATTCTGATTGTTGCAGGTTCGATGGTTGGCGCCGCTGGTATCATCCTGACTAATATCATGTGTAAAGCGATGAACCGTTCACTCGCCAATGTGCTGTTCTCAGGATTTGGTGCAGTTAAGCAGGCGACGAAGGTTGAAGGCGAAGTTAAACCCATCAATGCAGAAGATGCTGCGCTGATTCTGGAAGCGGCTCAATCAGTTACTTTTGTACCCGGTTACGGCATGGCTGTTGCTCAGGCACAGCACGTGGTTCGCGAGTTGGGTGAAATGCTTGAAGCTAACGGTGCAGAAGTGACCTACGCTATTCACCCTGTGGCAGGACGTATGCCTGGTCATATGAACGTGCTGCTTGCAGAGGCCAGTGTGCCTTACGATCAGCTGGTCGAAATGGATGATATCAACCCTCGTATCGACAAAATCGATGTGGCGGTTGTGATTGGCGCTAACGACGTGGTTAACCCGGCAGCAAATGATGATGAAAACAGCCCGATTTACGGGATGCCGATTATCAACGTGAACCAGGCTCGCACGGTATTTGTGCTCAAGCGTTCAATGGCTTCAGGTTTCTCAGGCGTGGATAACCCGCTGTTCTTCGGTGAAAACACACGTATGTTGTTTGGTGATGCAAAAGAATCGCTGGCCGCGGTGCTTAACGAGCTCAAGTAAGCGGCAGGTTAAACGGCAGTAACGGCGATAGCCTGAGTGAAATACTCTTTCTACGGCTATCGCCTGGTAGGTTTCTCATTTCTGGTCTGCTTCCTGGTCTCGTCTTTTTTCCTGCACGCAAGAGGCGTTTTTTTTCCGCAATGGATGGCTGACTTCGATGTCAGTCGCACAGAATTGTCCCTGGCGGTCAGTCTGACTCTGTTTGCCGGCAGCTGTTTTGCACCCCTGATGGGTTTCCTCATCGATAAATTCCCCGTTCGCAATATCATCTGCCTGGCATCGTTGTGGATGGCAATTGGGTATCTGCTGCTTGGTCAAGTGGCATCCTATTGGTTGTTTATGGCCGTATTGATTCCATTCCAGGGTTTGGCCTGGCTGGGTGTCGGCCCCCTGGTGCATACCAAGCTCATGGTGAACTGGTTTACCCGCAACCGAGGTATGGCCTTGGGGATTGCCATCATGGGCATCAGCGTTGCGGGTGTGATGACACCGCTGTTGAATGCCTACCTTGCGCAGACGATAGGCTGGCGCGGCAGTTATCAGATTTATGCGGCCATATTGGTGTTGTTAGTCATCCCGCTGACTCTGTGGATTGTGCGTCAAAAACCGCAGGACATCGGCGAACTGCCTGATGGTGATGCCCAATCTGTGGGCAATCATGTGCCAGTAGCTCCACCAGTAGAGCTGGGTGTGGTGGCCACGTACAAAGAATTCCTGTCCTCAAAAGCATTCTGGTCCGTGGTGCTTACGTTTGGCTTGATGAACGGCGTGTATTCAGCCATGGCTACACACCTGCCAACCTACGTGACCAGTGAGCTTGATCTTGAGTTATATGATGGTGCGCTGTTGCTCACCGTTGCCGGCGGCTTTGCCATTGGTGGCAAAATTGTATTTGGCTGGATGATGGATCGGTTGGCCGCAAAAATTACCGTGATGTGTGGGGTGGTTGCTTACCTGGCATCGACCCTGCTGCTTATTTTTGTGGAGGCTTACTTCGGGCTGCTGTGTGCGGCGGCGATGTTTGGCCTGGGTTTCGGCGGCATGATACCGGTGCGTTCTGTATTGATATCGCGCCTCTTCGGCGTGGCCAAATTTTCCCGGGTAAACGGGCTGCTGTCGTTTTTCATTGCACCTGCGACATTCTGGGTGTTGATTACCGGTGCGATTGTGGATGCTACCGGTACTTATGGCACTGCTTTCAAGGTGTGGTTTGTATCCTTCCTGTTGGCTGGCGTTGTCAGCTTATTGGTGAAACTGCCTGATCGGCAGGACGCAGTTGCCTGATTTCTGATCTGGTTCAGACTCGCGCCTGGTCGACGATTTCCAACAACAGTAGGCAATGCTTGTCGGGTTTAGTATGTTCTGCTGCGTTGAAAACATATGGTGAGGCGTAAATGTCCGATCAACCCGAACAACCTGGTTTTGAAACAGCCACTTCGAATCGCGAAATCCGCGAGCGCTGGAAACTACCGGCGGACGCAGACGCTGCATCCATGCCACTTGAAAAGCTGAACCCCGGCAACGGCGATTGGTTCGAACGCAACAAAGCACTGGGCGTGTTCGATCGTCTGCGTGCAGAAGATCCGGTGCACCTGACCGAGGACAGCCAGTTTGGGCCGTACTGGTCGATGACAAAGTATGACGACGTGAAGTATGTCGATACCCACCAGCATCTGTTTTCTTCGGACATTATGAACGGCGGCATCCGGCTTGGGGGACGACCTATGGCCGAGCCGCCAGATGCAATGTTCCACCTGCCGATGTTTATCATGGCAGACCAACCGGTTCATGATGAGCAGCGCAAAGTTGTGGCGCCGATGTTTACGCCAACCCGGCTGGCGGCGCTGGGAGAACTGATCCGTCAGAGAGCTGGTGACATCCTCGATGAAGTCCCACGGGGGGAAAGCTTTAACTGGGTACGTGAAGTATCTGTGGAGCTGACCGGGCGCATGTTGGCAACACTCTTCGATGTGCCGCAGGAAGATCGACATCTGCTTATTCACTGGTCCGATACCGTCGAACGGATCGGAGATCCTGACTATTTTGAAACCCCTGCGGAAGGGTTTAACGAAATATGGAAGTGTTTTGAGTATTTCAATGAGGTGTGGCAAACACGTAAGAGCGCATCTGAACCGGGTGAAGATCTGATCTCGTTCCTGGCCCACGGCGAATCCACAAAAAACATGTCGCCCAATGAATTTCTTGGCAACGTACTGCTGCTGATTGTTGGCGGCAACGACACCACGCGTAATTCGATCACCGGCGGCGTGCAGGCACTCAACATGTTTCCGCAGGAATATGACAAGTTGCGCGACAATCCTGGCCTGATACCCAATATGGTGCCGGAAATCATTCGTTGGCAATCTCCGGTGGCACATATGTGTAGAACGGCGATGGAGGACGTTGAAATCCGCGGCAAGCAGATCAAGAAATGGGACAAAGTGGCTATCTGGTACGCCTCAGGCAACCGTGATGAAGAGCGGATAACTGATCCAAACACACTGCTCATTGATCGCCCCCATGCTCGCCAGCATTTGTCTTTCGGTTACGGCATTCACCGCTGTCTGGGTAATCGCCTGGCGGAAATGCAGTTGATGATTCTCTGGGAAGAAATCATGAAGCGGTTTTCTGCAGTGGAAGTGGTGGGGGATGCCAAGTACCTGAACTCCAGTTTCATTCGTGGCATAACCGACCTGCCTGTGCGTGTACATGAGCGCTAGGCTTGAGCTGAGAAGCGAGTGATTCAGCGACTGCGTATCACCGTGGTTGATGTGTTTGCCGAGAAACCGCTGGCTGGGAATCAGCTGGCGGTTGTGCTGGGCGCCGCTGATCTGAGCGATGACCAAATGCAGTTGATCGCGCGGGAGATGAATTTCTCTGAAACCACATTTGTTCTGCGTGAGGCAGCGGACGAAGCACAAGTGCGGATATTTACGCCGGCTTCTGAGCTGCCTTTTGCCGGTCACCCGACACTGGGTACCGCCTGGGTGCTCACCGCCGGGCAGCGACCCATTACTCTGGACCTAGCCGGGGGCAGGGTGCCAGTTGATTTTGTTGATGGGGTTGCCTGGATGACGCCACCTTCAGTGGAATTCAAAGATCCTGTTTCGACCGGTGATGCCGCCGCTCTGCTGGGCCTGTTGGAAAGCGATCTGCACCCGGATTTTACGGTTGCAACTGCTGTTGTGGGTCCTGGTTTCCTGCTGGTGCCGGTTAAAGACCTTGCCACCCTGAAGGTTGCGCGATTCAACATCGATAAGCTGCATGAAATGATCAAGCTCGGACGGTTGGACAAGGCGGTAAACGGTATTTTTGCGTTCAGCAGCGAGCCATACGACAACACCGCTGATTATGCGGCGCGGATGTTTTTTGAAGCCGGTGATGCACGGGAAGACCCCGCTACCGGTAGCGCGAATGCCTGTTTTGCCGCCTACCTTAAAGCCGCCGGCAGAAACGCCAGTGTGAGCGGTTCTGCATCAGTTGTGGTTGATCAGGGCGTGGAAATGTCGCGGCCTTCACGCCTTTATCTGGATCTTTCAGAGCCTTTACGGGTTGGCGGTAAGGTACAACCTGTACTGGAAGGTGTTATCACAGTTTAGCTGCTGAGTTCTGCCGGCAAAGTAAAACTCAGATGACGTGAAATACATCACACCTTTCCCTCGTGGCTGCGCATACAGTGGCAGGATGCGTGATTCAGATGACAGTGAAAAAATCCGCCACTTCCGTACCGGCAACCGATTCTTTAATCAGAACGGTAGCTGGTGGTTCTCCACACGGGAAGGCGAAGAAGGACCATTCCGTACCCGCGAGCAGGCGGAAGCGGGGATGGCACGCTATGTTGAGGCAATCCGAGCGATGCACGCTTTCAAACACAAGCAGGCAGAAAAGTACAAAGTAGACCCGAATCGTCGACCCGATCCAACCGTTTGGGATAAACAGATAGATTCGCTATAGCTTTAACAAAAAGTTCACAACTGTTTCACGAAGCGTTGACGGGCTGCCTGTTTCAATACCTCCATAGTCAGGCGCCGGGGAGACAAGATTCTCTCCCCTCCCCTCCTCCCCATTGGCTTCCCGGCCGCCGGACTCACCTTCCAGGTATCAACCCCCAACATCAGTTTCAAAGCTCAGTGTACTGGCCGTTTCCAAGCCCATCTATGGTCCACGAGCCTACCCGGTAGCGGATCAATCGCAGTACCGGGTAGCCAATTGCCGCACACATCCGCCTCACCTGACGATTCCTGCCTTCGCTGATGCTTAAAGATATCCAACTGTCTTTTATATGTCTGCGTTGGCGTATGGGTGGGGTGCGCGGCCATAAGTTTTGCGGTTGTGCGATCAGCGCAGCTTTTGCTGGCCGCGTCATGCCATCTTTGAGCTCAAGGCCTTCTCGCAGCGGCTGCAAATCCTGTTCGCTGGGTTCACCTTCCACCTGAACCCAGTAGGTTTTACTGACTTTATGTTGTGGGTCTGTGAGTTTGTGCTTCAAGGCATTGTCATTGGTTAAAACTAACAGACCTTCACTGTCGCGATCGAGTCTGCCAGCCGGATAGACTTCAGGTATGTCGATGAAGTCAGACAAGGTGGATCTACCTTCAGAATCACTGAATTGTGACAGCACATCAAAAGGTTTGTTGAACAGCAAAATGCGCTGCATAGGGTATCCGGCTGGTATCGTTATGAGGAGTTTAGTCTTTCAGGTTTCAGACTACATTTGTTTAAACATGTGTCCGTAGCTGGCGCTTGAACGCAGCGTTTCAGGTCGGCTGCGCAAACTGATGCTGTAGCGGCCACGCAGGTCACGTTTGGCTTTCACGATCTGGTCGACACGCACGATGGTGCCCCGGTGTATGCGCCAGAATTGCGTTGGGTCCAGCTGTTGCTCAAGTTCTTTGATAGACCGTCTAACGACATATTCTCGATCTGCGGTTATCACCGACGTGTATTTCTGATCTGCCTGAAAAAAAATCACATCGTCTACCGCAACCAGGGAGGTTGTGTCGTCTACGCCGGTTCGGATCCAGTGCAGGTATTCCTGTCGTGCCGGGCTGATCTCCTGGAGCAGGGTCATCAACTGCTGATGATCCTGGCTTTGTGCCCGTTTCAGTCGATCTATGCTTTGCTGCAGACGTTCTTCTGTGACCGGCTTAAGCAGGTAGTCGACAGCAGCGCGCTCGAACGCATCCACTGCGAATTCGTCGAACGCGGTGACAAATACAATCTTAATTTCTGCAGAAAGCGCCTGGGCAACCTGCAATCCGGATAATCCAGGCATCTGTATGTCGAGGAAAACGATGTCAGGTTGTACCTCAGCAGCCAGCGCAAGCCCCTGGCGGCCGTTGACCGCACTGCCGAGGATCTCCAGCTCGGGCCAGAGCTTATTCAGTTTGTTGGAAAGGTAGCTGATCAGGGTGGATTCGTCGTCGATGATGATGGCAGTGGGGCTCACGGCTGATCAATCTCGTTGTTCTCGGATATGGCACTGTTGCCAGGCAGTGTGATACGGGCAACAACACCCTGAGGTTCGTTGGGAAACAGATCCAGTTGGGCCTGGTCGCCGTACAATGCCTGCAGGCGCTCCCGCACGTTTTTCAAGCCGGTGCCGCTGCCGGCGGTGGATCGACGCTGCGCCTGATTGTGTTCGATGCCCAGCCCGGTATCGGTAATCGATATGATGACGCTGCTGCCGTCCTGGGTAGCGGACACCGCGATCTCTCCGCCTTCTTCGCTGGGCTCAATGCCGTGTTTGATGGCATTTTCGATAAGTGGTTGTACCAGTAGCGGTGGCAATGGGATGTTATTGAAGTCTGCGGGTACGTCGAAAGTGTAGTGCAGGCGGCCCTGCATGCGGGTGCTCTGAATATCGAGGTAAGCCTGAGCAATTTCCAGTTCCTGTGCCAGGGTTGTGGTCTGTTGCCGTGTTCTGTTCAGCGAGCCGCGTAACAGGGTTGTCAGGTTGAGCAGCGTCTTTTCCGCAGTGTCAGGACTTTCATGGATCAACCCGGCAATGTTTGACAGCGTATTAAACAGAAAGTGGGGCTCGATCTGAGCCTGCAGTAGCTTGAGTTCGGTTTCAGCGAGCAGCTTTTCCTGCTGAGCCTGTTTAGCGGTAGCTTGTGCAAGCTCTGCTTCAGCTTGAACCATGCGGGCGCGGGTGCCAAAAAAGATAAAACCGAGGATGCCAAAAAAGACCCCCAGGTAAATGGTTCCATTGCTGAAGGTGAAAAAGTAAAGCGGATCCTGAAACGTAATTAAGCCGGCTATGACCAAGCCGATCGATAATCCAATGGCGGTGACAGGTGCTGGTCCCAGATAGGGTCCGAGCCACCTGTCGAACAACGGCTCCAATAAATAAAAGCTGGCGCTGACCGACCAACCTATGGAAAACGAGACCGCCAGGTTGGCTAAAGCGTTACCACCAGCGAGCAGGGTGACCAGGGTGGCAATCCCGATGCAGAACAGGGTGGTGTAGCCAAACACCCGCCAGGGGTGCTCTATGCTGCGAGGCTCGATTTTGCTGCTGGACTCAGCCATGCACAAACTTTCCGTGTAGACCCAGTGGCAGATAATACGGCAGTGTAGCTGTCGCAACAGGTCCATCTTGTACTGCCTGAGCATTAAAGACGTTCAACAGCGTCTTCTGACGCTGCCAGTCCAGCGCGGAGCCGATGACCCAGCCCTCACTTTCAGGTTTGCTTCCAGGTTTTGGTACAAACAGGTGTTCTTCCGGAATCTGGGTGTCGGGATACCGGTAAAAAGCGCGCTTGCCGGAATTGAAATCCAACGTACTGACTTCGTTGAGGCTGGTATGAGCCGGTGCCGGGGTCAGGACATTGCGCGAAAGCATGGTCAGGCGATTGTTACGCCGGCAGCTGATGCGCGGGTCAACACAGGGAAATTCGGATTCCACATTTGTACCAAACAGAGGTGCTTCACTGACGCGACGATTTTTAGTGTCGATCTGATATTCATGATGATGGCTGATACTGCCCGGCACAACATTGCCACGCATGATCTCTCGGAAGCTGTCTATCATAACCAACGGGTCCGGTGCACGGGCGGCATCAAAACGAATCACACCCTGATTGTCCTCCCAGCCGTTGCCGTAGTGGAACACCCATTGAGACGGCAGTTCCAGCCAGAAGTGATTATCAAAGTCGTTTTTGTCGATAACCAGCACCCGGGTCGGTTGATCCGGATACCACTGGTGTGCGTCCAGGAACGATGACGGTCCAGTTGCTTCGTAGTTCAGAGGGGGCAGCATCAGGACCAGGTGCCTTTCGGTCACCACAAAGTCATGCACCATGGTGATAGGGTCAGCCTTTATTTTCCCCATCTTTACAACTTTGCCCTGGGCATTGATGTGCCATAACACCATCAGATTGGCGCCTGATAAATAGCCGAAGTTCCACAGCGTGCCATCGGCTTCTATGCGTGGGTGGGCGGAGAAAGGCACACCTTGAGTGTGTTCAGAAAAGGCGTATGTGCCCCGGGTGTCCAGACTGTCTGGATCCATTTCCCAGGGTGAGCCCGCTTCCCACAGCGCCAGCAGTTTGTCGTGATGATGCAATACGCTGATGTTTGCCACGTTGACGATATCTGGTCCGGTCACCGGTGCGGGGTTGGGCGGCACTGAAGCAAAACCAGGGTAAAGGGCGCGCTCAGCCTGCCTTTCGGCAACAACCTTGTGCGTTTCTATCAGTTTTGCACGGTGAGAGACACCGCTGCCATCCATGTGAAATGCCTGCAGCATACCGTCGCCATCAAACCAGTGGTGATAACGATAGCCGTAGACATCGTGCTGAGCCGGGCCATTTCGATACAGTGTGCCCACCAGTTCCTGTGGCCACCGGCCACTGATCTCTGCGGTGGCGGCAAATTCCTGGTCGGCTGCGCTCTGGTAGCCCAGCATCCAGGGATGTTGGACCAACCCCTGGGCAAATTGATCCGCCCATGAGGCGTTAGCCGCGCGAACACCGAAGGGTAGGGTTGCTAAAGCCGTGCCTGCAGCAACTGATTTGAGAAAATTTCTACGTTGCATGGTGTCCTCACTTACCCAGCGGTAATGTCTGTTTAACTGAGCCGTTTAATTCAAACTTTGCCTCTTCCCATTTCGGTGGGCCGAAGTTGCCTTTGGCGTTGTTTGACATCGCCCAGGGCTCGGTTGGCATGCCGACAAAGTTGCTGTCCATTTCGCCGTTGTTATTCACATCGTGCATGACCCGAATGGCGTATTCGCCAGCGGGCAGGCGCGTTGAGAATGTCATTTCCTCGTCCGTTGCGCGGGACATCATTGAAGCGATAGAGGGCTCGTCGCCGTTGAATTGCGCTTCGCCCTGCATGATCTGAACCATCACCGTGCCTTCGGTGGTGGTCAGGTTGGTGACGTTGATGGTCAACATTTCGGCATCAATCATCTGGGTGACGGCAACACTGTAGAAGGTTGCTGCGCCGACTAAAATTGATTTCAAATGCATGTTCTGTATCCAAATGTTTGCAGAGCTTGCAGATTACTGAGTTGGCGAGAGGTGTGTATTAAGTGCGACAGATTGGTAAAAAACGGGATGAGTGTGTTGCTCGGAGGATAGATTGGTAGGGATTGTCGGAGTCTGCTTCACTCACACTTTCCCGATTGGCGGAAGCGGAAGGCCTCAGCCGATCAGCGATGTCTGGCCTGCTCGCTTGAACACGAGCCTGTACTTGAATATTCAGGTGGAATATTCAGCCGTCTGTTTGCCCTTGCTGGCGATTCTAACTGACGGTCCGCTTCCTGCCAGGTGCCCGCTGTTCTCCAACTACAGGGCCCCAGTCAGACATCAGCGCTCGACGCAGCTGGCCGACGGTTTCATAACCCAGGCGCATCGACAGGGTCTGTTCAGAATTTCGTAGCGTTTGCATCGCCTGGTTGATCAGAGCAGATCCTCGCTCGCTGAAAACGATGCGGTTAGCACGTTTGTCCTCGGGGTCAGGGATCTGGGTGACCAGATCGTCTGCTTCCAGATCGTTAATCTGCTGTTGAATGGCCTGGCGGCTCACTCCCAGGGCGCGTGCCAGCTCTGCAGCACGGGTAACGCCATTAGAGATGTGAATCAGAATCATGGTCTGAGTGCGGGTGCGAGGTCGATAACCAGCCTGTTGAAGGCCATTCTGCAGGCTCTCGTCCATCCAGTAGTAAGCGCGCAACAGTCCGCGCATCAAAACTTCGGGAGGCAGTTCTTCGGGTGTGTTCTGGTATTCGCTCATCGATCGGTCCCTTTTAGTCCTTGTGGGAGTAGCGGCAATTCCTTTGGGGTATCCCCCCATGCCGTCATTACGCTATTGTTCCTTAAAAGCCATCGTGCAGGCAAGGAGCTTGTCCGTGCCGCGCTGGGGAGCGCAGCCGATGGTCAGAATCAAAAAGGGGGGAGCCATGGATCTTTATGAAGTCATGCGGACAACATTTGCCGCACGGGAATTTACTGACGATCCAGTGTCAGATGAACAGATTTTCAAGCTGCTCGAGAACGCGCGGTTCGCCCCCAGTGGTGGCAATCGCCAGGGCTGGCGGGTGGTCATCGTGCGGGAACAATCCACTAAAGATGCGTTGGGTCCATTAATAGAACCTACCTTGCGCCGCTACGCCGCTCAGGTCGGCCATGGTGAAGCACCCTGGAACACGATTGTGCCAACCACCCTGACGCAAGCAGAAATTGACGCCACATCGGTACCGCATCAACTCATTAACGCCATCACCCAGGCACCGGTGGTGTTGATGGTGTTCGTTGATCTGGCGGTGGTTGCCTCATTTGATAGCGAACTACCGCGAATTGGCGTGATTTCCGGCGGTTCGGTATACCCGTTTGTCTGGAATATTCTGCTGGCGGCACGCAACGAAGGTTTGGGCGGGACGTTGACCACCTTTGTTGGCGGTCAGGAAGATAAGCTGAAAACCCTGCTCAACGTACCTGATCAATATGCCTTCGCCGCGATGATTCCTCTGGGCAAGCCAGTGAAGCAGCTGACCAAACTGAAGCGCCGCCCGGTAGAGGCGTTTACCACCTTCGAACGTTTTGATGGAGCACCTCTGAAATGAGTGAACAGAATAATCAATCCTCCACTGCTGAACTTGATGCACAACTCGCTCAGGGTAAGAAAGACGTCAACTCTGCTTACGCCAGATACGTTCTGTTTGTGCTCATTGTGGTGTATATCTTCAATTTCATTGATCGTCAGATCATTTCTATTCTGGCAGAAGAAATTAAAGCGGATCTGGGTATTGGAGATGCCGAGATAGGTTTTCTTTATGGGACGGCCTTTGCGATCTTCTACGCGGTTTTTGGCATTCCGCTGGGTAAGCTGGCAGATGTATGGAACCGAAAGAGCCTGATTGCTATCGGTTTATCCTTCTGGAGTCTGATGACCGCTTTGTCCGGTTTTGCCAAAAGCTACACTGGGCTTGCCATCTGTCGCTTTGGTGTGGGTGTTGGTGAAGCCAGCGCAACCCCTGCGGCGTTTTCGATGCTGTCGGATTATTTCTCGCCGCGAGTGCGTGCAACGGTACTGGCGATTTATTCCAGTGGTATCTATATCGGCGCGGGTATTGGTCTGTTCCTCGGAGGGGCGGTGGTGGAAGCCTGGTATGCCTGGTATCCCGATCCAGGTATGGCGCCGCTGGGGATTAAACCCTGGCAGGCTGCGTTTCTAACTGTGGGCCTGCCCGGGCTGGTGGTAGCGGTCTGGGTCTGGACGATAAAAGAGCCGATCCGCGGTGCCAGTGAAGGCCTGCTGACCACCCCGCATCCCACGCCTTTCAAGGCTACTCAGAATACCCTGTTCAGCGTTTTGCCGGGTTTGTCGCTGGTTACCCTTTATAAGGCTGGCGGTATAAGAGCGGTCATGGAGAACCTTGTTGCCCTGGCGATCATCACCGGGTTGTTCTTTGTATTTTATATGTTGATGCCAACGGCTCTGCAGTGGATAGCCCTTGGCGCTGGCGTCTATATCACTGTGAGTTGGGTGCAGTATCTGCGCCTCAATGACCCTGCCTGTTTTGCCATGATGTTCAAGTCTAAAGCGTTTGTGCTGGCGTCAATCGGCTTCCCCAGCATCTCTTTTGTCACTTACGGCCTCGGCTTCTGGTCAGCGCCGTTCATGCAGCGCGTGCACGGCGAGTCGATTGCAGATGCGGGTCTGTATCTGGGTCTTGGTTCAGCTATTGGTGGTTTTATCGGCATCGTCCTCGGCGGCTTTCTGGCGGATATGTGGAAAGCAAAAAACGTCAACGCACGATTGTATATCGGCCTGGCGATCCCGATCCTGGCAACGCCATTCGGTTTGGGCTTCCTTTATACAGATAGTGTGCTGGTCGCGTATCTCTGCAGCTTTGTGTTCAGTATCTTGTCACCCGCATGGATTGGCTCTGGTGCCAGCACCATTAATGACCTGGTCATGCCACGCATGCGTGCAACAGCGTCTGCATATTACGTCCTTATGAATACTTTCCTCGGCCTGGCTCTGGGTCCATACCTGATTGGCCAGATCAGCGATTTGAATACTGTCGCGGGACAGGCCTCGGATGAAGCCCTGCGCAATGCAGTGACCATGGGACTGGCGGTTTTTCTGTTCAGTATGTCGTTTCTTTTTCTGGCGCTGCGCTATCTGCGCAGCGATGAAGAAAGCCGGCTATCGCGTGCGCGTGCGTTGGGTGAAGCGGACGTTTGAAAATGACAAAATTATTACAAAACGTTGCCCTTGCGCAGGGTTTCATGCAACCTGATGGATCAATTTTTTCGGTGAGTTCAGTTGCAACAATCGGGTGAATATCGAATTTCGGCTAGTCGAGATTCAGTCTGGCAGGCGCTGAATGACCCAGATCTTCTGGGTGAATGTATCGCAGGTTGCCAACACGTAAAAAAGATCGACGATGAACATTTTGATGTCGCGGTTAAAGCCAAAATTGGCCCGGTCAGCGCTACCTTCCAGGCGGAGCTTGAACTCGCAGATCTCAAGCCGCCGGAAAGTTATGTGATTAAAGGTAACGCTAAAGGGGGAGCCGCAGGATTTGCGAAAGGTCAGGCTGCCGTCAAGTTGGCCGAAGATCAGGGCGCTACTGTGCTCACCTATGAGGTAGCAGCCAATGTTGGCGGCAAGTTAGCTCAGGTAGGCAATCGCCTGGTTGAAGGCGCTACGCGAAAAATGGCGGATGATTTTTTTGCCGCATTTTCTAAACGTCTGGATCCGAGCGCAGTTGCTGCACCGTCCGCTGAGGATGCTGTTGATGTGGCGGATCAGTATGAAGAAAGCGGGCAATGGAAAATCTGGGCAATCGCTTTCGGGGTGCTGATACTTGCGGCAGTGCTCGCTATTTGAACCAAAAAATTGCAGATAAGACGATGCTGCACGCAGGTAGAAGAGGGGTTTACGATCAAATGAAGGTTTCTTTTAAAGTTAATGGTCAGGCACATGAGTTTGATGTGCCGCCAAATACACTGCTGGTCGAGGTATTGAGAGGTCAGCTTGAGCTCACCGGCACCCATGTGGGTTGTGACACTACCCAGTGTGGTGCCTGCACGGTGCACCTGAATGGTCGCGCGGTGAAGTCCTGCACGGTGCTCGCACCGCAGCTGGAGGGCGTCGACGTGACAACCATAGAAGGCATCGGCAACAGCGAAGACCTGCACCCGATGCAGGCGGCCTTCCGTGAATGTCACGCGTTGCAGTGTGGCTTCTGCACGCCAGGCATGATCATGCAGGCGATTGATCTGGTCGAACAGAACCCGGGTCTGGATAAGCAGGCTATTCGCGAAGGTCTGGAAGGTAATATCTGTCGTTGTACGGGTTATCACAATATTGTCCGGGCGATCGCTTCAGTTGCCTCCGGCACCGCAGACGGTTCAGCCACAAACGCCAAACCCAATCCGGCCAGATAGAGGATATAGACATGAGTGAAGTGGTTGCCCAGGCAGAAGCAGAAAATCAGGGTATAGGCGCGTCGGTCAGGCGGCGTGAGGACTTACGATTTATCACCGGTGAAGGTCGTTACACTGACGATATAAATCAGCCAGGCCAGCTGTACGCGGTGTTTTGCCGAAGTCCATATCCTCGTGTGCGGATTAACAGCATAGACGCGACCGAAGCATTAGCTTTACCTGGTGTGGTTGCCGTCTACACAGGGCAGCAGCTGGTGGACGACGGTCTTGGTGATCTGCCCTGTGGTTGGATGGTCAAGAGCAAAGATGGCGCAGATATGATTTCTGCGCCTCACCCACCCATGGCGGCTACGGTGGCTAACTATGTAGGTGAACCCTATGCGCTGGTATTGGCCGAAACACTGCAGATCGCCAAGCAGGCAGCAGAACTGGTCGAGACAGATTTCACAGAACTCAATGCGGTAGTCGATCTGGCTCACGCGTCGGGTTCAGAGAATATTTATGAGGGTATTGAGAACAACCTGGCGTATGAATGGGCCCTGGGTGATGAAGATGCCACCAAAATGGCGTTTGCCCGGGCGGCACACGTTACCACCCTTGACCTGACTAACAATCGCCTGATCCCCAACGCGCTCGAACCGCGGGCCTGTCTGGGTATTTATGAGCGTGGAACGGGAGATTACACACTGTACACCACAAGTCAGAATCCGCATCTGGAACGGCTTGTGCTGTCAGCGTTTGTGCAGGTTGCACCTGAACACAAGCTGCGCATTATCGCCCCGGACGTAGGTGGAGGATTCGGTTCAAAAATCTTCATCTATTCTGAAGAAACAACGGTGATCTGGGCAGCAGGGAAAATTAAGCGGCCTATCAAATGGGTTGCTGAACGCAGCGAAAGTTTTCTTGCAGATGCCCACGGCCGTGATCACATCACGCGCGCGGAACTGGCCATTGATGAAATGGGTCGGTTCACCGGTCTGCGTGTGAAAACCACCGCAAACCTGGGCGCCTATCTGTCTACCTTTGGCTCTTCTGTACCGACGTATTTATATGGCACGCTGCTCGCCGGCCAGTACAAAACACCAAACGTTTATGTCGAGGTCCAAGGTACCTACACCAACACGGCACCGGTGGATGCCTACCGCGGCGCCGGGCGTCCTGAAGCAACCTATGTGGTTGAGCGAATTGTGGATCAGGCTGCGCGGGAGTTGGGGAAAGATCCCGCTGATCTGCGCAGAATGAATATGATTCAGCCTGAAGATTTTCCTTACGAAACCCCGGTTGCTCTGACTTATGACACCGGCAACTACGAAGCGAGTCTTGATAAGGCGCTGGAGATGATTGATTACGCCGGTTTTGAGGCGCGTCAGGCGCAAGCTGCCGAACACGGTAAGCGGCGCGGCATCGGGCTTGCCTGTTATATCGAAGCCTGTGGGCTTGCGCCGTCGAAACTGGCCATAGAACTTGGTGCCGGTGTGGGGCTGTATGAAAGCGGTGAGATACGCATGAACCCAACAGGTTCGGTCAGTGTTTTTACCGGCTCTCACAGTCATGGCCAGGGCCATGAAACCACCTTTGCCCAGGTTGTCTCGGATAAGCTCGGAGTCGGTTACGAAGATGTAGAAGTGATTCACGGTGACACCGGCCGCATGGAATTTGGTCTGGGCACCTATGGTTCGCGGTCGCTGGCGGTTGGTGGCTCTGCGTTGATTGTTGCGGCGGAAAAGATCATCGAGAAAGGCCGTAAAATTGCTGCCCATATGATGCAGGCGCAGGTAGAACAGGTCGATTTTGAAAACGGTCAGTTCACTCTGCAGGACAGTAATCAATCGATGTCGATACAGGAAGTTGCATTTGCAGCGTATGTGCCAGCGGATTATCCCGAAGATCTTGAGCCTGGTTTAACCGAAAAAGCTTTTTATGATCCTAACAACTTCACTTATCCCGCGGGCACACATATCGCTGAAGTGGAGGTCGATCTGGACACCGGCGTTGTCCAGCTGGTTGATTTTGTTGCGGTGGATGACTTCGGCCACATTATTAATCCGTTGATTGTCGACGGGCAGGTACATGGTGGTGTGGCTCAAGGCGCTGGTCAGGCACTGATGGAACACGGTATTTATGATGAATACGGTCAGCTGCAGACGGGTTCTTTTATGGACTACACCATGCCGCGGGCAGATGACCTGCCCGATTTTCGCGTAGATACGACAGTAACGCCCTGTACCCACAACCCGCTGGGAGTTAAAGGCTGTGGCGAGGCGGGTGCGATTGGTTCACCGGCGGCAATTATGAATGCGGTAACCCATGCACTGGGAAACAAAGACATATCTATGCCGGCAACACCTGAAAAGGTGTGGCGAGCAATTCGGGGAGAATAAGGAATGTATCCATTCAACTATCACAAGCCAGCCAACATCAGTGAAGCGGTGAGCCTGTTTCGTAACGCCGATGATCCGATGTATCTCAGTGGTGGTATGACGCTGATTCCCACGATGAAGCAGCGCCTTGCAGCGCCAACTGACCTTATTGACCTGTCTGACATTCCGGAAATGTCAGGAATCGAGGTTGCGGCGGACAAAGTCCGTATTGGCGCATTCACTCGACACAATCAGGTTGTCAGTTCTCCTGAAATCAACGGGGCGTTACCTGTTTTGTCGCGTCTGGCGAGTCTGATCGGTGATAATCAGGTGCGTAATCGAGGCACCATCGGTGGCTCCGTTGCTAATAGTGATCCATCTGCTGACTATCCCGCCGCTGTGGTGGGTCTGGGCGCAACGGTATATACGCAGGACCGTGCCATATCCGGCGATGATTTCTTTCTGAATCTGTTTGAAACAGCTCTGCATCCCGGTGAAATTATTACGCACATAGATTTTCCGATTCCAACTCGAGCGGCTTATCAGAAGTTTCCTAATCCAGCTTCGCGATATGCTGTGGTAGGCGTGTTGATTGCAGATTTCAGCGGCACAATACGCGTTGGTGTTACCGGCGCAGGGCCTTGTGCCTGCCGCGCCAGTGGCATAGAAAAGATGTTGAACCAGGACCTGACTGCTACAGCCATCGACGCCGTAGAAGTTCCTGATGCAGGTTTCAACAGCGATTTACATGCGTCAGCTGAATACCGTGCGCACCTGGTCAAAGTTATGGCGCGCAGGGCGCTGGCTGATCTGCTGCAACAATAGTTGCCCGTCACCCCTTGAAATATTGATGTTCGACATCACTGTCAGACAATAGTAGGCTCGCAAAAAGCTTTGAGAGAAAGTGTTTCTCCAGAGACTATGAGCCCGGGTTTGAAGTCCGCTGCACTGCCAGCGGTTTCAATTTTTAAATATTGCGTAGAATCACGCAAGGACTTGATCCAGAGGGACAGGTACCAACATTGTGATAAACCAGACTGTTGCTGGAATTGGTCCTCTCCCTCCCGCTATGGGAGGTACTTCATGAATGTGCTCGATTTTCCTGAGCGTAAAAACGCAGGCAAAAAAATTTCAATGGTGACGTGTTATGACTATTGGTCAGCACGTATTCTGAATGAAAGCGACATAGACACCCTGTTAGTTGGCGACAGTCTTGCCATGGTGGTGCACGGTTATCCAAGCACGGTCCATGCGACGGTTGACATGATGGCAACGCATACTGCGGCGGTGCGGCGTGGGGCGAAAGATAAATTTATTATTGCCGATATGCCGTTCCTGTCCATGCGTAAAGGTTTGTTGCCAGCCATGGAGGCCGCTTCGGATTTAATGCAGGCCGGCGCAAATTGCCTGAAAATAGAAGGCGCAGCGGGGCATCTCGATATCGTTGCCCACATCGTTGAGTCAGGTATACCCGTTATGGGGCATCTGGGTCTTACGCCTCAATCGGTTGAAGCCTTTGGTGGGCACAAGGTGCAGGGGCGCGATGCACAGGCAGCAGCCGAATTGACCGAGGCGGCGCGGCACCTGCAGCAGGCTGGTGTCTTTGCGCTGGTACTGGAGTGCGTGCCGGCAGAGCTTGCAAGTGCATTGTCCAGTGAGCTTTGTATTCCTACTATTGGCATCGGTGCCGGCGCTGGTACGGATGGACAGGTACTTGTGTTGCAGGACTTGTTAGGCATGGATCCTGGTTTCAAACCAAAATTTCTGCGTCACTATGCGCAGGGTTTTAGTGTTGTGCATGATGCGGTGAATGCCTTCCATGAGGATGTGCGTGCGTGTAGGTTCCCTTGCCTGCAGGAGAGCTACACATGAAAGTTATACGCGACCTCTCGCAATGGCAAAGCTTGCGTAAAGATCTGACCCCCGAAGTAGGTTTTGTGCCAACTATGGGCGCATTACATGAGGGTCATCTCTCTTTGTTACGGCGTAGCGTGGTTGAGAACGCGATTACTGTGTTAAGCATATATGTCAATCCGACACAGTTTAACGATCCAGAAGACCTGCAGAATTATCCGGACACACTTCAACAGGATCTTGCAGCAGCGCAGCAGGCAGGTGTGGATTATGTCCTGATGCCTAATTATGACGAGCTTTACGCCGACGGGTTCAGGTATCAGGTTACAGAGACCCAGTTCAGCGAAAAACTCTGTGGCAGAAATCGACCGGGCCACTTCACTGGCGTGTTAACGGTGGTGATGAAACTTCTCAATATTGTTAGTCCTCAGCGTGCTTACTTCGGTAAAAAGGACTATCAGCAATATCTGCTGGTGCGGGATATGGTGCAGGCATTTTTCATGCCTGTCGATATTATCGGTTGCGATACAGTGCGGGAAATCGATGGGCTGGCCATGAGTTCCCGTAATTTAAACCTGGAAACAAGTGCGCGAAAACAGGCTGCTCGATTTTACGAGATTATCAGTGCGCCGCTGTCCGACGCGGAAGTGCGTTGTCAACTCGATGCTGCAGGTTTTCAGGTTGACTATGTTGAGAGTTGTCATGGACGGCGGTTTGCTGCAATTGTTACACAGGGCAAAAATAGCGGACAAACGGTGCGCTTGATTGATAATGTTGCGATAGCAAGCTAGTTCGCGGTGAACAGATAAAAACAATAGCAGGCGAGGGGAGCAGAAGGTGATATTGGCATTAGATGTTGGCAACAGCCAGATATACTGTGGTGTGTTTGATCAGGAGAAACTGATCACGCAGTTCCGCCATGCATCTACCGGTAGAAGCTCGTCTGATGAAATAGGTGTATTTCTCCGTGGTGCCCTGCGCGAAAATAATGTCTCCCCAGAGCTGATTAAAATTATTGCGATCTCTTCGGTGGTACCGGAATTGAATTACTCGCTGCGGGCATGCGCGCAGAAATATTTCAAAATTGAACCGATGATCATGCGTCCGGGTATCAAAACAGGTTTGAAGATTGCTTATAAAGATCCTAAAGAGGTAGGCAGTGATCGAATTGCGGATGCCATGGGCGCAGTCAAACTGTTTCCCGGCCACAATTTGATAGTGGTCGATTTTGGTACCGCAACGACTGTGTGTGCAGTGACTGCAGATCGAACGTTTTTGGGTGGCAATATCATGCCGGGTGTACGCCTGGCGATGGAAGCACTGGAAAGCAAAACCGCTAAGCTGCCTTCTGTTGAAATCAAACCTGCAAAATCGGCGATTGGAAAAACCACTGTCGACAGTATTCAGAGCGGTCTTTACTGGAGCAATGTAGGTATGGTGCGGGAGCTTGTCAGTCGCATTACGTCGGAAGCGTTCGCTGATGAAGAGCCGCTGGTAGTTGCTACCGGCGGCTTTGCTCATCTGTTTGATCGAGAAAAGCTATTTGATCACGTTGTCCCCGACCTTATTCTGGAAGGTCTTCTGGAAGCTCTTCGGCTCAACGGTTATATGCCCAGGTGAGCCGGCCGGGAATTTTTTTCAGTCCTGCTTAGGCATGCTGTTCTTACCGTATTGAGCCTGAAGCCTGCGCATACCGGACAGCCAGCGATCATAGTCGGTGGTTTTTCTCTGCATATATTGCGCAACTTCAGGATGTGGTAACACGAGGAACCGCTCTTCGCGCAAGGTTTCTACAACCGCATCCACCGCTGCATCTGGTTCTATCATGCCATCTACGCCCGCGACGCCCGGACCGTTTGCTGTCATAGCTGTACGCACTGCCTGTGGGCATAACACCGACACTTTGATGCCATCGTCCCCGTGTGTGATGGATAGCCATTCGGCCAGTGCGACAGCTGCATGTTTGGTGACCGCGTAGGTCACGGATCCTATCTGGCTCAGCAGTCCTGCTGCGGATGCGGTATTGAGCAGGTAACCGCCGCCGCGCGCGATCATCTTCGGAATCAGGTGCTTTGCGGCCCACACGTGGGACATTGTGTTGACCTCCCAGATAGTCTGCCAGACCTCAGTGGGCTCATCGATACCCTGGCCAATGCCGATACCAGCATTGGAGCAAAACAGATCGATAGGGCCAATGTTGTCTTCGACGTGGTCAATCATGTCGATGATGGCCTGTTCGCTGCGAACATCAACGGTCATGGGTGTGCCGCCTATACCCTGTGCAACCTGAGCCGCGCCTTCACCATTGAGGTCTGCTACAACTACATGTTTAGCACCTTCGCGGGCAAATCGCTCACACATCTCGCGTCCAATACCACTGGCACCCCCCGTGACCACAATAATCTTATCCGCAAGTTCCATAGATGCTCTCCAGAGTGTAATCAATCGGAAAACATAGACGTTTTCCGGTATTGAATCTATAGTCCTCTGGAATCCGAACTTATGTTGGGAGTAATGACAGGACCAAAGGTTTTGGTAGTTGACGACGACAGCGCGGTGCGTGCTGTCGCTGGTGAAATGCTCAAGCGTAGCAATTACCAGGTTACCAGCGCCGATAGCGGCCAGGCTGCTTTGGATATCCTGCGGGACGATCATTTTGATCTGATTCTGTTGGATGTCGGTATGCCGGGTATGTCCGGCGTGGAGGCCTACCAGCAAATACGGCAGAGCCTGCCGCAGCAGAAAATCCTGTTTATGACCGGTTATGCAGAAGATGACATCACAGACCTGGCCAACCCCAATACCCACATTCTGCCAAAGCCTTTCTCGCTTAAACTTTTCAACGACACCATCTCCGCAATTATCTGAAGCGTTCTCATGAGCGCGACCTCGAAGCCTGTTTCGTATGGGTGGGCGATTGTCGGCGCCATGCTGTTTGTGCAAACGGTCAGCTCGGGTCTGGGCTTCTACAATATGTCTGTGTATATGGCGGAGTTTGCCGAACTGCTCGCCTTGCCACTGTCGAGATTATCGTTTGCGGTCAGCCTGTTTTTTATTGTTGGCGGCGCTGCCGGTATGTTTGTTGCCTCACTGTTGGATCGATTTGAAGTTCGTTGGATCATGGTTGCTGGGGCTTTGATTTCAGCCGTGGCGTTGGCAGCGGTGGGACAGGCTGAATCACTCTGGCAGATCTACGTGCTGTTTTCGCTGTTTGGCCTGGGCTCAACCGGGGTTTCGCTGGTGGTCGCAACCACCCTGGTGACCCGCTGGTTTCCGGGCCCTAATCGCTCGGTTGCTTTGTCCATTGCCTCCACCGGCCTGTCTCTAGGCGGCGTACTGGTGACGCCAGCAACCGCCTACCTGTTTAATACCTGGGGGGTGCCGCAGACCATGCCCTGGCTTGGTCTTGCGTTTGCGGGACTGATCATTCCGGTAGCATTGTGGGTGGTGCGCATGCCCGACGCCCCAGTGGTTGGCGGGTCCGCTCTGCCGGCTGGCGAGTGGACTTATCGAGCCGCCATCCGGACGCGTTTTTTTATCATGCTGGCCATTGGTTATGTGTTCTGTCTGGGTGCCCAGGTAGGTGGCATTGCACATCTATACAATCGAGTTGATGAACTTGCCGGCTTTCAATCTGCAGCCAGCGCCGTTCAGGCGCTGACACTGTGCAGTATTATGGGCCGCTTCGCGGGGGGCTGGCTGGTGATGCGATTACCAATACGTAGTTTTGCGGTAGTGAATCTGTTTGTGCAGATGACGGGATTGCTCACCATCGGACTGGCGAGCAGTGCAGAGATTGCGCTCCTGGGAGCGGCTGTTTTTGGCGTCAGTGTGGGTAATCTGCTGATGATCCAGCCACTCTGGCTGGCGGAAGCTTTTCCCGGCTCTGTCTACCCACGGGTGTTTGCCCTGGCTAATGCGTGTGCGGTTGCCGGTGTATCCATGGGGCCTTTTGTCCTCGGGCTGGCTTATGATCATGCCAATTACAGTGTCGCTTACAGTGTGGCCATGGCTGTATCGGTGCTGGCGCTTATTTTCATTGTGTTGGCAGGAAAACGCCCGCAGCCTGTGGGGGAACTAGTTTGAATTCAATGTGGTCGAAAAGGTTTTCAATGTCCGTTAAACAGTTTATGCCTAAACTCATATTGTTCTTTTTTGTCGGCTTGTATGCAGTTGTCGGACAGGCGGCACTGCCGTTCAGCATGCCTGGCGAGGGGAAGTTACCCAGCCTTGCTGACATGCTCGAAAACGTTAATCCAGCCGTGGTGAACATTGCGACCTATACAACGGTCTCATCATCCAACCCGTTGCTCGAAGACCCGTTTTTCAGGCGGTTTTTTAATGTGCCGCGAGGGCGCCGCACCCAGAGTGCCGGCTCCGGTGTCATTGTTGACGCGCAACGTGGCTACATTGTGACCAATGACCATGTGGTTGGCAGGGCTGACGAAATATCGGTTGGTCTGGCTGATGGTCGTGTGATGCAGGCTCAGCTGGTGGGTCGAGACAGTCAGGTCGATCTGGCTGTGCTGAAAGTAGACCCCGAAGACCTTGCCGAAATCAGCATTGCGAATAGTGCAGATCTGCGGGTGGGCGACTTTGTTGTGGCTATCGGCAATCCGTTTGGACTCACGCAGACTGTGACCAGCGGCATTGTCAGTGCTCTGGGTCGAAGTGGACTGGGCATAGAAGGTTATGAGGACTTCATTCAAACAGATGCGCCTATTAATCCAGGTAATTCAGGCGGCGCGCTGGTCGATCTGAACGGCCATCTGATCGGCATCAATACAGCTATTCTTGCGCCAACGGGCAGTAATGTAGGTATCGGGTTTGCCATTCCATCCAATATGGTGCGCGCGGTAATGGAGCAGATTATTGAAAACGGAGAGGTAAAGAGAGGCCTCATCGGGGTCATTGTACAGCGGCTGAATGCGGATCTGGCTCAGGCTTTTGGCGTTGATCGTCGCTCTGGTGTGGTTGTGGTAGAGGTTGAACCGGACAGCCCGGCAGACGAAGCCGGCTTGCAGGCTGGCGATATCATCACCCGCGTGGGTGAACGGGTCATCGAAAAAATATCTGATTTTCACAGTCAGGCAGCGGTGATGTTCATTGGTGATGATGTCGCCATTGAACTGATCAGAAACGGCCGTACCCGCAGCGTAGACCTGGAGATCAAAGAAAATACGCAACAGAGTGCCCTGGGCCGGCGTATCGATCCGCGCCTGGCCGGTATAGAACTGGAGAACTTCATGAACCCGGATGAACCCGGCATGAGTTCCGGTGTTTTGACCACAAGCGTTGAGCCGCGGAGCAAAGCGCATGCTTACGGTTTGCGTGCGGGTGATGTCATAGTTGGGGTGAACAGACGAACAGTGCGTGATCTGGCTGAATTCCGCGATGCGGTTCTGCTTGACCCGCGTCAGATCGTGATGCGTGTATATCGGAACGGCAGATTTGGTAATGTTGTGATTCGCTGACAAACGTGTTCAGGCGTTTGTCAGCTTCTCAGGACGGGTTGTCAGTCGAAGATCTAGTCGAACATGATCACGCTGCGTGCAACTTCGCCCGTTTCGAGGGCTGCCAGGCCGTCGTTAACGTCTTCAAGTTTGATGCGCCGCGAAATAAGGTCGTCCAGGTGCAGGCGACCCTGCAGGTAAAGATCCACAAAGCGAGGCATATCGACGCGGAAACGGTTTGATCCCATGTTCGAGCCCTGCATTTTACGCTCCATGAGAAATTCAGGGCCGTGCAGTTCAATATGTACGCCGGGCGGAATCATGCCGATGATTGTGGCGGTGCCACCAAAGCCCAGCATTTTGAAAGCCTGTTCAGCGGTTTGTTTCAGGCCAATGGCTTCGAAGGAATAATGCACGCCTCCGCCGGTCATTTCCCGTACTTCGCCGACAGCGTCGACGTTTTTGGCATTCACCACATCAGTGGCGCCAAACTTGCGCGCAAGTTCAAGTTTGCTGTCGAGCATGTCTATTGCAATGATGCGTGCTGCGCCAGCCAGAGCAGCCCCGTTGATGGCGGATAAGCCAACGCCGCCACAACCAATGACGGCAACGGTTGAGCCCGGCTCGACGGCAGCCGTATGTATCACTGCGCCAACACCTGTGGTCACACCACAGCCGATCAGGGCTGCTCGGTCGAGAGGCATATCGTCCCGTACTTTTACGATGGTGTGTTCGTGCACCAGCATGTATTCCGCGAAGGAGGACAGATTCAGAAATTGAGCAATGTTTTCATCGCCGGAGGCCAGGCGGGAGGGCTGTGTTTCGTCGCGCTGCAGCTCAGGCTCCTGGCATAACGACATATGGCCGGTCAGGCAGGGTTCGCAATGTCCACAGAAGGCTGACAAACAAGTGATGACATGATCGCCTTTTTTCACGTAGGTCACATCTGATCCCACGGCTTCAACCACCCCGGCAGACTCGTGGCCGAGCACCGCGGGCAGAGGATAAGGATAAGATCCGTTCTGGAAATGCAGATCTGAGTGGCAGACGCCTGCGGCGACCGTACGTATCAGCACCTCGCGTGGTGCCGGGTTGCCATACTGAATATCTTCAATTTCCAGTGGCTTGTTGATTTCTCGAAGTACTGCAGCCTTCATTGGCGATCCTCCCCTTCTAACTAAGGATTAATGTAAACTAAAACGCAGTCCATGGTGCCAAAGCGAATGCGGGAATACCACCAGCAATACGCATGCATCGAAGGTCTTTGCAGAACGTATAATCAGATTTTGACGGGCAGCCTGCAGGCTGCTCAAATTAGGGGTAAAACGCTGTGGTGCTCATCGGTTTGGGCAGCAATCAGGGCCAGTCTGTGGCCATCATGCTGGCGGCTATCAAGGCGCTTGAGCAGTACGCCGTGTCGGGTTCCTTTGCCGCGTCTAATCTCTGGCAGACCTCACCGGTCGATTGTCCACCAGGCTCGGCGCCCTTTCTCAATGCAGCAGTGTGCTTTGATGCGCGACCGGATCTAACTCCTGAAGCTTTGCTGGATGAGTTGAAAGCGTTGGAGAAAGCTTACGGTCGGGGGCGGAAAATTATCCGCAATGCACCGCGTGAGCTGGATCTGGATCTGCTGGTTTTTGATGACGAACAAAGGCAGACGGAAAATTTTGTGTTGCCCCACCCGCGCGCAGTAGATCGGCTTTTTGTACTGGCCCCAGTTGCTGAGATTGCACCTGCGCTGATCTGGCCCGGCATGCAGCGTAGTGTCGCTGAACTTCTCAGATCGCTGAATACGGAGGAAGAAGTTGCGCTTTGGACTGATACTGCTCACGGCGCTTAGCGTTGTAACCACGCTGCCGGCATGGGGCTATGAACCCCAGGTTCATCAACAGCTCACTTTTGTTGCCGCGCGAGCGTTTAATAACTGCGCGCAGGAAAGGGAACAGATTCCTCGGCTTTCTGCTTTAGATACCCGTTATATAGTCAGAGCTAATGTTGCTCAGGCTGATGCAAACTTCTTTGTACGGATATTTCGATGGGACTACTACAATCGTGATCAGCAGCAGCCTAAAGCTGCGATGTGGTTGGTTGATACCCGGTTTCACAAGCGATTTGATGAGTTGATGATCAGTGTTGAGCAGCCGCAGGAGCGACAGTTGAAACTGCGCAATCTGGGTCGCCTTTTGACACACATTCAGAATGTCAGTGCGCCTGCCCATGCCGTGCCCGTCTACTCAGGGCGCTGGTGGCGTCTGTCGTTCAGCGATCGTTTCAATCGTTATCCCGTCGATGTGGATGCGCTTGAGCAAACCATTGCAGGTGATTGCGCCCTGTTCGACGCCCCCAATGAGACCTTTCAGCAGATTCTGATCGATACGGCAGACAATACCCTGGCAGCGGTGACTGATGAGATAGACGGTTTGCCGGCGACCTGGCAGGCATTCTGGACGCTTGCAGATAAACCTGGCGATTTTGGTGACTATGGTCCGGCGGGCAACAGCTTTGGCGATCGTACGCAATTTCGTTGTGGGGACGATCAGCGGTGCCTGCTGCTGCAGGACGATCCGCTCTACAGTGACTTTGCGCTACAGCGTCATCGCGCAGCGGTGATGGCTACAATGCGAGCGATGTTGCGGCTGCAGATGGAGCACAATTCTGATGCTCTTTAAGTCCTTCTATAAAGTCTGTTGTGCAGGTTTGTTGGCTCTGCTGTGTCAATCTGCGCCTGCCAGTGAGGTGCGCGTCAGCAATCTTGAACAGTTCATTGACGGCATCATGGCGCAAGCAATTGTGCAGGGTGATACCGTCGGAGCAACCGTGGCGCTGGTCCAGGATGGCCGTCTGCTGGTGTCGCGTGGCTACGGTTATGCCGACTATACGCGCAGCGAGCCGGTGCAGAGCAGGGTGACGCAGTTTCAGATTGGCAGTATCAGCAAGGTCTGGGTCTGGATAGCGGTGCTGCAACTGGTCGAGGCAGGCAGCCTTGATCTCGACCATGATATTAACAGCTACCTGGAAGCCTTTCAGATACCGGACACCATGGGTGATCCGATAACCCTACGACACCTGATGACTCATTCAGCAGGTTTTGAAGATCAGTTGTTTGGATTATTTGTTTCCGGACCCCGTCAGGTTGGCAATCTGGTGGATACCCTCGCGGCTACGATCCCCGAGCGCGTGGCATTACCTGGCAGCCGGGTGGCTTATTCGAACTACGGAGCTGCGCTGGCGGCGCATATTGTTGAGCAGGCTTCCGGTATGGGTTTTTCTGACTATGTGCAGCAGCACATCATGCAGCCGTTGGCTATGTCTACCGCCGGTATTGCGCAGCCTGTGCCAGATGAATTGATGCAAACCCGCTCCAAAGGTTACGTTATCAACGATGGCGAGCCGCAGGAACGAGGCGCCTTGTATATACCGTTAGGTCCTGCGGGCGCAGGTGCGGCCACAAGTCTGGATATGGCGAAATTCATGGTGGAACTGCTCAACCCGCGAGACACGCGGGTACTCAGCAGTGCCTCAAAAGCACAGCTCATCAATGGCGCTTACCTTCACCATCCGCGGGTCAATGGATTAACCCTGGGGATGTTCCAGGCTTCCAGAGGCGATGCCGCCGCCGTGGGACATGATGGCAGCACGCTCATTTTTAACGCCCAGATGGTGCTCTGGCCAGATGCTGATATGGGACTGTTTGTGGCTACAAATACCCTGGGCAGTGACGCTGTCGGGCGTCGCCTGGTGGCTACGGTGTCGAACCATCTGGGGTTTGATGATCGTTCTGATAGCCTCCTGCCGGTTGAGTCTGCGGCTGGTTTGCCTGGTACTTATATTGGTTCCCGGCGTAATTTCAGCAGTGCAAGTAAATTGTTAGGGCTTCTTGATACGGTCACCGTGACGCATGATTCCGAACAGGGTGTTTTGTTGATTGCGCGTGCGCAGGGATCGAAGCGCTACAGAGGATTATCCGACAATGTATTCCAGCAGGTTGCAGGCCCGACTCGAGCTGTATTTAAGACGGGCAGCGGAATGGGCCAGGAGCTTTATTTTTCTGATGTGCCGCCGGTTGCTTATATTCGGGCTGAGGCGATGGAGATGCCGCTTAACAACGCCTTGTTTATCCTGTTATGGCTCACTGTGGCGATGAGTGTACTGATCATATGGCCGGTTTCAGCGTTTACTCACAAGGGTCATGGCAATGTCCAGGGCCAGAAATTTACAACGGTCATAACCTATCTCGCGGTCGCTGTTGCGGTTTTATTTTTTGTTCAGGTTGCTGCCCTGGTGACCACCCCGTTAGAGGTTGTGCTGGAACTTGAGGCCGGGCTGACTCCCTTGCTGTGGCTGCCGATAATAGTGGCCGGCCTCACCCTGATACAGTTTCTGCAGCTTTATCGGGTGCTTGTACGTGGTTTCTGGTGGCTATCCAGGCGCATACATTTTGTCATCGTGCTGTTATTGCAGTCAGCGTTGGTTTTCTGGTTCTGGTATTGGAATCTGCTGCCACGGGCGCTGTTGGATGTGTTCAGCTAAAACAGCACCAGCCGGCACGGCTCTGAAGCCAGGCCTTCCTCTGGATCTGCTTGCGAGCACAGTTTAGGTGCATCTCCCTGACCGACTCTGGCACCTGTTTCGTCAATGATGACAACCTCAGGGGTGTGTCGTGGCGATGGCTGGGTTGTGATCGTTGAGTGCCCTGTTGGGCGGTTGTCGGATACCTCTGTTTTCTCTCGTTTCTCTCGTTCTTCTTCTTCCCCATCTTCGCTGGCCACGATGGGGGGCGCCTCGATTTTGTCAGCCTGCTCAACCAGAGTTTGCTGTTCCGGGTCCGGCACAGTCTGTTCGTCAACCTTTTTTGGCTCGCTTTCCAACAGACTGACTAACGCCACAACGCCAACGCCCAGCAGGGTGAGGGTGAACACGTTCTTCTGGCGTTCTGCCCGTTTGCTTTGCAGAGCTGTACGCTGAGCTGCTCTTGTTTCGCTTCTACTGGACTGATGGTCTGCGGTGTCGCTGTCTCTGATATCCTCGTCGGACAGGGTTCGTCGACCACTGTGCAGGTGCCTGGCAAGGGTTTCTACATGTCGATCTGATGAGCGAGCTGGCCAGCTGTGCAGGGTGACCTGCATGTCCGCTTCAATGGGTTCGGTTTGCTCATCGAGGAACAGCGCAATACGCTCGCAGTCGTCCGGAACGTCCAGCGAGGTGAGCTTTGAGTTGCGTTGTCGGGGCACAATCAGCAGTCGGTTGCTGCAGGTTTCAGGCACAGTCTCATGAATCTGTAACTCAACGTTCAGACTGCGCATGTGGGTTTGTAATAGTTTGAGGCGTGGCAGGTGTTCAGCCTCACACACCACATCGACATTAATCATGACATAAGTTTAGCAACGCATTTTCTATCTGCCTGTGGCTGGTGTTTAATCGCGCAACAGACATGAACGAGCATTTTGATTGAATAATCTGCATCTGGGCCTTACCCCCTGGAACTTCTCCGATTTGAGCGCGGCGAGCTTGTGTGAACAGGCCCAGTTTGCTGAAACTTGTGGGTACGAGTCCATCTGGTTGCCGGAAAATCACTTCGGGGCGAATGCACTGCCCGACCCGCTGACTTTGCTGGCCAGTATAGCGGGCGCAACACGCTCGATACGTTTGGGCACAACCTCTTACCTTTTGACGTTGCGCAATCCTTTGCAGGCTGCTGAGCAGGTGGCCGTACTCGACCAGCTCAGTGGAGGCCGGTTGATTCTTGGCGTGGGGCGCGGCTATGCGCCGGAAATGCTGCGCGCTTTTCATGTACCTGCGAAAGAGAAGCGGCGTATTTTTGCCTGGACGCTGGGTTTGATGAAAGACGCCTGGAGCGGAAAATCAATATCGTTAGATGGCAACATGGAGCACGCTGTTGAAGTGCATCCGCGTCCGTTTCAGCAACCGCATCCACCTTTATGGGTGGCAGCTTTCGGGCCTAAGGCATTGGCCCAGGCGGGCACCTTAGGTTTACCGTATTTGTGTTCGCCTATGGAAAGTATGGCGACACTTGAAAACAATTATGCACAACACCTGCAGGCTGCTGAAGCTGCGGGTGTCGCTCCACCGACAACAATCCCGTTGATGCGAACGGTGTTTGTCAGTGAAGATACCGCGCTTGTGAAGACGTTGAAAACATCTCTGGCAGAGAAAAGTGAAAACGTGCGCTTGCTTGACGGGGAAGGGGTCGACGATTGGACCTTGATAGGCACACCTGAGCAGGTACGGAAAAAGTTGCAGCAGTATCAGGACCGATTGGGGATGACGCATCTGGTCGCCACCCGCCTGCGTATCGGGGGTATCAAGGAAGCAGATCTACGTCAGAGTGTGGCTCTTCTGGCCGATATAGTTGCAGGTAAGGTAACCTTGCGTCCTTAGAGGACGTTTGCGGTTTGTTTAAATTATTTTCCGGGGAGATAGCATGACATTTAATATTCTGTGGCCAGCAATGCGATGGCCGGATAATCGAGAAATCGAAGTGGCCAGCGTAGGTGAGCATACGGCGCATTTCTGCGAGCGTTATGCCGATGTGACGGACGAACAGTGGGCGAGCTGTGATGCGCTTGTCAGTGTTAATGACATTCCAGCAGAGTATCGAGCTAAGCTGACTCGCTGCCGAATTTTTGTAACCCCCAAAGTTGGTTTCGATAACCTTGATACCAAGGCGTGGGCTGAACTGGGCATTCCTGTATGCAATGTGCCTGACTACGGTACCCAGGAAGTTGCCGATCACGCGATGGCGCTGATGTTGTCGCTGATGAAAGGCATCACATTTCATACCCGCGAACTCAAAAAGGATCCGAAAGGTCTGTGGCGGCCAGCCCTCAACCCTTACGGCAAGCGGTTGTCAGTTTGTACATTTGGCGTGGTTGGTCTTGGTCGCATCGGTACTGCAGCTGCGCTGCGTGCCAAAGCTTTTGGCATGGACGTGGTGATGTATGACCCGTTTCGTGAAAATGGCGCAGAGCTGAGCGTTGGCATCCGTCGCGTGCAATCGTTAGAGGAGCTGTTCAGCACCAGTGATGTGGTGAGCCTGCACTTACCGCTTTCCACAGATACAGAAAAACTCATCAACGCCGATGTCCTGTCGCACAGCAAACCTGGTCTGGTTCTGATTAATACCGCGCGCGGACCAATTATTGACCTGGACGGTTTGTATCAGGCGATGCAGGCGAATCACGTTCAAGCGGCGGGCCTGGATGTGTTGCCTGAGGAGCCCGCTAACCCGGATCATCCTTTGATCAAAGCATGGGCTGCGGACGAAGACTGGATCAATCATCGTCTTCTGATTACTCCCCATTCTGCTTTCTTCACACCGGAATCTGTCTACGACATGCGCTTTAAAGGTGGAGAAGTGGCGCTTAACTATCTTGAGCAGAATCGACTTAACAATTGTGTAAACGCGCAATGGTTGAAGCAGCCGCGTTAGGTTGAGCCTATGACACCGGATTACCACAAGCGTCGGCAGCGCGTATTCCTGATTCTCTCTGGAATATTCCTTGGCACCCTGGCGCTGCTGAATGTGCTGGGTATCAGCCGGTTTGTTGACTTGTCATTCAACGTGTTTGGAGTGCAGATCCCTATGGTGGTGGCAGTAGGGGTGCTGCCTTACCCAGTCACGTTCATGTGTACCGACCTTATCTCTGAGCTGTTTGGTGAGAAAAAAGCCCGCGACATGGTCTGGGTGGGGTTGATGCTGAATGTCTGGGTGATTTTTCTATTGTGGCTGGGTGGGGCTCTACCGGGATTTGAGCCTATCGACCCCGCTACAGGCGGCCCGATGCTGGATGAGGCGGGGCGGTTGCCTGTGTTTTATGAAATCCGCGAACTGGCGTTTGGTGCGGTAGCGGCATCCATGCTGGCTTATCTGATTGCTCAGTTTGTTGATGTGCGATTGTTTCACTTCTGGAAGAAACTCACCGCAGGCAAACATCTGTGGTTACGTAATAACGCATCAACCATGGTGAGCCAGATTGTGGATACTACCGCGGTCATATTGATCACGCATTTCTATGCACGTGCGTTACCGGTAAACGATGGCGAACCGATCTGGCCACAGCTGTTTGTATTTATAGCTTCAGGATACGTTTTTAAACTGGTTGTGGCCGCGGCGGATACCGGACCGATCTATCTTGCGGTCAAATATCTGCGCCCTTATCTCGGTCTGAAAGGCACCGAAGAGGCGACCGACGACTAACGTTCCACCTGACCGAGATTGGCGTGTATGACCGCGCCGTTGATGACCGGACTGTTGGCAGCCCACAACAGTGAGTCCGCAATTTCCTCTGGGCGCACCAGACGTTCGTATGCGCTCATGCCGCTGATCATTGCCATCGCATCTGCTGGTACGTGGGCGCGTAACATCTCGGTGTCGGTAAACCCGGGGCAGATGCATGCTGTATGAATGCCACGCCCCGCCAGATCCTGGCAAGTGGCGCGCATCATGCCCACCATCGCGTGTTTGGTTGTAACGTAGCTGAATGAGCCGGGCACCGCCTTTTCTGACAGGGTTGATCCAACGTAGAGAATGCTTGAGCCTGGGCCCATGTGCGGTATCAGAAACTGGTTGAGCGTATTCGGCGCGACCATATTGATTTCAATGATATCGCGGAAGTCCTGACTATTGGTTTCTGTTGTGCTGTCACTGGCGAGGCGGGCCGCATTGTGGATCAACACCAGCTCATCGACATCGACCAGCAGTTTATTCAGTTCAGGTGCCAGCGACTCGAGGAAATTCGGGTTTGCCAGGTCACACGGTAAATGATGAGCAGCTTCAAGTGGGCAGGGACGACGTGAGAGGTTGATAACACTATAGCCTGCGGAGGCAAAAGCTTCTGCCGTTTTCAAACCGATGCCGGCGCTTGCGCCCGTGATCACTAAATATTTCAAATGCCCTGCTCCATTTGTTCTGTATTGTCTAGTTCCTGACGAAACCAGGAGGCTGTTGCCCATTGACCTTCACCGGATGAACATCTTAAAACCAGATGATTGATGTCCAACTCAGCAATGTCCGGTCGATGGCGCAGCTTGTCGAGAAAATACTGCGCCATTTCTTCAACAGTGATGTTCCTGACCGGCAACAGGGTAAGGTCGCGATCCAGAAATGGAATGCGCTCACCATTGAAAATAATGAAGGTGTATTGGTTGTCTTTTTCGATCTCGAGGTAAGGAGATTGCGTCGGCATCAGGACCTGCTCATCCAGTTCATCACACAGCGCTTTGAGGGCCTTCTTAAGAATGTTGTAGTCGAAAGTCAGGCCATCTGCGGCGATTCTGGCGGTAGCATCCAGCGTCACCTGGAAGTTGTGTCCGTGCAGGTTTTCACGATCGGTGGCAGAAAACAGGGTGAAGTGCGCAGCGGCAAAGTGCAGGTACTCTTTGCTTATTTCGATGGTGGTTGTGTCTTGAGGCATAGCTATTTTTCCAGTCGGTAGACAACTGTAACCCAGGCTCCGGCAAGGTGTCGTGAAAGTGGTGGTGAGAAACTTTTTTCCACAGGCTGCTAGAGGTCTTCCTGGATGTGGTCGAGTACAAGACCATAGAAGTAATCTTCACCGCTGGCGCGCGTAAAATACCATCCCAGATGGGCATGACACTGTTCGCAGGCAGCAAGACGCCAGAAATAGCCCATGAACCAGCTGTCTGCCGCTTCCGGCGAGCCAGACAAAGCGCACCCTAGCGCGTTGGAAAAACAGCCCACCTGGTAACTGAATCCGTGTGGATTGGTGAAAAAGTGGCTGTGATTGCCGTTCACTGCAATTTTCATCGCCGCGCTGGTGATCACGTGGGAGCAACTGGCACAATAGATGTATTTCCTGTCAACAGTGTCATCTGCGCTGTCAGCCTCTAAGATCGCCTTCAGATCGGGGTCGAGAGTAGATTGGCTGGGCTCTTTTATTTCGCTCATTTTTTTCAGCTATAACCTGCAGGTACAGACAACGTTGGACTCATACACAAGCATCTTCGAGCGAGCCGCTTCACGCAAGGGTGGTGAAGCGGCTTTTGAGTCCCTGCTCGACGCGACAGTGTCTGAACCTCTGTCAGAAAAACAGCTGCTGCAGGTCTCTGATGCCGATATTTTAAGTGAGATGACCAAATGTGTGTTTCGGTCAGGCTTCGTCTGGAAAATAATTGAGGCAAAGTGGCCGGGATTTGAGCTGGCATTTCATCACTTTGATGTCATGCGGTGTGCGATGTTGTCTGATGAGGAACTCGAAAAGCTGCAACGCAATGTGGAAATTGTCCGCCACGGGCAGAAAATTCGCAGTGTGCCGGTCAACGCACAATTCGTTCTGGCGGTGCGGGCGGAGTATGGCAGCTTTGCGAAATTTCTCGCCGCATGGCCTCAGGATGATGTGGTTGGGTTGTGGGCTGAATTAAGAGCTCGAGGCAGCAGGCTCGGCGGCCAGACCGGGCGATACCTGTTACGTTTTATCGGCTACGACACGCCATTGCTGTCTGCTGACGTTGTTCAGGCGCTGGTTGCTGTCGGGGTTGTCGATAAAGCGCCGACAGGTAAGCGGGCGCTGCAGCAAACCCAGGCAGCCTTTAGTCAGTGGCAGGAAGAAAGTGGCTGCAGTTACAACCGCATTTCGCGCGTGTTAGCCTGTTCGGTGCCTTAGGGGAACCACTTCATGAACGCCAGAACACAATCTCAAATTGAGGGTCTGAAACACGCCGGTGTTGCTGTGCGCGCTGCTTTTGACGCCATGGTCGAGGTTTGCCAGCCGGGTATGACCACGCGTGAGCTGGATAACGTCGGGGCACAGGTGCTGAAACTTCATGGCGCTAAGTCAGCCCCGCAGCTGTATTACGATTTCCCGGGCGCCACCTGTATTTCAATCAATGAGCAGGCTGCGCATGGCATCCCTGGAGATACAACAATTGCTGACGGCGACATGATCAATATCGACGTGTCTGCGAATCTGAATGGGTTTGTAGCAGACATGGGTCAGTCTTTTGTTGTGGGTGATGCCGATCCGGAACAGGCGCGGATTTGTCAGGCGGTTAAAGAGGCGGTAGACAGCGCCATCACGAAAGTGCGTTCTGGTCGCTCGCTCAATGTGATTGGTCGCGCGGTGCAGGCGGTTGCGGATCGCGAGGGGTATACCATTGTGCAGAACCTCGGCAGTCATGGCGTTGGTGCGTCGATTCATGAGGAGCCTTCGTACATACCGTTTGATAATCCGAAAGAAACCAGACAACTGACCAGAGGAATGGTGTTAACCATCGAGCCGTTCTTCAGCACCGGGGTGGTCTGGGTACACGAAGAAGATGATGGTTGGACGCTGTCAGTGCCGCCTGGAGAACTGGTTGCTCAGTTTGAACACACTATTGTTGTGACCGATCGCGATGCGCTGGTGGTGACGGCTTAGCTTTTCGAAAAAGCTGAGCGTACAAAGATTTTTGGCGGCGGGAGGGGAAGCCGATGCGTTTTGAATTAACTGAAGAGCTGAGAAATTTTCAGGCAGAAATAGAAGAATTTCTTGCCAGGGAGCTGCCTGGGGATCTGGCCGAAAAAGTGCGTTGTGGTGCAGGGGTTACGAAAGCGGAACTGGCTGGCTGGACGCGTACGTTGAATGCCAGAGGCTGGGCTGCGCCAAACTGGCCGGTGGCGGATGGGGGTACGGGTTGGAACCTGATGCAGCGTCACATCTTTGATGTGGCATGTCGAGGCGCACATGCCCCGCAGTTATCCGGGTTTGGTTTCAACATGGTCGGGCCGGCGATTGCCAAGTACGGATCCCAGGCGCAAAGAGAATACTTTCTACCTAAAATCCTTAATGCAGATTTATGGTTCTGTCAGGGTTACTCCGAACCCCAGGCGGGCTCGGATCTGGCCAGTTTGAATACCCGTGCAGATCGTGAGGGTGATGAATATGTTGTTAATGGTCAGAAGATCTGGACCTCGGCGGCGGAGGACGCAGACTGGATCTTTGCGCTGGTCCGAACCAATTTCGATGTGCAGCAGCAGAAAGGTATCAGCTTCCTGTTGATGGATATGGATGACCCTGGCGTGACGGTCAAGCCACTCTATGCGTTTAACGGCAAACGTTTGTGGAATCAGGTTTTCTTTGACAACGTTCGTGTGCCTGTCAGTCAGCGCCTGGGTGAAGAGAATCGCGGTTGGACCGTGGCCAAAAGCCTGCTGGGCGATGAGCGTCTGCTGGTTTCAAGGGTTGCTGAAAACAAGCGAATTCTGAGCGTCGTCAAAGAAACGTTGGATCAACAGCTGGCCATGGGCCAGACACTGCCGGAAGCCCTTGCTGGTGAAATCAGCGAACTTGAAATACGTTTGCACGCGCTGGAAATGACCAGTCTCAGAATTCTCACCCAGGCAGATGCTGGTGGGCAGATTGGCGCGGAGCCTTCCATGCTGAAGCTCAAAGGCAGCCAGTTGGTGCAGGATCAGGATGAGTTGTTATTCCGCCTGATTGACTATCTGGCATTACCCACCGATCGCAAAAATGCGCCTCGAGAAGCCATCGGTCCAGATCTTTCTGAATACGTTGCTTCAGGTCGTTATCACCATCGAGGGTATACCATTGCGGGTGGTTCCTCTGAGGTGCAGCACAATATTATTGCTAAGCAGGTGCTGGGTCTATAAACAGTCAGCGGCATCCAATGCTATGTGGATGCACAAACCCAGGCCCACCAACCTCGTTTTTGGATGCGCGAGCATCAGTACATACAAACCGATGGGTAGCCAGGTGTGTAGTGGATGAAAGCCAATGCTGCAGCGCATCGGGTCATAGATAGGGTCAGCTAACAGATGGTCTATATCGATCAACATACCGGACATCATCAACAGATAAGTTTTGCGCCACTGCGGTCGGTAGAAAGCGGTGCTGACAAGTCCCGGCACGAGAAAGTGAAGTGCAATATGTAACATCAGGTTCTCAGCTTCCGGATGGCAGTCAAGTCGATAGCAGGATGCGCGTTGTGTTGAAGCGTTGGTGCTGTTGTCATGCTGGATGTTTGCTCAGGTCTAACCACCACAGCAGAACGTAGGTGATGCCGCACGCACCGGCGCCATAAATCATCAGATCCGAAGACAGGTAGTGAAATTGATATTCGGGATGGTTGCTCAAGGAGAAGTGCAGAGCGGCATGAACTGGCAGAAAGACGCACACCATACGACGAAACGTCAGCCGTATTTTAGGGTTCTGATTGGCACCCAGATACAGAGCAGCAAGAAACACAGGTAAATGCAGCCAGATAAACCACTTTGATGCAACGCCATCGCTCATCTCTGCCAGCACCCAAAGCAGCCGCCACTCGGCATGCAGGGCAGCATCCAGTTCGTGGGTGAACAGCAGGGCAAGCCCAAGATTGAATAAAATGGTGGGGCCGCTCATCTACTGGTAAGTGCGACCTTTGTGTTTCAGCCAGCCGTGCGGGTGCCTGTTGGCGGGATCATGGTGCGTCCAATGCACCACACCACCTTTGTTATTGTATTCATACTCACCGAAGAAGGCGACGGTGTCGCCTCGGCTTAAGTTGGCAATTCGGGGCGCCAGATCGATATTGTGCGCCACTAAAATGGTCTGGTCTAAAGCCGTTTCAAGCAGAAAGCGTTGGTGCCTGCTGCCGTTATTATCATCGGACAGTACTCGCACCACTGTGCCTTCGCCGCTGATCTGCAAGTCACTGATCTGGCGATTAAAAGCGTCGAGAAGCGCTTGTGCGTTAGCCGTTGATGCGCTTTCGGGTGCCGTTAAGTTATGACCAGGTGCGGCAGTATCCAGTTGGTTGTAGCCGAGCAATGCAAGGACTACAGCAACAGCTAAGGTGGTCAGCTTACTTTTACTCATGGTAAATCACGTGTTTTTGCGCATTATTTGGCGGATGCCAACAGTTCTTTTAAATCACTGTCGGGGTCTGCCAGCAGCGCCTGGTCGACGCTTTTGCCAATCAGTTGCTTACACACCATGAATTCTTTGGGGCTGTTGACTGCATCAGCAGCAACGACTTTGCCATCGTCCAGGTAAAACACCGCAAACTGATTTTCCGCCATGTCGCCGCGTACAATCTGGCTGCTGCCGTCGGCAGAGAAACCAACCATCTGTAGTTTCAGTTCGTACTGATCGGACCAGAACCAGGGTATGGCGGCATAGACTTTGTCGCCGCCCAACATGTTTTCAACGGATACCCGTGCCTGTTCCATGGCGTTAGGTACAGACTCAAGCCTCAGTCTGCGGTTCAGCAATGGATTGGGGTGGTTGCTGCAATCCCCTGCTGCGTAAATGTCAGGGTCGGATGTACGGCAGTGATCATCAACCACAATACCGTTGTCCACCTCCAGACCGGCATCCTGTGCAAGTTCTACGTTGGGGATGATACCTATGCCGACAATCACCAGGTCTGCGTCGAATTCGGTGTCGCCGCATAACACCTTGCGCACCTGGCTGTCACCGGAAAATCCTGTGACGCCGGTGTCGGTATGAATATGAACGCCCCGGGAGGTATGTAACTGGTGGTAGTAGGCTGACATTTCCGGCGTTGTAACGCGTTGCAGAATACGCGATTCCATTTCCAGAACATGTACGTTCAGCCCCTGTTCTACGCCTACAGACGCAACTTCCAGGCCGATGTAGCCGCCGCCGACAATCACCAGGCTTTTGCCGGGCGCCATTTCAGCGCGAATGGCGTCAACATCAGCGATGGTACGCAGATAATGAATGCCGGGTAAGTCGGAGCCCTCAATACTGAGCATGCGTGGGCGACTGCCGGTGCTGATGATCAGTTTGTCGTAGGCAAGCGTTTCACCATTGTCGAGACTGACTGTTTTATTGTCGCGATCGATAGCGGTCGCCGTAGTGTTCAGTTTCAGGCTGATGTTTTTGTCTTCGTAAAAGGATGCGGGCCGCAGGTAAACGCGATCGAGGCTCTGTTCACCGGATAAATACTGCTTCGACAGTGGCGGACGCTGGTAGGGCACATGCGGTTCGTCGCCGATGATTGTGATGGGCCCTTCGTATTTTGCCTGTCGTAGACTTGCCGCTGCCTGTCCTGCAGCGTGACCTGCACCAATAATCACCATCCCCGACATAATCCGTCTCCTTAAACGCAATCAATCAAAAGGCCTAGTTTACCCTGTCGTGATAAGCTTTTCGCACTTTCAATTGTCATCGCGGGGGCGGGTTGTGGCTGAATTTTTAACGCTGCATGAGATCATCAGAAAAGCGCGTGAAAACCTTGATCAGGGTGCCTGGGATTACCTGATCGGAGGTGCGGACACGGAAAGCGCTCTGCGGCGCAATCGGGCAGGGGTTGAGTCCTGGCTGTTCAAGCCACGTATTCTGAATGATGTGACAGAGGTGGTCTGTAATACCGAATTGCTGGGTCAGCCGTTGCGCATACCGGTCATCATGCCGCCGATTGGCTCTGTGCAGGCATTTGAAGCTGGTGGCGCTGCCAGTGTGGCAAAAGCGGTGGATGAATTTGGCATCCTGCAGGTGCTCAGCTCGGTGTGTACGCCGGATTTTGAAACACTGGCCGCTCAACATCCCGGGCCGCGTATTTATCAGTTATATCTCACCGGCGATGAAGCCTGGATGGATGACATCATTAATCGCGCCCTGGAAGCTGGCTACACCGGGTTTTGTTTAACCGCCGATACCCAGACTTATTCACGCCGGGAGCGGGATATTCTGAAACGCTATGTGCCTTTGTCCGGACGAATTGCCGGGGGCGGCGTCTTTAAAGCCCAGGCCGCGATGACCTGGGATACCGTTGCCCACATCAAAGAAAAGTTTTCCATTCCCCTGCTGATCAAAGGGGTGGGGGTAGGTGAAGACGCCCGGCGCTGTGTGGAGATGGGGGTTGACGTTGTCTGGGTCAGTAATCACGGTGGCCGTCAGCTGGATCATACGCGTGCCTGCATTGATGCCCTGCCCGAGGTTGTAGAAGCCGTTGAAGGTAAAGTGCCGGTAGTGGTGGATGGTGGTTTCATGCGCGGTGCTGATGTGGTCAAAGCGCTTTGCCTGGGTGCAACTGCCGTTGGTATGGGTCGTTTTGAGGGCCTGGCTCTGGCCGCTGGAGGAGCACCTGCGCTGCTAACTGCGTTGGGGATTCTGGAACATGAAATTAAAACGACCATGGCGCTGGCGGGGGTTAACAGCCTTACTCAATTGAATCCGGACCTGCTCTGTCGAGATGCGCCGTTGGCCACATCACATGTCCTGTCGGCTTTCCCGTTGTTGAGTGAAGGCTACTGAAGAATCAGGGTCGTAGCCGCTACTTCGAGTCGCGCGGCACCGGCATGGGAAAGGGGGTGACTTTGTCACCCTTGCTGTCGACCACTTTTGCGACGCCTTCTTTTTCTACTTCATCGATTCGCACGATGGCGTGCATGGGGATGAATGAGCGCTGTACGCCGTCGAATTCGGTGCGCAGGCGTTCTTCGCTGGGGTCGATCAGCATCTGTGAGCGGGTGCCGAAGGTATAGTCTTCGATCTCCACAAAGCCATAGAGCTCGCTCTGGTAGATGCTGTGTGCATACAGCTCATAAATCTGACCTTGATTGTGGAAAATCACGCGGTAGATGTGTTTTGGCTGATCTCGTTCGCTCATAAAAGGTACTTCTGGGTCTGTAGGCATTAGCGCCAGGGCAGAGATTGGTGCAGTTTGCCAGGTTTCAAGGCCCGGGAGCTAGGGAAACTCGCGATAAATTGTAAGTGTCCTGGTACAACAACCTTCAAGGAAGCCTCAATGAGTGTGGTTCTGTGTGCTGGGTTTACCCTATAATGCGCGCCCTTTTAAACCTCGCCTGTTGCATGTAATGGCCAAAAAACTGTTTGTAAAAACTCACGGCTGTCAGATGAACGAGTACGACTCTGCGCGTATGCATGACGTGCTGCGCGAGCAGGGTGATTACGAGTTGGTTACTGATGAGAACGAGGCGGACGTTATCCTGCTCAACACCTGTTCGATACGGGAAAAAGCACAGGAAAAAGTCTTCCATCAGCTGGGCCGCTGGCAATCGCTGAAAAAAGCCAACCCGGACCTTGTCATTGGTGTTGGCGGCTGTGTGGCGAGCCAGGAAGGGGATGCCATACGTGCTCGAGCGCCTTATGTAGATATGGTGTTTGGTCCGCAGACCATCCACCGCCTGCCACAGATGGTGGATGCTGCGAAAGTACAGAAGCTGCCGGTGGTAGACGTCACGTTCCCGGAAGTGGAAAAGTTTGATCTTCTGCCTGAGCCGAAGATGGATGGCCCCGCAGCATTTTTGTCCATCATGGAAGGCTGCAGTAAATATTGCTCGTTCTGCGTTGTACCTTATACACGCGGCGAAGAAGTCAGTCGATCAGTTGATTCGGTCATGCAGGAAGTTGTTGCTCTGGCCAGGCAGGGTGTTCGCGAAATACACCTGTTAGGGCAGAATGTGAACTCCTATCGGGGGGCAATTGACGATGACTTTGCCGATCTGGCTGAGTTAATACACTACGTCGCGGCAGTAGAGGGTGTCGATCGGATACGCTTTACAACGTCGCACCCACTGGATTTTTCCGACACGCTGATTCAGGCCTATGCTGAAGTGCCGGAGTTGGTTGATCATCTGCATCTACCGGTACAATCTGGCTCTGATCGTATTCTCCAGGCGATGAAACGCGGTCATACGCGTGCCGATTACGTAGAAAAAATTGCTCGACTGCGCGAAGTCAGACCCAATATCAGTTTATCTTCTGACTTTATCATCGGTTTTCCTGGCGAAACCCAGGCCGACTTTGATGACACCATGGCGTTAATAGAAGAGATTGGCTTTGATGTTTCTTTCAGCTTTATTTACAGCGCCAGACCGGGAACGCCTGCTGCGGCACTGCCTGACGAAACGCCTGAGGCGTTGAAAAAGGCCTGGCTGCAGCAGTTGCAGAGCCGTATCCGTGAGCAGGCTGAGGAGATTTCACAGCAGATGGTCGGCACACGGCAGAAGTTGTTGGTTACTGGGGTATCGAAAAAAGATGCCAGCCAGCTGGCTGGTCGAACGGAAAACAACAGAGTTGTAAATTTCACGGGTGACCAGAATCTGGTCGGCGAGTTTGTGGAAGTTGTGGTGACTGAAGCGCTGCCGAATTCTCTTCGTGGCGAACAGGTGAGCTGAAGAGCCAGAAAAACTTCATTTGACAGGGTTTCTTGTCGGTCTATGCTTGGGCCCTGAGTTGATCTGTCGCAAAATACTATGGTGAAAATTGGAAGAAAATAGTTCCGCGGAATCTTCGCAAGAGACACTTGCCGAAGACCAAGCACAAGTTGTCGCCCTCACCCGCAGGGTAGTACTAGAACCTAACGATTCCCAACGCCTGAGCGCGCTGTGTGGACCAGTCGACCAAAATCTCAAACATCTGGAAAAACGTCTTGCGGTCAGCATTCGCAATCGCGGTAACGAGTTTCAGGTCAGTGGACCTGAGCCTCGAGTAGAAGCCGCCGCGGCGCTGCTACATCAGCTGTATAGAGAGACCCACGACCGGGACACCATTGATCCTGATTTTGTGCATCTGTATCTGCAGGAAGCCGGGGTTGAAGCCCTGGTGCAGAACACTCCGGTTACGCAAAGCAAAGCCCATCAGGGTGGTGATGATTCCGCTGAGTTGATCATCCGAACTTTTAAAAAGCCGATTAAACCGCGCGGTGGTAATCAGCAGGCTTATACACGTTTGATACGAGCACACGACATTAATTTCGGGATAGGCCCAGCCGGTACCGGTAAAACATTTCTTGCTGTGGCGTGCGCTGTGGAGGCCCTGGAAGCGCAGCGTGTGTCACGTATTCTTCTGGTCAGGCCGGCAGTGGAAGCTGGTGAGAAGTTAGGGTTTTTACCTGGGGACCTGGCGCAGAAAATCGACCCCTACCTGCGCCCGCTATATGACGCATTGTATGAAATGATGGGTATTGAGCGGGTAACCAAGTTTATTGAGCGGAACATTATTGAGGTCGCACCGCTTGCTTATATGCGCGGGCGAACGCTCAATAACGCTTTTATCATTCTCGATGAAAGTCAGAACACCACAGTGGCGCAGATGAAAATGTTTCTGACGCGCATCGGCTTTGGCTCTACCGCGGTGATTACCGGTGATATTACTCAGATAGACTTGCCTCGGGGCGAGCGCTCCGGGTTGGTAAATGTGCGTAATGTGCTGCGCAATATAGACGGTATCAGCTTTACTCATTTTAGCTCTAAAGACGTGGTTCGGCATCCTCTGGTGCAACGTATTGTTGATGCTTATGCTGCTGCCGAAAGTCGTGCTGATGCGGATAACGGTCGAGATGCCAATCGTTCTGCAAGTTGATGCCGCTACAACTGTTTCTTTCGAAACGCTCGAATCCCGTATCCATACTTGCCAGCAAGCCTTAAAAGAATTGTTGGTCGATGATCGTCTCGGGTTCGATTTGTGTGTGCGTATATGTGAAGAGGCTGAGTCGGCACAGCTCAATGAAGATTTTCGCAATAAACCCTACGCAACAAACGTTTTAAGTTTTCCAGCAGATGTTGATTTGCCGGAGGGTGCACCTGTGCTGGGGGATCTTGCGTTGTGCTGGCCGGTGTTGCAGCGCGAAGCGCTGGCGCAGAATAAAACAGAACTTAATCATTTCAGTCATCTGTTTGTGCACGGTGTTCTACATCTGCTTGGGTTTGACCATGTCACTGATGACGAGGCTCAGGAAATGGAGGCGATCGAGATTCAGGTACTGCAGAGGCTCGCGATAGCAAATCCTTATATCCATTGCGACTAGACCCTGGCTTTGTGGTATATATGCGTTCAAGGACACTGACCCGTTGCTAAATGAGCGATAATACTGAGCGTGGTGAGGCATATACAGAAGATGCCAGCCCTGATGACTCAGGTCGAAACGACACTCCCCGCAGGGGTGTGCGCGAATGGCTGACCGACCTTTTTTCGGATGAGCCTGAAGACCTGTCTGAGTTAATGGAAATTCTGCGCGAAGCAGCAAATCGACAAATGTTCGACGACGAAGCGTTGAACATTATATTTGGAGCATTGCATGTGGGCGATATGCATGCCCGCGATATCATGATTCCGAGATCCTCTCTGGTTGTTGTGCGTGAAGATCAGGAGCCTGCTGAGCTGCTGCCAATCATTATCGAATCCGAACACTCCCGTTACCCGGTGGTGGGTGATGATGTCGATGATATTAAAGGCATTCTGCACGCTAAAGATCTGTTGCCACTGGTGCTGGAAACCGACCACAGTAAATTTTCCATGAAAGACTGCATTCGCAAAGCTACGGTGATCCCCGAGAGCAAGCGACTGAATGTGCTCCTGCAGGAATTTCGCGCAACGCGGAATCATATGGCGCTGGTGGTGGACGAATACGGTCAGATCTCCGGGGCTGTTACCATCGAAGATGTGCTTGAGCAGATTGTTGGTGACATCGAAGACGAACACGATGTACATGACGACAGCGGTATCAAACAGATGGAACCGCAGAGCTTCCACGTGAAAGCCAACCTCCCCATCGACGATTTTAACGAGCACTTCGACACGCAATTCAGTGATGAAGAGTTCGACACCATTGGTGGCATCGTGCTGCAGGCGTTTGGTCACCTGCCGGAACGGGGTGAGACGGTTGAAGTTGAGACACTCAAGTTTGAAGTGCTGAATGCAGACTCGCGTCGCTTGCGCCTGTTGCGGGTGAACACCCTCAAATGATCTATCTGATGGCGCTTGCTCTGGGCGCCATTTACAGCCTGGGTTTTGCGCCTTTCGATTTCTGGCCCCTTACGATGGTGGCGATTGGCGGCCTCTACTGTCTGTTACAACTTCCTGTTTCGCAACGCAGTCCCCGACAGGCCGGTCTGGTGGCCTGGCTGTTTGGACTTGGCCAGTATGGCGTTGGGGCTTCCTGGGTGTACGTCAGTATTCATGTTTATGGAAATGCGCCACCACCGCTGGCCTTGTTTATGGTGGCGCTTTTTGTAGCGGTACTTGCCTTGCTGTTTGTATGGCCATTGGGGTGGTGTTTCAGTCGACTGCGCACGCCACGCGGGTCCTGGTTCAGTGTATTTGCCTTTGTTGCGCTGTGGCTGCTGTTAGATTGGATGTCCACCTGGCTGTTCACAGGCTTTCCCTGGCTGCTGCCGGGCTACGCCGGTCTGGACACCCCCATCCAGAGCCTCGCACCGCTGTTTGGCGTGTTGGGAACAGGCTTGTTCATGTGTCTCAGTGCTGCAGCGTTGGCGGCGATGGCGGTAAATCGTCGATTTCAGCTCAGCTTTTTTGGTCTTGCGCTGCTGCCCTGGCTGGTCGGGTTTGTCCTGGCGCCGGTTAACTGGGTAACGCCTGAAGCTCAATATTCCGCGGCTCTGGTGCAGGGCAATATCGACCAGGCGGTGAAATGGCAGCCTGATCAGGCAGTACCGAATGTGCGCAAACATCTCGAGTTATCTGCCGACCATTGGGATGCTGATATTCTGGTCTGGCCGGAAGCCGCGATTACGCTTTATCCCCAGCAGGCTCAGGGTCTGCTCGAAGACCTGGCCCGACAGGGACAGGCAACACAAACGGATATGGTTGCCGGCATTCCCGGCGTTGAGATGGTGGGTGAGGGGCAGTATGAATTTCAGAACCTGGCTATTGGCCTGGGTCGTGCCCGAGGCCGGTTTGCAAAGCAGCATCTGGTGCCATTTGGGGAATATGTACCGTTGGAGGGGCTGTTACGGGGCTTGATTACTTTTTTTGATCTGCCAATGTCGCGATCATCCCCGGGACGGGCGGATCAGCCGAATCTGCAGCTTTCTTTTGGATCTGCGGCAATGGCGATCTGTTACGAAATTGCTTATCCGGCAAGTATGCGTCAGCGTGCCAGGGATGCCGCGGTGTTAATTACCATCTCTAATGACACCTGGTTTGGTGCCAGCATCGGACCCCTGCAGCATATGCAGATTGCGCGGATGCGTGCGTTGGAGAATGGCCGTTGGCTGTTGCGTGCCACGAACAATGGCGTGACCGCAATTGTTGCACCTGACGGTACTATACAGGGGCGCTTACCTCAGTTTGAAGCAGGTGTGCTGCGTGGTTCCATCCATGTCATGAACGGCGAAACCCCATTTAAAGTGATGGGGCACTGGCCTGCGCTGGCCTATGTGTTTGGAGTATTGTCATTCGCATTGTTGCGCCGCTGGAGAAAATCCGCAAGCACAACAACTTCGCCGCCGTTGGCAGGGTCGTGATCGTAAGCGGCGCAACAGCAGGCAAGAAAACGCTCGGCGCCTAAATCTTCGGGTTGGCGTTCTTCGAATTCAAGCACCATTTCCACACAGTCACACATACGCAGTAAATCATCGCGGGCGTAGGCGAAACGCAACAGGGCCGCCATCAGCGCAGGGCTCATCAACAAAGGTATGCCCCGGTTGGCCATTTCAAATGGCAGCTCCATGACCCAGTCGCAGGCGATGGTGAGTTTGTTCTGATTTAGATTTTCCATGGCGCTAAGTTAGCGCTGTGGTGGTGAATCGTTTGTGAATGGTAGTCCCGTTCAGCAAGCTGTTATCTATGCTGTGGCCACAGCCTGCATGAATGCAGACAACTTCTTGTTATCGAGCTGGTGGTTGGTGCGCACACCCGAGCAAAGATCCAGCCCAAAGGGTTTAACCTGGCTGATCGCGCGACTGACATTGTCTGACGCCAACCCACCTGCCAGGAAAACCGGTTTCTCTGTGGCCGCAATACAGGCGGCGCTGATGGCCCAGTCGTGTGTTCTGCCGGTACCACCCAGTTCAGTGACCGCGGCATTAGGGCGTCCGCTATCGAGCAGGAACGCGTGTACATAAGGCTCGTACTGCCGTATCAGCTCTATAGCGCCTGCGTCTTCGACATGAATCACCTGTACCCGGCGAATATGGGGGAGCGCTTTGATGATTATGGGGTATTCCATGGCATCAATATGGCTGACAATCTGTAGCGTGTTGGTGCCACAATATCTGGCGTGATCGACGATACCATCAGCCTCTGTGCGGGATGTGAGCAGAAATGTTGCCAGCGGCGGTGGTGCAAATGCGGCAATCTGCGCAATGGTGTCATCGTCAATCGGTCCGGGACCAGATGGCATTTCAGCGACAAGGCCCAGAGCATCAGCGCCGGCAGCAATGGCCATGTTCGCTTCCTCGATAGATGCAATGCAGCATATCTTTACGCGTGTTCGGTGCATGGTTGTTCCCGGTGATGGTATCCTTCTCGCCCTCTCAATTTAGCAGGTTTTCGCAACGCCCATGAACGCTGTGTACGACCCCCATAAAGTCGAAGCCGACGCACAACAATTCTGGCACGACAACGCGTCTTTCCGTGCCACTGAATCCGCCGATGGCGAAAAGTTCTACTGTCTGGCGATGTTTCCTTATCCCAGCGGTCGCCTGCATATGGGGCATGTGCGCTGTTACACCCTGGGTGACGTCATCAATCGCTATCACCGCCTTAAAGGCTTCAATGTGATGCAACCCATGGGTTGGGACGCCTTTGGCCTCCCGGCTGAGAATGCGGCGATCAAAAACGATATTCCCCCTGCGGTCTGGACCAAGGACAACATTGCTTACATGCGCGGCCAGATGCAGCGGCTGGGTTTCGGTATCGATTGGTCGAGGGAATTTGCCACCTGTGATCCAGAGTATTATCACTGGGAGCAGTGGCTGTTTGTGCGCCTGTATGAAAAGGGCCTGGTGTACAGAAAGAATTCAGTGGTCAACTGGGATCCGGTTGATCAGACCGTGCTGGCAAATGAACAGGTTGTTGATGGCCGCGGATGGCGATCGGGCGCTGTGGTAGAGCGGCGTGAAATGGCCCAGTGGTTCCTGAAAATTACAGCCTATGCCGAAGAGCTCTTGACCGAGCTTGATGAGATGGATGGCTGGCCGGAATCTGTAAAAAGCATGCAGCGTAACTGGATTGGTCAGAGCCAGGGCGTGGAGATCGACTTCGAAGTGCAGGGTGCAGGCGAAACCTTAACGGTTTTTACGACCCGACCAGACACATTGCTGGGTGCCACCTATGTTGCCGTGGCGGCAGAACATCCGCTGGCGCAAACTGCTGCTGCGCAGGACCCTGGTGTTGCCGACTTTGTCGCCCAGTGTAAACAGGCCACAACTGCAGAAGCGGACATGGCCACCATGGAAAAAGCAGGTGTGGCTACCCATCTCAAAGTTGTGCATCCGCTGACCGGTGATCTCCTGCCGGTCTGGGTGGCTAACTTTGTCTTAATGGAATACGGCTCGGGTGCGGTGATGTCGGTGCCTGGCCACGATCAACGCGACTGGGAATTTGCCAGAAAATACGATATTCCAATCGTGCAGGTCATCGAGCCGACGGGTGATGAAGCCTGTGATTTACAGGTAGAAGCCTTCACTGAGCATGGGCGTCTGGTTAATTCCGGTGAGTTCGATGGTTTGCTGTTCGACGCCGCTTTTGATGCGATCGCCGATGCACTGGCAAAGCAGGAGACAGGTCGTCGGGTAACCAATTATCGTCTGCGCGACTGGGGCGTTTCGAGACAGCGTTACTGGGGCTGTCCAATCCCGATGATTCACTGTGGTGATTGCGGTGTTGTACCTGTGCCGGAAGCAGACCTGCCGGTTGTTCTGCCAACAGACGTTAAGTTTGAAGGCGTCAGCTCACCGTTGCAGAAAATGCAGAGTTTTCTGGATGTTAATTGCCCCAAGTGTGGTGCTGCTGCACGACGTGAAACTGATACGTTTGATACGTTTATGGAGTCGTCCTGGTATTACGCCCGTTTTGCCAGCCCTGATGCCAACACGCCCATGGTGGACGAGCGGGTGAACTACTGGGCACCGGTCGATCATTACGTGGGTGGCATTGAACATGCGATTCTGCATCTTTTGTATGCACGGTTCTTTTATAAGCTCATGCGCGATGAAGGCCTGGTCGACTCCAACGAGCCGTTCAAGCGGCTGTTGATGTTGGGTATGGTCCTGCAGAATGGCAAAAAGATGTCTAAGTCTGCAGGAGACGCGGGTGATCCACAGAAGCTGCTGGATAAGTACGGGGCAGATACCGTGCGCACGGCAATGATGTTTGCTGCACCGCCGGATCAGTCTTTTGAGTGGAGTGAAGCGGGTCTTGAGGGTGCGGCCAGGTTCATAAAAAAATTGTACGCGCTGGTTGAGGATCATCAGGCGAGTGGAGTGGTGGCGGCATTAGATGTTGCGCAGCTGAGCGATGCCGCAAAAGACCTGCGGCGCAAAACTTTTGAAACCCTGATGCGTGCAGACGACGATTACGGGCGGCGGTTGCAATTCAACACCGTAGTTTCGTCGGTTATGGAGTTGTGTAACGCGATCGGTAAATTCGAGACGACAAACGCCGCAGATCGAGCGGTGGTGGATGAAGCGCTGAAACATGCTGTGTTGATCATTTCTCCTATCGCCCCTCATGTGGCGCATCATCTCTGGCATCAGATGGGTGAGACCGGCGCTCTGGTTGCGGCAAGCTGGCCGTCGGTAGATGAGCAGGCCCTGACGCAGTCCACGGTAGAAATTGTGGTGCAGGTTAACGGCAAAGTCAGAGGTAAAATTGATGTTGCGGCGGATGCTGATAAAGATGATGTGCTCAGTCTTGCGAAAAGTGCAGACAATGTCGCCCGACACCTGGAAGACAAAACCATCCGTAAAGAAATTGTTGTCCCTAACAAATTAGTCAACATAGTAGTGAGCTGAGCTATGCTAATGAGAGCCTTGTTGATAAGTGTCACGCTGATCCTGGCGAGCTGCGGATTCCAGCTGCGCTCGTACAATTTCAGCGGGGCGGTCGACAGTTACGCGCTGGTTGGCAAAACCCAGCTTGGCGTTGCGCAACCCCTGCGGACGGGGTTGCGGCAGGCGGGTTTGCAGGAAGTAGAAGCTGATCAGGCGGAGCTCATTGTCGAGTTGCTTGATCAACGCCGTGACCGACGTAGCGTGTCTACTGCAGGACGCGCCCGTGCTGCTGAGTATGAGAGCAGTTACGCTGTGCTGTATCGGTTGCTCGATGGGCAAGGCCAGGAACTTGCACCAGCCAACTGGGTCGAACGCCAGCGTGTCTTCCGCGTCGATTCGGACAATATTGTTGGTAGTAGCGAAGAACAGGCTCTGCTGGAGCGAGAGTTGATGTCTGACGTCGTTGGTCAGATTATCCGCGCCATGGATGCGGTCAGTCGCCCGGCGAGCAATGCAGGTTAAAGCAGAACAGCTTGCCAAACAGGTCGCCGGTCAACTGGCGCCGATCTATCTGATCTCCGGAGAGGAACAGCTGCTGGTTGATGAAGCCTGCGACCTGATTGTTGCAGCTGCGCGCCAAGGCGGATTTACCGAGCGCTCGGTGCATCACGTTGAGCAGGGTTTTCGCTGGCATGATCTTCACCATGATGCTGCAAGCATGTCGCTGTTTGCGGAGAAAAAAATCCTTGATGTACGTGTACCGCCGAAGAAACTCGATAAAGAGGCCTCGAAAGCGCTGCGGGACTGGGTAGAAGATTTAGGTAAGACTGCGGATCTTGACCACATATTGTTGATGAGGACTGGCCGCCTGGATAAGAACCAGCGTACCAGCGCGTGGTTCAAGGCTCTGGACAAGGTCGGTGTGGTTACAGTCATCTGGCCGTTAGAGCCTGATCGTCTGCCCGCCTGGCTCGGGCAGCGTGCGCGTCAACTGAATTTGCAGATAGACAATGATGCAACCCAATATCTTGCTGATCGTGTTGAGGGGAATTTACTGGCCGCGGCACAGGAGCTGGAAAAGCTCGCTATCCTCGATTTGCCCTCGCCATTAACCCTTGAATCAGTGGTTGCCTGTCTTGAAGATGCATCACGCTACACCAGTTTTGATCTGATGGATGCAATGATGTCTGCGCAGCCGGCTCGCGTGGTCAAGATTCTATCGGGGTTGCGTGAGGAGGGTACCGCGCTGTTTGGAATTCTTGGTGCGTTTACTGCGCAGATGCGCCGCCTTTCTAATACCAGAGGTCTGCCTCCCGCCAAAGCACGTCTTGCCCAGCAGTTTCTCGCGCGCATACGCGACCCTGGAATGGTGTTGGCGGAGTGTGCAATCATCGATCAGCAGGGCAAAGGGCAGTTGCCCGGCGACGCATGGATGTCGTTAGAGAATCTTATTCTGCGACTGGCAGGCTTGAAATCGATGCCGCTCCCCAGTCAGGACCAGCGGAAGCTGGGCTAGCACTTTCCGGTTAAACGATGCTGCCAGTCAGAAAACTGTGATCTAGATCGCTGTTTGCTGGCCATTGGTGCTCGCTGGTATCAGAAGGGCTTCCGGTGGCAGTTGACGATATGCCAGGGAGGTCCGATGATGGGGAGAGTGTTTCGGTAGCCATCAACGGCTGCTTAGCGAATTTGCCGTAACCTGTTCATGATGAGTCTGGCCAACGGTATTGGAGAAAAACAGTGTTTAACAGAATGAGTTTGCAGGCGGTTGTGATAACTGCCGTGTTAGCAGGTACGTTTCTGCCTACCGCGCTGGTGTCGTCCGTATGGGCAGCCACCACCGAGTCGGTAAAGGCCACCAGCTGGGTTGGCAGAGTTGTCGTGACTGCAAACGGTGAGCTGTTGGGCCGGGTGGAAGACCTGGCTGTTGACGTCGAGCAGCAGCGGGTAAAATTTGTTGTGGTCTCAATTGGTAGTTTTCTGATTGATGAGAATCTTATTGCGGTAGACCCAAAAGCGCTTGGCGAATCAGAGGATGGACGCTATCTGGTGGTCTATGCTGACAATCTCGATCGCGCGCGTCGCTTCGGTACGGATACCTGGCCTGACAGCGCGGATGTGTTGCCTTCGGCAAGCCGTCAGCCGCCGCCGGCAGAAGTTGCAGCAGCAGATGAGAGCAACGCGCCGGCCGGCACCGGTCCACAGGCAACCATCAGTGATGGGCGTCGCACCGCCACGCTGAAAGCGGGCGAGAGAAATGCATCTATTGAACAGACCGGCCGACAGGCTGAGAGTGCCAAGAGCGATGTTGTTCAACCGAAGAAATATGCCCGGGGCAACGCGGATGCCCCCCTCCTGGCAGACAGTGAGTTCGAGCGGCTGGACGAAAATAACGACGGCTATCTCAGCCGTGGTGAAATCGGCATTCGCCTGAACGAAGGTATCCGCTATCAGGATTATGACCTTGATGATAATGACGGCATTGATCCGTTCGAATTCCAGCTACTGAAAAACCGCAGCTGAAGCGGAGCCAGACCGGGCAACTTACGGGAGCATTAGATTTGTTGAGATTACACTTTGCACCGAATTCACGCGCAGGTCGCATCTTATGGCTGCTCGAAGAATTGGACCTACCCTACGAATTGAACCGTATGGATTTCCATCCCAAAGACCTCAAGTCAGACGAACACAGGGCTCGACATCCGCTGGGTCGGGTGCCGGTGCTTGATGACGATGATGTCAGTATTTACGAATCCGGAGCGATTGTGGAATACGTGCTGGAGAGGCACAAAAATGGCGGTCTGAAGCCGCCGGTAGATTCACCGGATTTCCCAGCTTACCTGCAGTGGTTCCATTACTGCGAAGGCATGGTCATGCCGCCGGTCAATACCATTGTGGTTCAGACCGTTTTGCTGCCACCTGAGCGTCGTGATGAAAAGGCGTTGGAGCAAGCCAAGCGGCTGCTTACCAAGTCGTTGGTTGCTGTGGAAGAAGCCCTCGCGGGCAAAGATTATCTGATTGGTGATTTTTCAGCTGCGGACATTATGTTGGGGCATGCGTGTTTCATGAGTAACCGACTGGGCTGCGTGCCGGACGAGATGGTAAACCTGAAAGCTTATGTCGAGCGTATCGCCGCGCGGCCCGCGTTTCAAAAAGCGATCAACAGCTAAACGCTTAGGAATCGGCGTTGGCAACGTCCACCAGAAGTCCGGTAATCGCCCGCGGTAATTGAGTGGCTACAATTGGGGCGCCGCTGCTCAATTCGTCGCTGCGGATCAGAATGCGATAGCCGTCAGCCTCACTTTCAAGTTCTCCCACGCGCTGAATTGTGTGCCCGACCAGGCGATTGTCAACCACGCTATAGATACGATTGTTGTCGTAAATTGACTGTACAGGCACTGCAATGACATCAGTCTGTGCGGGCAGCTCCACGGTGAGATTGAAGACCCGCCCCAGTAAGGTTTTGCTGGCTTCTGCTTGCGTGAAAGTGAAAAACGCATCCATGCCAGTCTGACCCTTGCTCACCTTGGCAGCCAGGCGGGTGAGGATTAAACGATGTCCAGCTTCAGTGGTGGCAAAAACCGTATTCTGCAGGCTTGGTGTGGAGAATTCTCCGGCATAATTTTCTGGAACCTGTACACGTACTTCAAAAGTCTGGCTATCAGCCATTTCGATCAATGGCATGCTGAGGTTGCTGTGATCTCCGGTGGCGGCCAGCACGGCCAGCACCGGTCCATCAAATGGAGCGCGTATCTGTGTTTTTTCCAGGTCCAGATTCGCTTTTGCAAGCAGGGCGCTGGCCTTGGCTACGCGAGCTTCATGTGCCGCTATTTCATTGGGAAGATTAGCCAGCTGTTGCTGGTGGGCGCGGTAGTCGATGGCAGCCTGGTCTGCCTGTGCCCTGACTTCGTCTAACAGACCTTTTGCGATGAGGCGTTTTGTCATCAGGTCCTGGTGGCGAGCAAGCTTAGCGTTGGCTACGTCCAGTTTGGAGGCGAAGTGTTCTCTGTTCATTTGTTCCAGGTCGAACTGGTTACGCATACTGGCTAAGCTGGCTTTGTGCTGAGCAAGCTCGGCTTCTCGCTCAAGTACCAGCAGCTTGCTTTCGCGGTCATCAAGTTGGACCAGAAGGTCGCCTTGTTTAACCCAGTCGCCTTCCTGTACGGCAACTCGCTGAATGCGCGCAGTTAAGTCTGAGCGTAAGTGCGCAATACGATTCGACTCCAGACGTCCAAATGCTGAAAAGCTTGGCTTAAGCGTTTGCGGTTCCGCAGATGTTATAGACACCGGCCAGGCTTTCTCTACTGGCGTAGCAGGCTCTGCGTTTGGCCCGGTGGCAAATATCGACACACTGGTCAGTGCAGCGCCCACCAGGATGCCAAGTGCGATAAATAGCTGCTTTTGTCTAGGCGTGCGGGGTAGGAAGTTCAGGCGTATTGGCGATTTCATGTTTTTTTCCAGACAGTGTTTGGACAGTAGTGGTAAGGCGTGTGCTTGCCTGTTCGAGAAGTAGAATAAGAGCGGGTACAACAATCAGCACTAACAGTGTCGCCAGGCTCAAGCCAAAACAGATGGTGATGGCGATAGGGGCAAAGTACATCGACAGGGTTGAGCTTTCGAACATCAGCGGCAGTAGCCCGGCGATGGTGGTGAGAGAGGTCAGGATGACCGCGCGAAAGCGTGATTGCACCGCCATACGCAAGGCTTCGACAAGCGAAGTGCCGTCATCGATGTGGCGGCGCAAAAAGCTGATCAATACAATCGAGTCGTTTACAACAATTCCGGTCAGGGAGAAAAAGGCCAGCAGTGACATGGCGCCGATATCCCAGCCGGTCACCCAATGTCCGAGGACGGCGCCGGTAAGCCCGAAAGGAATGGCGGCCATGATTGCCAGAGGCCACAAATAAGAAGAAAAAACCCAGACCAGAATCAGGTAGATAAGCCCCAGCGTCAGCAGGGCGCCCAGGGCCATGGTCTCGAGCATTATTTTGTCCTGTTCCGTCTGGCCGCCCAAGCCAAATGTCAGGCCGTGGCGGTCAAGGAGTTCCTGCAGACGATTTTCTTCAATGTCGCTGACAATAGACATGGCATTATTCACGGCTTCGTTTACGTCGGCAGAAACAGCAACGGCCTGTTGGGCGTCGGAGTGTCGAATGACATCGATGCCGCGTCGGTTGTAGAGGACCGCAACGTTAGCAAGCGGCACATACGCTCCGTCGTCCGTGCGTATGGGGAATTTCTGTAATGATCCGAGGCTTTCGCGCTCGTGATCAGGCAGCATGACGCGCACCTCAAGTTCATTGTCGAGTTCGTTGAATATCTGCACGCGCTCGCCAGAGTAGGCCGCGCGAAGCTGGCTGCCAATGCGCTCGGCGGTCAAGCCCAGGGCTCGACCACTGGGGGTCATTTCAAAAATGATCTGGTCTTTGCCGTAGGGAAGGTTGTCCGTGACATTGGACACCCCGGGGTAACTCGACAACATCGTCGAAAGATCTTCTGCACCCTGCTTGAGTTTTTCTGTGTCGTTGCCGCGAAGAATCAGGGTTATATCCGGCTGCCCGTTATTAGCACCGCCGTCAACGGCGATAGTCAATTGCTCAACGAAGGGTGGTTTAGTGACCAGGCTTGTCCACAAGTCGACAAAATCTGCCGGGCTTGTATTGCGCTGTTCCTCAAAGGCGTACTGTACATTTACGGATGCATATTGCTCACCCTGCAGGCGGTCGTTGTTGAACCAGGCACGATTGTAGCGGGCGGTCCAGCCCAGGACATTCTGTTCGCCGGTTTGTTTGTTCGCCTCAACGAGGGTGTTTTCCAGATGTTCTACGAACTCGAGTTTCTGTTCGTCAGTGGCTGAGCCGGCATATTCCACGTTGGCGTAGGCGGATTCAAAGTCGAAGCCAGTGACCAGATTGAAACCCACGTGCTGGGATGCCACCAGCGAGATGGCCACTAATACGCCACCGAATGCCGCGCACAGGGTGGTAGTGGGGTGGCGCAGCGCTTTGTCCACTAAAGGCATGAATCTGTTGTCTCTGAAATGCGCAAATCCTGCCTCAAATCTGATTCGCCAAGCGGGCTTTTCCTGCACGCTCACCCTGGCCAGGGAGTGTCGCAGATGTCCGGGTAAGACCAGAAAACATTCAATCAGTGAAGCGACGATCACACACAACAGTACGGTTGGCAGTGCAAGCACCATATCGCCCATCATGCCGCCCATGATCAGTAAGGGGATAAATGCTGCCATAGTGGTTAAAGAAGAGGTCATGACGGGTAGAAACATGCGTTGCGCGCCAGCAACGGAGGCGTCGGCGGCTGACATCCCCTGTTCGTGATAACTGACAATATCCTCTCCGACAACAATGGCATCGTCGACCACAATACCCAGTGCCATAATGAAGCCGATCAGCGCAACAATAGATATGCCGTAGCCAAATAAGGCATAGAACATCGCCAGCCCCAGCATGAAGCTGACAGGTATGCCCACGGTCACCCAGAAACCGGCACGTGCGTTAAGAAAAAGAAACAGCACAGCAACCACCAGCAGCAAACCTGACATCCCGTTTTGCGCAATCATTTTGAGCTGGGTGCCGAGCAGGGCCCAGACGTTGTTGATTTCTTTTACTTCAACCCCGGCAGGCAGTGTCTGGCGAATATCTTCCATCCACGACTTAACAAGTTTGTCGGCCGCGTATGCATCAGAGCTGGTATCGCGCCACAACATCATTTCAATAGCTACTCTGCCTTCGCTGGTCACGCGCGGCTGTCCCTCCTGGGGGCGGCGTACAACGCTGGCAAAGTCTTTTAAACGTAACAGCTGCCCTTCAGATTCAAGTTGCAGCTGTTCAAACGCCAGTGGATCTCTGCGTTGATCCAGGCTGCGTAACTGGTGTGAGCCCTGACCACGTCCAACGGCGCCGGCGGGGACGTCCTGGCTGACCCGTCCTACTTCCGCAGCGACATCCTGCAGGGTAAAGCCCAGCTCCTGCAGACGTGAGCCACTGACTAATATGGCAATTTCTTCGGTAGGCAGGCCGTCATACTGAATACCTTCGATACCTCGACGTAGAAGGTCTTTTTCAAAACTGCGCACGAGTGGAATCAGTTCTGCAAGGGTGCCGTCGCTGGTGACCAGCAATGTTGAAACCGGTTCGGTATCAATTAAACGGGCAATTTGAGGAGGTTCAATATCACGTGGAAAGTTGCGGATGTTGGCAACACGTTGTTTGACCGCATCCAGGGCCAGAGTCATATCTGCGTCATAGTTAAATAACGCCTGGATGTAGGTGTACCCGTTAACGGTGCGAGATGCGAGTTTGTGAAGATCTTTAACCGTTCGCAGCTGCTGCTCAATGGGCGTGGTAATCAGCGCTTCAATGTCTTCTGCGGCAGCACCGACCCAGGTCACCTGCACGGATACGAGTGGAAAATTTGCCGGTGGATCCAGCATGGTGGGCATGCTGCGTGCAGCCCAAACGCCTGCCAGGATCATCAGTATCATGACCATGTTGGCGGCCACTTTGTGCTGGGCAAATTGTTGTATCACTGTTCCTCCAACAGATTCCGGGGTTACCTTGTCAGTCGCCCGTATGACAACTGAGGGTTACAGAATCTGTGCCAACTCTAGAGTCGGCCTGCAGAGCCGTTTAGTTTGGTCTGTAGAGGAATTTTTGTGCAGACAATGCAGAAGTACTTAGCCTATCTGGCCACAAAGTGGCCAGATAGGCCCGCTGTTCAATCAGATAAGCTCAGTCCGATGAGCCCGGCATTGGCGCCCTGGCCAGTGGCTAGAACCACATACTGTTTGCCATTGCTCATATAGGTCATGGGTGTACCCCATGGCCGCAGGGGTAGTTCAATCTCCGCAACAACCTGACCGTTGGATTTATTAAACGCACGCAGGAGGTTGCGTTTGCCATCACCCTGGCCCAGAAACAGCAGCGTATCGGTAACGACCGGACCGGTGCCGGACCCGCCGAGTGGGCCTGGGTCAGCCAGGCCCAGGTCGATCACCTTCTGCCTCGGCCCATCACCGTTGGGTACCATCCAGGCGTGGTTGCCGGTGGATAAATCGATGGCCGTGATGCGGCCGTAGGGCGGTTTTGTCAATGGTAAACCTTGCGGCCCGGCAAGCCGGTTGATGCTTGCGCTGCGGACATAGTTGAAGTTGGTTTCATCTGGGTTGCCTTTGCTGAGTTTGACAACCATCGGCCCCGTCACGGACGGGACGTAAAGCATCTGGGTCTTAGGATCAAAGGCGGCCCCGGACCAGTTCGCGCCGCCGCCCCAGCCGGGTACGTTAATGGTGCCTTTCAAGCTGGGTGGTGTGTACAGCGGACCGTAGTCATAGGCGCTGATGATCTGTTCGGCTTCTTTACGCAGCGCCGGGCTGAAATCAGTGAGGTCATCAATCTGCAAACCCTGGCGATCAAAGGGCGCAGGTCTGCTGGGAATAGGTTGTGTAGGAGAAGTTATTTCGCCGGGCACCTTTGATGTTGGCACTTTGGTTTCGTTGATGGGCCAGACCGGTTCGCCGGTGACGCGATCAAACACGTAGACAAACGCCTGTTTGGATACCTGAGCAACCGCTTTGATGGTTTTGCCGTCAACGTTGATGTCCACCAGCGTCGGCGCAGCGGGCAGGTCGTAGTCCCATAAACCATGGTGCACCATCTGAAAGTGCCAGACCCGCTCACCGGTTGCGGCGTCCACGCACACAAGGCTTTCGGCAAACAGATTCTGTCCCAGGCGGTGACCACCGTACCAATCGTTTGTTGGCGTGCCGGTAGGCAGGTAGACATAACCCAGTTCAAGATCAGCACTCATGCCGGTCCAGACGTTGGTGTTGCCACTGTATCGCCAGGCTTCATCCTGCCAGGTATCTGCGCCAGGGGTTTTGCCCTGGGGGATGGTATGAAACATCCACGCCTGTTCCCCGGTGCGGATATTGAACCCGCGCACGTGTCCCGGCGGCATTTCTTTGTTGCGCGGACCATCCATGATTGAAGAACCCACCACCAGGATGTCTTTGACAACAATGGGCGCGGAGATCACAGAGTACAGTTTGCGGTCAACCGCTCTGCCTAACCCCAGTGTCAGATCTGTACGACCGTTATCCCCAAAATCTGCCACGGGTTTGCCGGTTTTGGCGTCCAGCGCCCATAGGTAGGCATTGTTGGTTGGCATCAGGATGCGCTCATCTTCGCTGTTTTCAGCGTCCTGCCAATACGCCACGCCACGATGATTGAAACCCAGGTTAGTCGGCCTGCCTTGCGCGTAGGAGCGGGTATCAAACGTCCAAAGGGTTGTGCCGGTATCCGCTTCGATGGCAGCAACCTGTCCGAGCGATGTGCTGATAAACAGCCGGTTGCCTATTTTCAACGGCGTTGATTTGAAACCCCAGGGGGTTAAGGCACGGTTAGCTTCAACAATGGAGTTGTCCGGAGATGTCCATTGCCAGGCCAGGCTTAGTCTGGCTGCGTTAGACGCGTCAATCTGGTCCAGCGGTGCGTATTTGGAGCTGCCTGGATCGTTGCCGTAGGTTGGCCATTCGGATGCGCCGATGGGTGTTGCCGCCGATGTCATGTACAGGCTCAGGCTGCACAGCCAGGCCAGGTGTAAGCGAGGGGTTCGAAAGCGCATGGCGTTACCTTTGTCGGCTAATTTATTTTTGTTTCTGCAGTTCTACCCAGTTCAATCACACCGAGTTTGCCGTCTGCGTTGGTCAGCGTGGTAACCGAGCAGTTGTCCGGCGCAAATATGCGCATCCTGTCGTCGCTCTGAGCGGCACCCACCGCCGCATTTATCGCGACATAGTGGCTGAACATAACGCAGTCTTCTTTAAGATCCAGAAGGCAGGCCACCAGATCCTGCTGCCATTGCACAAACTCTGGCGCCAGCTCACTCCATGTGCCCTGCATGGCGTTCTGCAGCCACGCGGCGCGTTCGTTCAGATCTTCACTGGGAGAGGGTATCTCCGCGACGCGTTTTTCAATAAGGATGTCTTTCTGCCAGTGGGCCGCAAGCGGTTCTGCGGTCTGATAGGCGCGCGCCAGCGGACTGGAAAAAATAGTCACAGGACCATCGCTCACCAGGTCGGTGGCAAGTAACTGCGCCACATTTGCGGCCTGTTTTTTTCCCAATTCACTTAAACCGGGATCTTTGTGAGTGCCAAATCCAGCGGCAGCTTCGCCGTGTCTGACCAGATGAATCTTTGCCATAACTTTCTACCTCTGAGCAGATTAGATGCTGATTTTTATTTGTTGTCCCGTACAATAGCCGGCTTGCCCAAAACAACAGTAGAGATGGAAACCGTGAATGAGCATGCGGCCGACGGTCTAGATATTAACTTAGTCCCCGACACAACTGTCAGTGTGCGGGAAGCATTTGGCATTGATCAAGACCTGGATGTGCCTGCATTCAGTCAGCGTACGTCTTACGTACCTGAAATCGATCCTGATTATCGGTTTGATCATGACACCACCCTGGCCATTCTGGCCGGCTTTGCGCACAACCGCCGCGTGATGATTCAGGGTTACCACGGCACCGGTAAATCGACGCACATAGAGCAGGTTGCCGCGCGTTTGAACTGGCCGTGTATCCGTATCAACCTGGACAGCCACATCAGCCGTATCGATCTGATCGGTAAAGACGCCATCGTGCTCAAAGACGGTAAGCAGATCACCGAATTTCGCGAAGGTATTCTGCCCTGGGCGCTGCAGCATCCCGTGGCCCTGGTGTTTGATGAATACGATGCCGGTCGTCCTGACGTCATGTTTGTCATTCAGCGCATACTTGAAGTGGAAGGTAAGCTGACCCTGTTGGATCAGAACAAAGTCATCACACCGCATTCGCATTTCCGCCTGTTTTCCACCACCAATACAGTGGGTCTGGGTGATACCACCGGTCTGTATCATGGCACCCAGCAGATTAACCAGGGGCAGATGGACCGCTGGAGCATTGTCGCTACGCTTAACTATCTGGAGCACGATGCTGAAGTGGATATCGTTCTGGGTAAGGCGAAGTCTTATGGCGAAAGTGAAGCTGGACGTCGCGCCTTATCAAACATGGTTAGTGTTGCTGATCTCACGCGTAAAGGCTTTATCAATGGTGATGTGTCCATTGTCATGTCTCCACGTACCGTGTTGACCTGGGCGCAGAATGCAGAGATTTTTGGTGATGTTGGTTTTGCCTTCCGGGTGACCTTCCTCAACAAATGTGATGAGTTAGAACGTCCGATTGTGGCTGAGTATTATCAGCGCTGCATGGGCGAAGATCTGGGTGATGCCACCCAGGGTATTTCGCTGAAAAGCGTGTAGCCGCCAATCTCGTTTGTCATTGGTTGAGCAAAGCTTATGAGTGATGCAGAAAGCCCGTTAGAGCCGTTTAAACGGGCGATGACCGCAACCATGCGGGCGCTGGCAGAAGACGAGGAGTTGGACGTCAGTTTTGGCCCGGGTGCACCCAGCGCTCGGGGTAACCGCCTGCGTGTACCTTTACCCGGTATCGGTAGCTCTGATGAAGAGATTAATGCCGTCCGCGGCATCGGTGATCAATACGCTTTAACGCTGCGCCATCACGATGATGCGCTGCATGCGCGTTATGCACCAAACGGTGGTCCTGCCCAGGAGATGTTTCAGTGGATTGAAGATGCGCGTGTGGCGGCTATTGGCAGTTTGCGTATGGAAGGGGTTGCGCAGAATCTCGATGCACGCCTGGAAACCCAGTGCAAACAGGCAGCCTTTGACACCATCACCGCAGAAACGGAAGCGCCCCTTTCTGTAGCAGTTGGATTGCTGGTGCGCCAGGAACTGACGGGTCGACCACTGCCCCCAAGCGCGGAAAATGTGGTGCGCTTCTGGCGTGATCATATTGAATCCCATGCTGGGGATGCCATTCGTGCGCTGAAAAGCAGTATCGGAGACCAGGCTGAATTTGCCACTCTGTGCCGCAGCATTATTGCCGATCTTGGGATGGCTGCGGACATGGATGATCCCCAGGATGGTGATACCAATCAGGATGATATCGACACCGTAGACGAATCCGAAAGCGCTGATAGTGATTTTGCGCCTGAAGATGTCATGATGGACGACGAGTCCATGGGTGAGGAAAGCGCCGACGGCGACGCCACCATGATGGAAATGGACGCCGACATGGATATGGACGAATCGGGGGCTGAAGCAGACCCTGACGAAGCGCCGAATCCGATGCCGGATGAAGCTGGACGCATTGCCAAAGACATCAACTACAAGGCTTATACCGAGGCCTTTGACGAAACCATTCGGGCGGAAGAGCTCTGTGACGCCGAAGAAATGACCCGCCTGCGGCAACTGCTCGATCAGCAATTAGTGCCACTGCAACACACGACCTCAAAGCTTGCCAATCGATTGCAGCGACGTTTGATGGCCAAACAGAATCGAACCTGGGAGTTTGATCTGGAAGAAGGTGTGCTCGATGCCGCGCGTCTGACCCAGGTGATTATTGACCCGGTGAACCCGCTGGCGTTCAAGCAGGAAAAAGAGATGAAATTCCGCGACACCGTGGTGACCCTGCTGATCGACAGCTCCGGTTCCATGCGTGGCCGTTCAATCACTATCGCGGCGATGTGTGCTGACATCCTCGGACGAACATTGGAGCGGTGTTCCGTGCGGGTTGAGATTCTTGGCTTTACCACACGTGCCTGGCGTGGGGGTCAATCCCGCGAGCAGTGGATCAACGAAGGTAAACCCGCAAACCCCGGGCGCCTGAATGATCTGCGCCACATCATTTACAAAGCAGCTGACGATACCTGGGCACGCACGCGTCGGAATATCGGTCTGATGATGCGAGAAGAACTGCTGAAAGAAAATATCGATGGTGAAGCGCTGATCTGGGCGCACAACCGAATCGTGACGCGTACTGAAGACCGTAAAATAATGATGGTTATTTCAGACGGCCTGCCGGTTGATAACTCCACCCTGCTGGTGAATCCCAGCAACTATCTTGAGCAGCACCTGAAATACGCCATCGATATGATTGAGAATTACTCGCCGGTGCAGCTGGTGGCTGTAGGTATCGGTCATGACGTGACCCATCACTATAAACGCGCTGTCACCATCACCGATGCTGAACAGCTGGGTGGCGCCATGACAGAGCAGCTGGCAGATCTATTTGATGTGAATGCCTGAGTAAGGGTGGGGCGCTTGCGTGCCGTTTACAGGCAAGCAAGCACGCCCGATATATAATGCTAAATCAGCGTGTTACGGCCTGCATTCTTTTGATTTCCGGTGGTCCAGCCATCTTACCTTTAAAGCCGGCGCCAGCAGCTTTGAAGTGCTCGGACTGGCCGTGAGCAGCCAATGCTTCTTCGCTTTCGTACATTTCCAGAACAACATAGTTGCCATCTTCATCTTTGCACAGCTGATACATCAGGCAGCCTGGTTCATTGGCGTTTACGGCGTCCGACAAATCCAGAAAAACGGATTCGAATTCTGCAGCCATTTCTGGTTTTACGTTTAGCTTTGCGGTGACTCCGATCATAATCTCTCCCTAAAGTTTTGTAGCCCTGTGAAGAATAAGGACTCGTATGCACCGACGCAATCTACTTGAGCAACTGAGCGACTATCTGCATCGCCATCCCCAGGAACAAGAGACTGTCAGTCGCTTTATCGATTTTGTGCAGGCGAACCCCCGTTGTTTTGAAAGGGATTGCTGGGCGGGGCATGTGACGGGTTCAGCCTGGTTGGTGGATACCACGCGCAGTCGCCTATTGCTCACCCATCACAAGAAGCTCGACATGTGGCTGCAACTGGGTGGCCACAGCGACGGTGACGCGGATACACAGAAGGTTGCGTTGCGTGAAGCCACTGAAGAATCGGGCCTGACTGTGCATTTACTGCGCGCAGATATTTTTGATGTTGATATACACGAAATTCCAGCACGCAAGAATGATCCGGCACATTTTCACTTTGACGTTCGCTATGCCTTCAGTGCAGCTGATGACGCCTATGTGGTGAGCGAAGAGTCGATGGACCTAGCCTGGGTTGAGATCGATCAACTGGAGCAGTTCACGGTCGAGACCTCAATCCTGCGAATGCGGGATAAGTGGCAGCAGCAGAGTTAATCTGTTTGCGCGGTAGAGTTCTCGGGCAAGCCTGATTCGGACATCATGACCTGCTGGATCAGTTTCATGTTGCCCAGAATTTTATCTGCCTGGGGTTGGGTCAGGCCGTACTGAGCACTGGCTTTCAGGGTTTCAAACTCTTTGCCTAAGCTCGTTTTATAGCGTTCGACACACTTCTTCCAACGATTCTCCTTACGCTGGTAGCGCTGCAGCGTGTACGTATCGACGTCCCATTCCGTATGGGTGCTGCCCATGTCGTCAGTGACCTGTTTCCGCTTGCCCGGTGCTTTCGGGAAAACACATTTGTTTTCGGGTAACTGCCACGACAGAGCCTGTTGTACCTTTTTATGCACCTTGGGTGCGTCTTCGCTGAGCGCTGGATAGGCCACGATGAGCAACAGAAAGAAAATGGTGGGCAGAACCGCTTTTGTCACTGTTAGGAGCCTCGTAGTCAAAGAATCGACGTTAGAGATAGTAACCCGAATGGGTGATGCCGCGTCAATGTCGGACATTTAGCTTGTCAGCGATGTTTATATGTTACTTGTAGTAACAAGTGGGTGCTCAGTACCCGAAACTGCGTTTGAGCAGTGTTTTTACTGTATTTGCAGCGATTTGTTACATTGACTTCCCCGCCAACAGACGATTAAATGCGGGCCTGCGGTGGAACTGGAGAGGTAAGACCAGGTCGGTTTTTGGTTTGAATTCATTGCAGATGGAAGCTCCGATCGCTGCTTCGAAAAGATTGATAAGAGGTAAGAAGGGTTACGAGGGGTAATCCAAAGTGGTCGCCGAGACTGCTCACTGTGCTGCGAAATCCACGTCCAGTGAGTTCTGCTGTTTGCCCCAACTGTAATCCTTTAAGCTTTTTGAAAAAAGTTAAGTCACACAAACATGTTTCGAGGGGAAACTATGTATAGATCATCGTTTGGACGATGGGTTGCCGCATTTGCCGTGCTTGCCTTGATGCCGCTCAGCCTAAATACCTTTGCTGCAGAACAGTCTGCAGGCCGTCAGATTGAAGAAGTGATCGTCACCGCTGAGCGGCGTGAAGCTTCCATTCAAGACACGTCTATCTCCATCACCGCTTTTACCGGTGAAATGCTGGATGACTTCGGTATCCGCAACCAGGAAGACCTGCAGAACTTCATTCCTGCAACCACCATTCAGCCTTATGACGCAACCATTCGCGGCGTCGGCCGAAACTTCCGTGCATTAGGCGGCGACCCGGGTGTTGCAACCTACATGAACGGTGTTTACTCAGAAGATCTGTTGACTGCAACCGCGGCGACCTTCTGGGATGTGGAGCGTATTGAGGTTTTACGTGGCCCACAGGGCACGCTGTACGGACGCAATGCGGTGGGCGGTGCCATTAACATCCTCTACAAAGAGCCCACCCATGAATTTGATTACGCTGTGAAAGGCATTGTGGGTAATTTTGGCACGGCTGAAACGTATGGCATGCTTAATGGCAGCATCATCGAAGATAAACTGGCTGCGCGAATTAATTTCAGTATTCGTGATCGCGATGGCGTGATTGAAGACATCGGCCCAGGCGATGACATTGATGGTCTCGGCACCGCAAACGTGGCCGCGCAGTTTTACTTTACCCCTACGGACACGTTGTCAATGAATCTGCGTTACAACGAAATGTCTATTGATCGCAGCATGGGTGGTGCCAACGGTGCCGGCCAGGTTGTTTTAAACGAAGAAGGCCAGCCTTTCCGCAATACCAATGCAATTGTGCCTGGTTATCGCGCGATTGATCGAACCAATACAGACTCAGCAAACTTCAGCGATAATGACTGGTTTGATCCGTCTGCGCCGGTACTCAACTTTACGAACCCGACTACGGGCGCCCTTGTAGAAGGACAGCGTAACCGTTTGGGTGTTGACGTTGCAGAGTTTGATGGATTTCGTAATGCAGCAGCTTCGCTAGACAGCTTTGGCGTCACCAGCGCGGAAAGTGCAGCGCGATATAACGAATGTGTGTTTGCCGGTGATATCTCGGGCGATGATCTGTGTACCGCAACCAACGGTGTGAACAAAGAACGTTTTGACCAGGAAGGCATTCAGTTCACCACAACCTGGGATGCCTCAGATGCTCTGCAGGTGAAATACATCTACGGACACAACACACTGGTCTATGCCCGCACCACGGATGATGACAACACCGCAAGCTTGATTCAGGATCGCCAGTTTTATGTTAATCACGAGGCGACCTATTCGTCCCATGAATTTCAGGTGTTCTATGACTTCAACGACACTATGTCGGTGACCTCAGGTATCTTTTTCTATGAAGCGGAAATTGACCAGCGTGGAGATTACTACTCAACTGTAGGTGAAGATCGATACATCAACCCCTATGTCGATTCATCGGGTATCTATGCACCGATTATAGCTGCGATCCCAGGTGCAATTGGTGCAGGTACCTTCAACGGGGAGATGCCCACTCTGCATTCCGCGCGTGCACTTTGCCAGGATCCGGCGACCCGCCTGCCCCAGTGTGCGGTGAACTACGCAACCCGCAACCCTGCGCCAGCTGAGAACAACAACCTGCATATCGGGCTCTGGGAAGGTGACAGTGGTCAGAATGGTGATCTGAACGTATCTCACGGTCCCAATACCCTGGGTAGCGATCTGCTTTACCATACGGAAACTAAGCGTGATGCATTTGCTGTATATACCCAAGGGGTTTGGGACATCAACGAAGACTTCACCTTGACGGTAGGTATTCGTTATGCAGAAGACGAAGTGGATGCACAGGAAAACCTGTTTCGCTACACAGAATCTGCACCGGGCTTCCTGCCATTTTTTGGAAGCTCTATCTTTGACTTCAACCTTGCTAACGGTGGTCTTGTGGTAGACCCCACAGCGCCTGGCGGCTATCGTGGTACCCGTAGTGCGGTGAACGGTGGCGTTCCAGCTGCGGTCAGTGTCTATCGTGCCTTCAGCAGAACGGACAAAGAAACCACCGGTCGAATTAATCTCGATTGGAACGTGACTGACAACACGTTGCTGTATTTGTCTGCCACATCTGGCTACCGTTCTGGTGGTAACAACCTGGTGTTCTTCAGTGCCACACCGGCTTACGATCCTGAAGAGCTGATTGCTTATGAGTTTGGTTACAAGTCGCAGCTGCTGGATGGTTCTCTGCAGTTGAACGGATCGTTCTACTACTACGATTATGAATCCATTCACACCGTTGCTACCGAAGTCACACCGCCATTGGTTGCCGGTGGTGCGCCGGGTACCACTACTTCTGTATTACCTGCGCCAGGTGCCGAGATTTTTGGTATCGAAGCGGAAGCCATGTGGCTGGCGACAGACAACTTGACCTTGGGCGGCAACTTCAGCTACACACCCAGTGAATACACTGAAGACTTATTCCTGCAGGACCCTGCTGAAGTTAATACGCCAGTATCTATATTCCCAGATGCAAATGCGTTAACACAGAACATTAACGGCAACCAGGTTGTACAGGTACCTGAACTCAAGTACACCGCCTGGGGCAGCTATGCTTTCCCACTGGGGAACGGCTCACGCCTTGAACTTCTGGGTGTATATAACTGGATTGATGAAGTGTACTACTCACCGTTTGAAAGCACCGGTGAGCGTGCTAAAGCCTATGACCGTTTGGATCTGCGGGCAACCTGGACCTCTCCAGATTCACATTGGATTGTGTCAGGCTTCGTGAATAATGTTTTTGATGACATCGGTGTGCTGCAGATTCTGCGTGAAGGTGAAGCGGAAATGTTCCGTCGATCTGCAGGTACAACAGTACCCCGCCTGTTTGGACTGGAAGTGACTTATTCTCTGGGTCAGCTTTAAGCTCAGTTGATGAGTACCTGACCATGAGTCAGGTATCAATTAAGGGCGCTTTTCCAAGCGCCCTTTTTTGTGTCGAAAGTTCGATTTTTCCTTAGCTCAGTTGTCTTAAAAAGACGATTGTGATCTGTTTCTTCTTCAAGTAGTCTCAGAATTGTCCTGCCCAATTTCGGTTACTGTTTAGGTCCTGAGTTTGATTGGTCGGTACGAGTGCCACAATAAAGTGGCGAATTTTGATCAATGTGGAGATCCTAAATAGTGAAAAAGCTATACGTAGGTAATCTGGCATGGGGTGTCACTGACGAAGACCTGCAAAATATGTTTGCAGAGTACGGTAGTGTTGCTTCTGCTGTAGTGATTACAGATAGAGAAACCGGTCGCTCTCGCGGGTTTGGTTTTGTTGAATTAGAAGATGGTGCAGACCAGGCTATTGAGGCGCTGAACGGCCAGGAAATGCAGGGTCGTCCGTTGCGCGTTAACGAAGCGCAAAGCAAAGACCGTGGTGGTCGCGGTGGCGGCGGCGGTGGTGGCAACCGTGGCGGCGGCGGTGGTCGTCCCTTCTAGATTGAGACTTTAATCTAAGTCGGCTAAACCCCCTGTTAGGTGCTTCCTGCAGGGGGTTTTTTGTTTCGGGGCTGGGTTTTTATGTTAAAGCAAAGACTCAGTAAATTTGGATTCCATGCGCAGGTAGTTAGGTAATCCACCGGGGACGTCGGCGAATATCTTCTCCCATTCATCACCAGAAAAAATGCCAGGCATAGCGCTGTCCCGAGTTTCTTTATCTGGCCAGGCAATTATCCAGGTGATGTTCGCTGGCCCAAGCTTGTCCAGCGCCTCACCATTCACCTCTCCCGGGATTTCACCATTTACCCAGAAGCCAACCAGGTTCAGTTCGCGTTTGAGATAGGGCAGGGCTTTTGTTTTAGCCCAGGTTTTGTATTCTTCAAAACGTGTAGGCTCAAAGTGATAGTTGCGTATTTCATAAATCATATCGGCTGTTCTCCAGGAAAAATAGGGCTCAGGTATACAGGTGACAAGCCACGTCACGGCGGGCTGCATCTGGTTTATCTACATCGACTAATGAAATCAGCTGCGGTGTGGTGTGATGACAGATTTCCATTACTTTAGGACAGCGGTTGGCAAATCGACATCCTGCCGGAACATTAACTGGAGAGGGGATCTCGCCTTCAATCGCGGTTGAAGGTCGCTGTCGCTCCAGTTGCGGGTCTGGCTCTGGGTTTGAGCCAATCAGAATCTGGGTATAAGGGTGTTTAGGATTGAAAAACAGCTCATTCGCGGTGCCAACTTCTACCAGGCTGCCCAGGTACATGACCGCCATGCGATCGCTGACATAACGCACCATAGATAAGTCGTGGGCGATAAAAAGCAGTGTCAGGCCCATGCTTTTCTTCAGTTCGTCCAGCAGGTTGACCACCTGCGCCTGTACAGAAACGTCAAGGGCGGAAATTGGCTCATCACAGACTACAAACTCAGGTTCAAGTATCAGTGCGCGTGCAATGCCGATACGCTGACGCTGGCCACCAGAAAATTCATGGGGATATCGGGACATGTGGTCCGCTTCCAGACCCACACGTTCAAGCCATTCAGCCACTGTGTCGCGTACGGTTGCAGAGGGTAGCTGCCGGTGCAGGCGTAACCCTTCACCAATGATTTCGCCCACAGTCATACGAGGATTCAGAGACGAGTACGGATCCTGAAAGATCATCTGCATATGGGTGGCGTGGCGCTGGAAGTCCTGAGGACCATATTTCTGCGGTAGCAATTCGCCTTTAAAGCTGACGCTGCCGCTGGTTTTATCATGCAGTCCAACCACGGCTTTGCCGAGGGTTGATTTGCCGGAGCCACTTTCGCCGACCAGGCCGACAATTTCGCGTTCGCCGATATCCAGTGAAATGTCGTCAACCGCATGGACCCGTTGGTTCGGACCGATATCGAAGTACTTGACGAGGTTCTTGATGCTGACAAGATTGCTCATGCGCCGGACCTGACCGCTTTATTGATGCCGTCTATCTGTGTTGTGTTGTCAGGGTGGTGCAACCAGCAGCGGGTTTCATGTCGCTCCCCGAGGATGTAGGTCTCGGGGGGATTATCCACACAGATCTGCATCGCATGTGGGCAACGTGCACAATAGCCACAGCCCGCTGGCGGATGGAACAGGTCAGGTGGGGAGCCGTCAATCGGGGTCAGGCGCGCATCAACGCCTGGCTTGTTTGTTGGCATCGCAGCTCGCAGCCCCATGGTATATGGATGGCTGGAGCGGTAGAAGATATCGTCGACATAGCCATGTTCTACCATTTGGCCGGCATACATCACCAACACTTCGTCAGCCATGCGTGCAACAACACCCAGATCATGGGTAATCAGAATAATGGCCATATTGGTTTCGCGCTGAAGGTCTGCCAGCAGATCAAGAATCTGTGCCTGAATGGTCACATCCAGGGCTGTGGTCGGTTCATCAGCGATCAGGATCTGGGGCTCGCAGGCGATAGCCATGGCAATCATTGCGCGCTGTAACATGCCGCCGGAAAACTCAAACGGATATTGCTTAGCGCGCTTTTCAGGCTCTGGGATTTTGGTCAGCGCCAGTAACTCTATCGCCCGGTTGAACGCCTGACGTTTGCTGTAACCGCGATGCACGATCAGCGTTTCAGCAATCTGGTTGCCGATGTTCATAGTGGGGTTTAACGACGTCATCGGGTCCTGAAAGATCATACCGATCTGGCCGCCGCGGATATCTTCGCCATTGATGGTTTTGCGGCCGATGATATCGACGCCATTCATCATTGCGGTCCCTGCGGTAATCCGCCCGGGTGGTATCGGTATCAAACCCATGATGCTTTGTACGGTTACGGATTTGCCACAACCGGATTCACCCACAATAGCCAGTGTTTTACCGGGTGCAACATCAAAGCTAACCCCACGTACCGCCTGCACGGTGCCGCCGTAGGTGTCAAATTCAACGGCCAGATCTGTGACGCTTAGAATCGGTTCGGACATAACTACTCTCTGTTGCGCATGCGCGCATCCAAGGCATCCCGCAAGCCGTCACCCAGCAGGTTGAAGGCCAGGACGGTCACGCTGATCAACAGCGCGGGGAAGATCAGTTCATGAGGTGTGGTCAGCATGGTTTTAATGCCTTCATTACACATCGAACCCCAGGATGGGGTAGGCGGCGCAACACCCATGCCAATGAATGACAGGAAAGCTTCGGTGAAAATTGCGCTGGGCACTGCAAAGGTGATGGTGACCAGAATCACCCCCATGGTGTTGGGGATCATGTGACGTAGAACCAGGTAGTTGGTTTTTGCGCCCAGCAGACGTGACGCACTGATATAGCCTTCTTCACGGATCTGCAGGATCTGACCACGTACCAGGCGAGCGGTTGATGGCCACAACAGCAGTACCATCGCCAGCAGCATGGGCATAATGCCGCTTTCACCTGGCCCAATGGCAAAAACCACCTTGAATAAAATCATGAACAACAGGAAAGGTAACGCAACCACAAAGTCGGCAAAACGCATTAAGACCTGATCGGTCATGCCACCGAGAAAACCGGCAACGCTACCGTAAGCAACGCCAATCAAGACGAAGATGAATGGGGCGAAAAAACCGATGAACAGAGACACTCGGGCGCCATGCATCAGTCGAGCGAGCATGTCTCGTCCCAGATAATCTGTGCCCAGAGGGTGCAGGGGCAGCGTGTATTGGGTGCCAAAGACCGGCTCCTCCTCGGTGCCCAACATGCCGCGGGAGATGGCCTCGCGAGGTGCCATGACACGTATCACCTCACCTTCTATCGTATCAACGTGATCGTGTAACTCATTACCGTTCGCATCAAGAGCGACAATGGAATAGAAATAATTGCGTGGCTTAAGATCCAGGCGATCTTCGAAAAAGTTCTCTTCTGCGCCGGTTTCCTGCAATGGCAGTCCATAGGCCCGTTCAGCTCCGATCGGAAACAGGTTCCTGTAAACCCGATAACCTCCGGTCGCGACAGGGTTTTTATCCCATGTCAAACGAACGTATTGAGTGGTGGGTGGCTGCACGAAGTTGAGGCCAGGGCTGGACAATTCGCTGGACGGATACCAGGGCTCGTATTCCGGCACCAGTTGTACCGTTCTGTTGGCAAATGGCGGCTGACTGATCTGATCGACATCCTGCACGGAAGGGTCGATCTGCCAGAGCACAGGGCCAATAAATGTAAACAGGAGTAAGCCAGCAACCAGATACAGGGAATACAAAGCCCTCCGGTTGGCTTTCAGACGAATCCACGCATCCTGCCAGTAAGACAGCGATGGTCGGCTGATACCGTGTATCTGCTCGGTCTGTTCTATTTTCTCAAAGGCGCCAGGGGCCAGTGTTTGCTCTGTCATGGCGCTTACTCCAGCCTGACCCGTGGATCAACATAGCCGTAAATAATATCGACCAGAATGACCATGAAGACCAGGAACGCACCGAAGAAAACCGTGGTGCCCATGATGACGGTGTAATCCAGCTGTTGTACGGCCTGGACAAAGTAACGACCAAGACCGGGGATGGCAAAGATAATCTCAACCACAAAACCGCCGGTAGTAATCCCGGCGATAGAAGGCCCAAGCACGGTTATGACAGGCAGAATCGCGTTGCGTAACTGGTGGCGGGTAAATATTTTCGTTGCCGGTACGCCTTTGGCTTTTGCAGTGCGAACAAAATCAGAGCTGATGATCTCAAGCATCGACGAGCGCATCAGGCGCGTAAGATACGCCATGGTGCCTAGGCCAAGGACCATCGAGGGCACAATCATATGCCAAACAGTTCCCCAGCCGCCGATAGGCAAGATTGAAAAACCCGCAACGTCATTAATGTTTACGAGACTGAGCTGGCCAATCGCTGCGACAACAAAAGAAGGCACCGATATGCCGAGAATGACCAGAAACATAATAATGGTGTCAGGCAACCGATTTCGATACAGGGCAGTTAATGCACCCCACAGAATCCCGCCGGCACCAGCAAACAGAATGGCCAGAATGCCTAAGGTTGCTGATACGGGAAAATGCTCGCGGATGATGTCGTTGACCTTACGATTTTCCTGGGTGAAAGAGATGCCAAAGTCACCCCGGGCGATGTTGCTCAGATAAATACCGTATTGAGTCATCAGCGGCTTATCCAAGCCGTATTTGGCTTCAAGGTTTGCGCGTATTTTGTCGCTTAAAGCTTTATCGCCGGAAAGCGGATCGCCAGGCACAGCGTGCATGGCAAAAAAAGTGGCGGTAGCAATGAACCACACAGTGATAAGACCTTGAACAATACGTTTAAGTGCGTACTTCAGCATGTGGATGGGCGTAATAGTTTAGCGGGTGGCATCAGCTAAGATTCCGTTGTATCAATGTAGGCGCGGGTGAAGTCCGTAGACGCGCCTATAACCCGTTGCTTGACGTTTTTCAGATGCGGGTGGGTCACGAAGGTCACGCCTCGTTCATACATCGGCAGCTGGGCAACATCGTCGAATAGAAGCTGTTGAATGGCGGCAAAAATTTCCATACGGGCGCGCGGGTTTACCGAGTTCTGCGCCTGTTCAATGAGGCGGTCCATTTCCGGGTTGTTGTACAAACCCCGATTATTTTTATTCCAGGAGGCGTATAGGTCGCCAAAGGTCAGCGGATCGTCATAGTCCGGACCCCAGCCCGCAAGCACCATATCAAATTCACCGGCGGTCATTTTAGCCAGGCGTTGTTTGAAGATCTGTTTATCGATTTTCACCGAGATACCCAGTTTGGTGCGCAACACCTCCTGCACCCACTCTGATTGCAGGCTTGACAGCGGATTGTCGCCGCTTAGCAGAATCAGTTCCGGAATTTCTTCGACGCCTAATTCCTGCCTGGCGAGCTCCAGATGTTGCAGCGCTTGGTCGTGATCAAGGACAAGTTCAGGCGCCGGATATTCTTTGCGAAATTTATCTTCAACACCCTGCAGGAAGTTCGGGAACAAGGATTCACCAGGAATGTATCCTGGTAATTTAGTGACCTTGTAAACCAGCTCTTCCATATCCAGAACCAGTTGCAGGGCCTTGCGAAGATTGCGGTTACTGGTGACGTGGTCTGGTCGGTGATTGAAGTCCAGGAAGAAGACAGTGCCGTCCTGGGTGCGCTCAATATGCCAGCGTTGGGCCATGGCGTTGGTAAGGTTTTCTGCTAACAGGGTGGTGAACGCAATCCTGTTGTCTTTGAAGAAATTCAGTTTTGCAGTGCTATCAGAGGTGATGTAACCGATATTGATCTGTTGCAGAGAAATACTTTCCTGATCCCAGTAGTAGGGATTGCGTTCTAACAGGAGGCTGGAGCCATGGATCCATGAAGAGATCGTAAACGGCCCTGAATACAACATCTCCCAGGCGTCTGCACCAAAGCGACCGTTGGTCGAATTGTAGAAGTCTTCGCGGATGGGCAGGTACGTTGGAAATGCGACCAGTTTATCGAAGAACGCTATGGGTCGTTCAAGATCGACAACCAGGGTTTGATCGTCTATCGCCGTGACGCCCAGTTCGGTATATGGAAGTTCGCCTTCGTTGACGGCTCTGCCATTTTTGATGGGGTAAAGCAGGAACGCATACTCGGACGCGTTTTCCGGTTTCAGGGCAGTTTGCCAGGCAAACACAAAGTCGTGGGCGGTAATCGGTTGGCCATCACTCCAGCGGGCGTCGTCCCGCAGCCAGAATGTCGCCTGTGTTTCGGTGACTTCCCAGCGTTCGGCGATAGCAGCTTCCAGCTTATCGTCCATGCTGTTGCGCAGTAACCCCTCCATGACATGTCCTAGTACCATGCCGGAAGAGGCGTCTGTGGCCAGGGTTGAGTCCAGTTGAGGGGGTTCCGCTGCGATGGCAATCGTGATGCTCTGATTCTCTGCATCAACAGCTTTGGCCGATACGGTGCTAGAGCCCACCATGCTGGCCAGAATCTGCAGCCCCCACATGAGCAGCCCGAAGAAGATAACAGTGGCCAGCCCGAATCCTAAGAGCTGCTTACCGGCTGCTTTGGCAAACGATTCTTCGCCGTCGGGCTGGGTGTAGTTCACGTCGCTCATAGATCTTTATCGGGTCTTATGTCACCTGTTTCAGCAGATTACCTACAACGCGCTCTAAATGCATGAGTGAATTACACTCATCGACCTGATGGGAATAAGCGCCATATTTGCGCATTTCTGAGTCGCCGGTATTCCAGGAAACCCGGGATTCAGGATTCAACCAGATAACACGCTTACTGCGGTCGTACATTTCTTTCAGAATCTCAGCGTGAGCTTCGCCATAGTTGTTGCGCGCATCACCGAGAATAATGATTGTAGTGCGGTTATCGACGTCATCCATACACAGTTTACGAAAATCCAGAAACGCCTGACCGTAATCTGTAGAGCCGCCGGCATAGTCGCGCAACACTTTGGCAATGGCGTCTTCTATCTTATTTCGGTTGAAGAGGTCAGTGACTTCTGCAAGATCTGAGGAGAATGCAAAGCTGCGTACTTTAGGCATCACTTCATCGAGGCTGTATAAGAACATCAGCATAAAACGTGCGTAGGTGGCAACGGAGCCGGACACGTCACATATGGCAAAGACCTTGGGCCGGTCAATTTTTACCGACTTCCAATGCAGATCAAAAATGGCGCCGTCGTAGGACATGTTATGCCGCAAGGTGCGCGGTACGTTCAATGCGCCGCGTTTGAAAACTTTCTTGCGGCGGGAATGCATGGTGGTCAGCTTTTTGGCCATCTTGAACACCATTTCCTGGATCAGGCGGAAATTCCGGTGTTCTACGTTAGACAGTTTGACCTTGCGCAGCAGCTCTTCGCGCAACTTTCTGCCAGAGACATCGGCATTGAGTAGAAACTGCCGCTCGACATAGTCGCGCACCTGTTCCCGCAGCCAATCACGGCGGCGTTTTAACTCCTGCCCCAGTCGACGGGCGGGTATGGACGGGGCTTCGCGCAGGTTGCTGATCTCCTGATTGAGATCTGCCAGGCCCATTTCATCCATGATGCGCCGGGTGTACAAACCCTTCTGGGTGAAAATCTTGATTTCCCGCACGCCAATCGCTTCGCCAGCCTCTGCCATCGCGACGGTCAGTTCAACTTTGGAGTTGGACATGAGCAGTTGCGACAATTCGCCGCTGGCTTCACTCATCTCACCGGGGCCGAGATCCTCTTCGGGTTCTTCTTCATACAGATTGTTCGGCTTCTTGGCTTTGCTTTTCTTCTTTTTGCCGCTGGCAGGTTCTCCTGGCGGGCGTTGGCCACCACTACCACCTTCGCCACCTTCACCATCCTGATCTTCGCCGGCTTCGCCATCGCTATCTGCTGCCGCGCTGTCGCGGTCGCCGCTGAGCTCTTCGAAGGTGAAAAACTCGTCGAAGCAACGATCAAAGGTTTCTTTTTCGTCAGATGTTTTAGGCAACACCAGCGACAGCGAATGCTTCAGAAATTCACGATCACGATAGCCCACTAGCTCAACGGTATTCATGGCATCCAGCGTCTCAGCGGTAGACACACGTACGTTTGCCATGCGTAAGGCGCGGATGAAATTAGTAAGCTCGCGTTCCATTATTTATCTTGTTGGCAAATTACTTACGAATTTTGTTAGTGATGGAGGTCAGTTCTGACTCAACGTTTTCGATGTCTTCCTGGAATTTGAGAATGACATTCAGCGTGTCTTTAACCAGTTTGGGTTCCAACGACTCGGTGTGCAGCAGTAACAGCGTACGCGCCCAGTCTATGGTTTCCGAAATAGCCGGAACTTTCTTCAGGTCCAGGCCGCGCAGTTCATGAATGAACTCAACCATCTGACGACGTAACTCGTCCGACACCTCAGGTACGCGGGCACGAATAATACGCTGTTCCAGTTCCACATCTGGGAACGGGATATACAGGTGCAGACAGCGCCGTTTCAGGGCGTCTGAAATTTCACGGGTGTTGTTGGAAGTCAAAAACACCATGGGCGGTTCTTTGTTGGCTTTGATGGTGCCAATTTCAGGAATGGAGATCTGGAAATCGGAAAGAATTTCCAACAGCATCGATTCAAATTCGTGGTCAGACTTGTCAATTTCGTCAATCAGCAGGATGCAGCCATCGTCTTCCTGCAGTGCTTTCATCAACGGGCGGGGTTCTAGGAATTCTTCGGAAAAGAAAATGTCACCAAATTCATGCAGGCGCTTAACCGATTGAGTAAAACCTTTGGCGCCATCAAGCACCTCGTCTAACGCCTCCTTCAACACCTGGGTGTAAAGCAGCTGCTTGCCGTATTTCCATTCGTAGATTGCTTTGGCTTCATCCAGGCCTTCGTAACACTGCAGCCGGATCATAGGCAGAGCAAACATCTCTGCGGTGGTTTTCGCCAGCTCGGTTTTACCGACACCCGGTGGTCCCTCAATGAGGATGGGTTTATTCAGATGAAAAGCCAGGTATACCGCGGTCGCGATCTGGTCGCTGCAGATATAATTGTGTTTTTCGAAATGCTGCTTGAGCGATTCAACCGACGCCGCAATTGCGTTTACATCCGCCATCTAAAAAGATCCCCATAAGAAGTACAGCGCACACAATATTGCACACGCAAAGCCCGCCATTATTCCAGTGCGGCGGGGTATTGTATAGCCAGCTATCACCAATACATTGTATTGGTTTGGTGTGCGGCTGGCGTGTTTAAGGCTGTTCTACCGGCTGGCGAGGTGCGCTGTGCATGCGCATTAAGCCCTCCTGGGTGGTAGAGGCCACCAGATCACCGGCCTGGTTATAGATCAGGCCGCGGTTAAAGCCTCTGGCGCCGCTGGCAGCAGGGCTGTCCTGGGCGTAGAGCAGCCATTCATCCGCGCGAAACGGTCGGTGGAACCACATGGCGTGGTCAAGACTGGCCATCTGCACATTGTCCTGCATAAAACTGATGGCATGCGGCCGCGTTGCAGTATCCAGCAGCGACCAGTCTGACAGATAAGCCAACACACACTGATGTAGTCGTTGATCATCAGGCAATGCTTCCCGGGTGCGCATCCAGCACATCTGTGAGGGTGGTGCGGGAGCCGGATTCATCAGATCCTGAGGGTCTACCGGGCGCATCTGTATCGGTGACGTACTGCTGAAAGAGTCCTGAAACTCCTCTGGCCAGTCTTTGGCCTGTTCAGCGCGTAATTCGCTTTCGTCCACCAGTGCGTCCGGTGATGCGGTTTTTGGCATGGGAAACTGATGTGAGAGTCCTTCTTCCTCCACCTGAAAGGAGATGGATAAAGTGAAGATCGCTTCACCTCGCTGGATCGCCACCACCCTCCTGGTGGTAAAACTGCGGCCGTCACGAATGCGATCCACTTTATAAAGGATAGGAATACGGGTATCACCTGCGCGCAGAAAGTAACCATGCAGCGAGTGTGCATGGCGGCTTTCTTCAACGGTCCTCGAAGCGGCCACCATTGCCTGACCAATCACCTGGCCACCATAGACCCGCTGCCAGCCCTCATTGGGGCTGGTTGCGAGGTAGTGGTTCTGCTCTATCTCGGTGAGATCCAGCAGTTTGATAATGTTCTGCAGTGATTGCATGGCGCCGTGAGTTCCTTGGTCGGTGCGTTGCTAGTACTTGTAGCTTTCCGGCTTGAACGGCCCTTCGGTGGTAACACCGATGTATTTGGCCTGAGTATCGGTAAGTTGTGTAACCACACCACCAAAGCCTTTAACCATCAGTGCAGCCACTTCTTCGTCCAGTTTCTTCGGCAGTACTTCAACGGTGATCGGCGCGCGCTGATTCTCAGGCTGGTCAGCCCAGGCCTGCTCGAACAGGTGCATCTGTGCGAGCACCTGGTTCGCAAATGAGCCGTCCATGATGCGGGAAGGGTGGCCTGTGGCATTGCCCAGGTTAACCAGGCGACCCTCGGACAGTAAGACAATGTAGTCAAAGCGGTCATCAGAGCGGAAGATCTGGTGAACCTGGTCTTTAACCTTGTCCCAACGCCAGTTCTTGCGCATGTATGCAGTATCAATTTCGTTGTCGAAATGGCCAATGTTACACACGACAGCGCCGGACTTGATGGTTTGCAGCATGGCCGCGTCACACACGTCAGCGTTGCCGGTGCAGGTCACAATCAGGTCAGTGTCCTGCATTAAACGCATGTCGATGTCTTCGGTGCGGCCGGTATTGATGCCGTTTTTGTAAGCAGAGACAACTTCGTAACCATCCATACACGCCTGCATTGCGCAGATAGGGTCTATTTCACTGACCCGTACAATCATGCCTTCCTGACGCAGGCTCTGAGCTGAACCTTTGCCAACGTCTCCGTAGCCAACAACCAGTGCGCGTTTGCCGGCCATGAGCATATCTGTCGCTCTTTTCACGGCGTCGTTCAAGCTGTGGCGACAGCCATAGCGGTTGTCATTTTTAGATTTGGTGATGGCGTCATTCACATTGATCGCGGGCACTTTAAGTTGATCTTCGCGCATCATTTCCAGCAGACGATGAACACCTGTGGTGGTCTCTTCGCTGATGCCGTGAATGGTTTTCAGCATCTGCGGGTATTCGTTGTGGATGATCTGGGTCAGGTCGCCGCCATCGTCAAGCAGAAGGTTGGCATCCCACGGCTTACCGTCCTTCAAAATGGTTTGCTGAATGCACCATTCGTACTCTTCTTCGGTCTCACCTTTCCAGGCAAACACAGGTACACCGCTTTGCGCCATGGCTGCAGCGGCGTGGTCCTGAGTGGAGAAAATGTTACAGGACGACCAGCGCACTTCGGCACCCAGGGCTGTGAGGGTTTCAATTAACACAGCAGTCTGAATGGTCATATGAATACAGCCGATGATCTTAGCCCCAGCTAGAGGCTGTTGATCCATGTACGTGTTACGCAAAGACATCAGCGCAGGCATTTCGGCCTCGGCCATTGAGATTTCTTTGCGGCCATATTCAGCGAGAGATATATCGGCGACTTTGTAGTCGGTCATGTCAGTTTCCTTTATTCAGGGTTGAGGGTGGTTGGATTGAGTGAAAAGTTAAGCAGTGGGTGCAAATGCACTCACTTGAACGCGAAAACCATTTCGCTGGGCGAGAAATTGTTGATGAACAGGGGTCAGGCCAGCCTGTGCGGCCCAACGATTTAAATCTTCTGTTTCAAAACCGAGCCAGATATCGGCGCACAGTTCGCTCACCCAGGTTTGTTCGTGGCGACACAGTTCGGCGACCACCAGTAAGCTTTGATCCTTCATCAGTGCGCGGGCCTGTTTGAAAAATTCGGCAGGTGCCGGGATGTGATGTAACACCATGGCGGCGGCGATAAAATCGAATCGCTGGGTGTCCTGCATGGTGGAGAAGTCCTGTTCCAGCAGAGTGACATTCTTAAGGTGGTGCAGGTTTTTTCTGGCTTCACTCAACATTTCCGCGGCATTGTCGATGCCTGTAATCCTTTTGCACATCGGTGCCAGGGCCAGCATCAACGCGCCGTTGCCCGGGCCGATTTCCAGCGCATTGTGTACCGGCAGGTGGCTGTGATTGCGTAAACAATCCAGCACCGTGTTGATATACACCTCTGGGGCGCAGATCAGTGCGGTCTGCTGCGCTAAGGCATCTGCCTGGTGGGCAAAGAAATGTGCGGAACGTTGTACCCTTTGCTGGTAAATCTGCTGCACGTTATGCAGCAGCTCGCCCGCCAGCGTTTGACTGTCAATACAGGCGAACGCAGCCTGGGTGAGCGGGTCTTCCGCGTGGGCGCGCTGGTAAAAAACGCTGGTGCCTTCCTGACGTCTGTTCACCAGGCCTGCATCAGCCAGCTTTTTCAGATGGTGGCTGAGGGCGGGCTGAGGTTTGTCGAAGATGCTGCAGAGTTCCAGCACCGCAAACGAGTTCTGTGCCAGCACGGCAAGAATCTGGGTGCGTAAATGATCGCCCAGTGCTTTCGACAGGCGCACAACATCAACCGCGGCGATGTTGGCGGACTTAGCCTCGATGGTGGGCTGTGTTGGTATGGAGGAAAAGGTCTGCAAAATAGAAAAATGTCTTGGTCTGGATTGCGGGAGCGGCGCATCCTAACAGTCTTGACGGTCTAATATCAAAATATTTTGATATTGATTGCAGGCATGCCAGCTAACCCCTTGCGCATCAGGCTGTGTGTGCCAGTATTCGCAACGATTTTGTTACGGATTCAAGCCCATCGTGAGCCCCAGACTGGACAGTAAACTGCCTGATGTAGGCACCACCATATTCAGTGTGATGAGCGGTCTGGCTGTGCAGCACAACGCCCTCAATCTGTCCCAGGGTTTCCCTGATTTTGATGGTCCCGCACCTTTGCTTGAGCGTGTGCAGTACTACCTGACCCATGGCTTCAATCAATATCCACCCATGACAGGTGTTGATTCATTACGCTACGCCGTGCGCGACAAAGTGGCAGATCTGTATGGTGCCCAGGTGGATGGGGATACCGAAGTCACCATTTCGGCAGGCGCCACCGAAGCGCTGTTCTGCGCGATTGCTGCGGTTGTTCGTGCCGGTGATGAAGTCATTGTTTTTGACCCGGCTTATGACAGCTACGCACCCGTTGTGGCGCTGCAAGGCGGCAAAACAATCCATATTCCGCTGTCAGCACCCGACTTTAAAATCGATTGGAATCAGGTGGCGGCAAAGCTGTCAGATCGAACGCGCCTGATCATAGTCAACACCCCGCATAATCCAACCGGGGCAGTCTGTGGGGAAGCAGATATTGCTGCGTTGCGTACGCTTGCCGAGCATCATGATTTTTATATCCTGGCGGATGAGGTCTATGAACACATTGTGTTTGATGGCCAGGCACACCTGAGTATGTGCCGATATCCGGATCTGTATGAACGGAGTTTTGTCGTGTCATCTTTTGGCAAGACTTACCATGTGACGGGTTGGAAGGTCGGGTACTGTGTGGCACCGCCAGATCTCAGTGCTGAGTTCCGGCGCATACACCAGTTTGTGAACTTTACCGTCAACACACCTGTACAGCTTGGCCTGGCAGATTTTCTGCACGCTCATCCGGAGCATCATCTGCAGTTACCTGATTTTTATCAGCGCAAACGCGACTATTTCTTAACTCAGCTGCAAGGCTCAAAATTCACCTGGCAAGCCAGTGCCGGTACTTATTTCCAACTTATTGATTATGGGGCGTTGAGTGCTGAGCTGGATGTTGACCTGGCAAAGTCTTGGACCGAACAGCTTAAGCTGGCTTCTATTCCTATCTCGGTGTTTTATCAGGACCAGAACTGTGCGCCCAAGTCGCTGCTGCGATTCTGCTTTGCCAAAGATGATGCCACCCTTGCTCGCGCTGGAGAGATTTTGTGCAGCCTCTGACTTTGAGCCTGGTGCAGACTGAGACCTGCTGGCATGATTGCGCCGCGAATCTGACAGTGTTTACCGAGTTGCTGCAGCAGGTGCTTGACGAGAGTGATCTGGTCTTGTTGCCAGAAATGTTTTCTACCGGGTTCACCATGGCAAGCACAGAAGTTGCGCAGACTATGCAGGGTGACGCCGTTGCCTGGTTACACGATAGTGCGGTGGCGTTGCAGAAACACATCTGCGCCAGTGTGGTGATCAAAGATGCTGGCCAGTACTTCAATCGTTTTATCTGTGCGAGCCCAACCGGCAAGCTGTTTACCTATGATAAACGTCATTTATTTCGCATGGCAGATGAACACGAACACTACAGTGCAGGTCAAAATCGACTGGTATTTGAGGTTAACGGGTGGCGCGTATTAGCCAGTGTCTGTTATGACCTGCGATTTCCTGTCTGGCTGCGTAACAGCAACGATTATGACCTGATGGTCTGCGTCGCCAATTGGCCGGCTGCGCGGCAAAGCGCATGGAATACATTGTTGCGCGCTCGAAGTATCGAAAATCAGGCGTTTGTGGCCGGTGTCAATCGCGTTGGCACCGATGGCAACGGCGTTGTGTACGCGGGTGGGAGTGGAATTTATGCGCCAGATGGTGAAATTTTGGCGGAACAGATGGAGCATGCTGATATCATCACCAGGACGCTGAACCCCGCAACCTTATTGTCGTTGCGGTCTTCGTTTCCAGCCTGGCAGGACGCTGATGAATTTCGGCTTGTTGAAAAATAGGAGTACATAAGAAAAGCGATGAAAGTAACAGGAGTAGGCATGAGACGTGCTAAATGGGTGATGATTGCAGGCCTGGGACTTATTGCCATGGCGTGTGGTCAGGCAGATGGTCCGCCGGCATCCACTGGAGATGCAGCAACAACCTTAGCTGCGGTGGAAGAAACAGCCACAGCGCAGCCTGTTCATCCTGGCGAAAAGACTTACCAGAATTATTGTTTTTCATGTCACACACCGGGTTTGAGTGGCGCCCCGAAGACAGGTGATGCGCAAGCCTGGGCGCCGCGCATCGCCAAAGGCGCTGATTTGTTGCTTGCGACAACCATTGAAGGCATCCCACCCGCGATGCCACCACGCGGCATGTGTTTTGATTGCAGCGATGAGGACCTGGCTGCCGCTATCGACTACATGGTCGAAAAGAGCCAGTAGTGAAAAAGATCACCAGAAATTAGTGAGTCTGACCAGAGGGCTTACTGATATGGCCACTCATTGGTAGGAATAGCCCATTAAAATCAAAGGGTTAGCTGTTGGAACGATTCATGCAAAGATTACTCGATCAAACCCGTGGAGGGTTCGATCAAGGTAATTTATCTGGAGATGAGAATATGGCGTACGCGCGACCAGGGGATATCGTTTCCCGACGCAAAGGTCTGGTGATGCATCGAGGGGTTGCCCTGGGTGATGGCCGAGTCCTGCACAACACGCCGTTTCGCGGCGAGCACGTCTGCTCGGAACGTGAGTTTCGTGCCGGCAGGCGGATGTATATCTCAAGCCCTGGTGCAACTGAGCGGCACAGGATGTTGTCCCGGGTGCATACCCACCTGGACAGCGGGCGTGGCTATAATCTGCTGACCAATAACTGTGAACACACAGTTACGCGCGCTACTTCCGGAGATGCCCGCAGCCCACAACTGCATTCATGGGTGCTCGGCGGTGGCTTTGCCGCAGCAACCTTTGCTTTGACCCGTCACCCGATGGCGGCAGCTGCGGCTTACGCGGTGGGCCGCAAACTCAGCGCCAAACTGACCCGGGGAATTCATCGCCGTAAATGACTCAGGACTTTGTGATAGGTTCTAAGTGCCGATAAGACTGGTCATGACGTCTGGTTTCTGTACATTGGCAGCCAAATAACGCGCGGATTAAGTCATGAACCTTCGGGATTTACGCTACCTGGTTGCGGTAGCGGAGCACAAACACTTCGGTCGAGCAGCGGAAGCCTGCTTTGTCAGCCAGCCGACGCTGTCTACACAGCTGAAAAAGCTGGAAGAGACGCTGGACGTGACGTTGATCGAACGCACCAACCGCCAGGTGATGTTGTCCCCGGCCGGCGAGCAGATTGTACAGCAGGCACAGAAAATACTCCGTGAGGTGAACACTCTGACCAGCATGGCGGAGCAATACCGCGATCCGCTGGGTGGTGATTTTCGCCTGGGCATTATTCCCACCATAGCTCCGTATCTGCTGCCAAAAATCTTAAGCCCGATGCGTCGCGCCTTTCCCAATCTGCGCCTGCAACTCACCGAAGGTCAGACGTCGCAGATCACGCGGATGTTGAAACAGGGTGATCTGGATGCGGTCATCCTCGCATTGCCATTGCTGGACGATGCTATTACTGAGCTGGCGCTGTACAACGAGCCTTTTCTGTTTGCGGCGTCCAAAGATCATGCGAAGGCTAAAAAAACGTCGGTAACCCTGGCAGATCTGGAAGACGAAGAAGTGCTGCTGCTGGAAGACGGGCATTGCCTGCGTGATCAGGCTCTGGATGTGTGTAACGCACACCAGGCGGTGGAAAATACCAGTTTCCGTGCGACCAGCCTGGAAACGCTGCGGCAGATGGTCGCGTCCAACGCGGGCATCACCCTGATGCCGAAGCTCGCCGTTACTAAAGGCGGAGGCGTTCGATATATTCCTTTTAAAGATAAGCCGCCGCATCGCATTGTTGGTTTATGCTGGCGCAGTACGTCAACGCGAACCGCTTTGCTCGAAGAGCTGGGCGCCGTGCTGAAGAAAGCAGCGGCGCAGGAACTTACACCCTAACTGGAGAGATCTGCCGCGAGGCTTGCTGCTGTTTCAGCGCTCACATCGACGCTGTAGGGTAGTGCGTCGTGATCGATGCCCATCGCTATGGTTTTGCCTGCTTTGGCGTCAGCAACACTCTGCGCATCCAGTTCGAAGCGCATGAAGTGTACAGCGGATGCTTTTTCCTCATTCGATCGTTCAAGATCGTCATTGGCGTTAGCGTAGATTTTACTGTTATCACCCACCTTCACCCATACTTTATGCTCGATGCCTGGCATGGTGGTCAGCGCGACACGCCGCTCTTCCGCATCCGGGTATTCGATCATGAAGGTGGCTTTCCAGTTGCTGCCGTCAGGTATAAGCGGATTATAAGCGCCGAGTTCTTCTTCTATTTCCGGGCCCGTGAAAATCTTTTCTATACGCAACATTTCCTGCACCTGGTATTTCATGGTGAGGGCGTCTTCAAAATAGAGCGTGGCATGATCGCCCAGGCGTACCTGGCGGTTTTTCTTATGTGCGAGCACTTCTGTGCGAAAGTCACTGCGTTTCTCTGAGTACTCTTCCAGGCTCCATAAATCTGCGCGAGCCAGTTTTTTATTAGATTGCATAAGCTTTTCTTACCATAGATAGAGGATGTTGGGGTTCCTGCTCACCTTCCATGCCATGGGCTATCAGGCGCCCAGCCATGGGACAGTCAGAACCGAACGTATCGGGTTCTGCCTCAGTGACCCGGCGGACCACCGGGCGCGCAATTTTCATCGCTTTTTCGTAGGTTTCTTCTTTTACGGCGTAGGTGCCGTCATGGCCTGAACAGCGCTCTATCGCGGTGACTTCTGTATCTGGAATAAGTTGCAGGAAATCGCGGGTTTTCATGCCGAAATTCTGCACCCGTTGATGGCAGGCCACATGATAGGCAACTTTGCCGAGACTGTGACTGAAGTCTGTTTTCGCAAGCCCTGCTTTGTGGCGCAGCATCAGATATTCAAAGGGATCAAAAAAGTGCGCCTTGATGTTTGCGATATCCTTATCTTCCGGGAACATCAACGGCAGTTCCTGTTTGTACATCAGGACACAGGAAGGAATCGGCGCGATGATGTCATAACCTTCTTCAATGGCCGCGAGGAAGGTTGGCAGATTGGCGTCTTTTAAACTGGCAACTTTATTCAGGTCACCCAGTTCCAGTTTGGGCATGCCGCAACATTTAGCATCCTGCAGAACTTTGACGCTGACACCGTTGTGCTGCAGGACGGCAATCATGTCTTCGACGACCTGCGGCTCGTTGTGGTCGCCGTAACAGGTGACGTAGATGGCTACTTTACCGGTAGTCCGGTCAGTGCTGACAGGTGCTTGCCCGGCGCTGTGGTGCTCAGCAATGCGTTTGGTCAACGGCTTGGCTTCAAAATGCGGAAGTGGCGCATCGGCGTGTATGCCAATGGCCTGCTCGCCGATCTTGCGTAAGGTTTTTGAGTTCGCCGCCGCATTGGCAGCCTGTGCGACACCAGGAATCGAAATGGCGTCAAAGATAGGATCGGTTGAGGTGATTAAACGGTCACGCCACTTGGTGTCCTTTTCTTTAAATTTGTATGATTTGGCACGTAGCATCAGATGTGGAAAGTCTACCGCCCACTCGTGTGGCGGCAGATAAGGACACTTGGTCTCCGCGCACAAATCGCACAGGAAACATTGATCAACCACTTTCATGTAGTCGTCTTTGTCGACGCCATCTACTTCGAAAGTGTCGGATTCATCGACAAGGTCGAACAGGGTCGGGAATGAATCACACAAACTGACGCACCGGCGGCAGCCATGACAGATGTCGAAGACTCTTTCGAGTTCGGTGTACAAATTTTCTTTGTCGTAAAACTCATCGCTACGCCAATCCAGTGGCTGGCGGTTAGGGGCTTCTAAACTGCCTTCGCGCATGATCTATCCTTCAACGGTTAATATGGTTGTTCTTCCTGCAACGGAAAAAAGCCAGAATGAGAGGTACAAAAAGGGCTCGCGGGCGAGCCCTTTTATTTGCTGCGTCGGTGTTTTCCGATGCGCAGACTGCGTTACGCCATTGCGTCCAGGGCTTTCTGGAAGCGGTTAGCGTGTGAACGCTCTGCTTTAGCCAGAGTTTCAAACCAGTCCGCAATTTCGTCGAAACCTTCGTCCCGTGCGGTAGCTGCCATGCCCGGGTACATGTCGGTGTACTCGTGGGTCTCGCCAGCAATCGCGGCTTTCAGGTTATCGCCGGTGCTGCCGATGGGCAGACCAGTCGCTGGATCGCCGACAGCTTCCATATACTCGAGGTGTCCATGGGCGTGGCCTGTTTCACCTTCAGCGGTGGAACGGAAAACTGCGGCAACGTCATTTTCGCCTTCAACATCAGCTTTTGCTGCAAAGTAGAGGTAGCGTCTGTTTGCCTGAGATTCACCTGCAAAGGCGTCTTTCAGGTTCTGCAAGGTATTGCTGTCCTTTAATTCCATAGGATTGGAACTCCAATAATGAGTGGGTTTGTGTTTCTCGCGAGTCACACAGTTAAGTGACTGCTTATAAGTATATGCTTTCAGTTGATAGTGGCTATTTGATTGTCTGAATGGTGGTCATAGGCTGTACCTATCAAATGAGCCCTAAAACTATGCCGCGTCAATGATAATGATTCTTATTTACTTCACAAGAACCGGCTTGCGCCGCGGGTTACAATGCCCGGGTTTGTTGTTCACAGCCTACCAGCGGATACAGTTTATTGGACATTTATCGAGCCGAATTTGTGCGCTTGTTTCGGCTGGCGCTGCCGTTGGTATTAACGCAACTGGCGCAGATGGGTTTTGGTCTTGCAGACACCATAATGGCGGGCCGTGTGAGCTCTGTGGCGCTGGCTGGTGTGGCACTGGGCACGGTGGTGTTCTGGCCGCTGATGTTTCTGGTTGCGGGCATCGTTATGGCTATCACCCCAACAGTCTCTCAACTGCGTGGTGCGGGTCAGCTTGATGTGGGTGGTGAAATTGTTCGGCAGGCTATGTGGATCGCCCTCGTCGGCGGCATAGTTCTGGTTGTTGTGTTCCGCAACCTGGACCCTTTTTACCACTTGATTGGTGTTGATCCTGAGGCGTTGCCAGTCACCAGGGCTTATCTACTGGCGATGAGTTGGGGGGTGATCCCCGCACTGTTCTATTACTGTCTGCGCTATCTCTGTGAAGGTTCCGGCTGGACGATGCCTGCGCTTCTGATTACCGCATCTGCTCTGTTGCTGAAACTGCCATTAAATTACTGGTTCATCTACGGTGGGTTTGGTGTGCCGGCTATGGGTGGTGAGGGTTGTGGCTGGGCGACAGTGATTGCTCTGTGTTATCAGCTGCTGGGTATGTTGCTGGTGGTGCGTTTCTCACGGCTTCGCCAGGCCGGCTTTTTTGAGCGCTTCTCCTCTCCAGACCTTCGTGCCATCTGGCGCTTAGTTGTTTTGGGTGTGCCGATCGGCTTGGCCACTTTCCTCGAGTTTTCTCTGTTTTCATCTCTAACCCTGATGATTGGACGCTTAGGGGTTGAATCTGTTGCCGCGCATCAGATCGCCAGTAACGTAGGTGTGCTTGCCTTCATGGTGCCCTACGCTTTAGGCATGGCGGCGTCTATTCGAGTGGGAGAAAATGTTGGCGCGGGTGACCTTGCCGGTGCCCAGGTCAGTGGGTGGGTGGCGCTCGGTACCTCGTTAGTTTTTGCGTTAGTGGCTGCGCTGACCTTGGTCTTTGGTCGCGACCTTATTGCGTCCTGGTACAGTACTGAAGCTGCGGTTGTGGCGCTGGCAGCACAGCTGATGATCTTTGTCGCCATCTATCAGCCGTTTGATGATCTGCAGGCAACCGCCATGGGGGTGCTGCGAGGCTTTAAAGATACCCGTCGACCTTTCCTCATCGCCGTTATGAGCTATTGGCTCATTGCCTTTCCAGTCTCCTGGACACTTGGCTTTGGTTATTTTGAATCCCTGGATTACGGCGTTTATGGGTATTGGGTCGGGTTGATTGTCGGGTTGGCTATTGCGGCGGCAGCCCTGCTTGGGCGTTTCTTCTACCTGATACGTCGACCTGAAAGGGTCAAGGCATTGGCCGCGGCCTGATGGAGTTGTGGCTGGCCATCACTTTAGTCGCTGCGTTTCTGCAGAATGTGCGTTCTCTGCTGCAGAAACGGTTAACCGGTGCGTTGTCTGTGAATGGCGCGGCTTATGTTCGTTTTCTCTATGCCCTGCCGTTTGCCTGGATGTATGGACTGTGGCTCTGGCAGGGACAATTTGAAGGCTTGAATCCCGAGTTCTGGTTGTACGTGCTGACCGGTGCGGTGGCGCAGATTGTCGCAACTGCCTGTCTGCTGCAGTCGTTTACCACCGGTAATTTTGCCGTAGGCACAGCCTATTCAAAAACAGAAGCTGCACAGGCGGCATTGTTCGGGCTGGTTATACTCAGCGACACCGTTAGTCTGTGGGTTGTTGCCGGTATCTGCTTAAGCCTGGCGGGTGTGGTGTTGTTGTCCGGGCGGGTGGGTCTGGCGGATCTGCTGAAACCCAACAGGGCCATGTGGCTTGGTCTGGCGGCCGGCGCTGGATTTGCGATTTCTGCGATTGGTTTCCGCGGCGCAAGCCTTTCGTTGGATGCGGGCACAGTGCTGCAGCGAGCAGGACTTACCCTGTTGGTGGCGCTGACTTTGCAGACGCTGATTATGGGTACTTATCTGCGCCTGCGCGAGCCTGGTCAGATCAGCAAAGCTTTATCTGCCTGGCGGGTGGCGTTGTGGGTAGGGGTTATTGGTATGGTCGCTTCGGCTGGCTGGTTCACTGCCATGACGCTGCAGAATGCCGGCGTCGTGCGCGCAGTTGGCCAGATTGAACTGCTGTTTACGGTGTTCACGTCGATCTGGCTGTTAGGTGAGCGTTTGCATCGACGCGAAGTGCTTGGGATGATCCTGGTGGTGAGTGGGATCTGGTTGTTGATTTAGGAGAGATGATGGCGGTGCAAGAGACGGACCGAGAGGCAGTGGAATCAATTGTTCACGAAGGCTGGGCTGAGGTGGTGTTGAATCGGCCAGAACGTAAAAATGCCATCAATGGTCCGCTTGGACTGGCTCTGGCTGCACGCCTTACGGAATTGGATGAGCGCGACGATGTGCGCGTCATTCTGCTGCGTGGCGCGGGTGGCGCATTCTGTTCCGGTCTGGATCTCAAGTCGTTTAATGAAGAGCCGCCGCCTGCCTGGGTTGCTGAGTTCCAGCAGATCTGGCGGGGTGCACATCGAAGCCTGTTTAACTGCCGTAAGCCTATTGTTGGTGCGCTGGAGCGTTATGCGATTAATGGCGGTGCTGCGTTGGCGATCGCTTGTGATTTGCTGGTTGTGGGCGAGACGTCGTTCCTGCAGGTGGGTGAGGCGCAGATTGGCATGGCCGCCCCCTACAACCTGGCCTGGCTGAGTTTGCGCCACAGCGAAGCGGCGATGGCTGAGTTGGTGCTTGTTGGCGACCGACAGGCGGGGCCGCGTCTGGTTGAGCTTGGTTTTGCGCAACAGAGTGTGGCTGACGATCAGGTGCTGACTGCGAGTAAAGCATTGTGTGAGCGCATGGCGACCTTCCCGGAGGGTGGGCTTGCGCAGATTAAAAAAGGCATGCGCGCTCGCCTGCAGGTGGATGCGGATAGCTGGTTTGACCAGTTCACCCAGGCGACAGCCTCTGTGTCGGCGCCGAAGCCAAAATCCATGGCTCGGGATCCGCGCTGATTCAACTGGTCAGTTTGTAATGCTCAATGCCGCGGTTGTCGTGGCTGGTATTGCCCTGACCAACGTGATCAATATGGAATACGCCGCTGACCTCGGTAGTAAGTGCAACCTGATCCGCATCGTGCAGCCTGATATAGTCTGACTCAATAAGGTCGTTAGCATCTGCCAGACTGTCTGCAAAGCCAATCTTTTCTGCGGCCTCTTGCCAGCCTTCGACAAACGTCATGGGAATGATCTCAGCGGCATCGCCGCTGCCATAACCAATGGTCAATATGCTTTTGCCTGTCACATCCATACCGTTGCGTAACGCATGTTCCATGCCGGCCGCCATCCATGCGGGTAATGAGGCCGTGTACAGGTTGCCGACTTCTTTCATTTCCTGCTCGCCCAGGGCTGTCATCAGCTCACCAAATCGATCTGTGGTGCGGAAGTGTTTCGCCGTTTTGCTGGATATGGGGAAAAGCTCTTCGCTGATATTACCTTCTTCGACTAAGCGGTAAACATCCGTTTCTGTGGTCAGTTCGCTGATTAACTGGTCTGGATCAACATCAGCACCGTGGGCGTAGTGTAATAATTCCTTATGGTCGTCTGCGTCGCCAAGCGCAAGGGCTAACAGGAATGTGAATGCAAGACCGGTCTCTGCCATACGCTGATAAGGCCGGTGCAGAAAACTGGCCACCATGCCACGCATGAAAGCGCTCGGTTTTTCTTTAACCCTGCCAAACAGGTCCCGCGCGGCAGCCAGCACTTCGTCGATATAACAGGTTGTGGAATACTTGCCATTAAATACCGGAAAATCCCGCGGCTGCAGGTAAGGGCCCTGGCTCTGACCCATAAAACGTACAAAAGGTTTGCGGAAATCCGGGCCTCGATAGGCTGAAGCGCTGCCGCTGGTTTCCAGATCCACACTCAAAAGCTTGGCTTCGGGTTCAATAAGCATGGCTACCGCGCCTGCGCCCTGAGTGGGTTCGCCACTGGATGCGCGCTCGTATTCGGCGATATCTGAACAGACCACAATGGCAATACGGTCGCGGCCGTCGGTGGCCAGATAGCGCGTCGCTGCTTTCATGGCGTATACGCCACCCAGGCAGGCGTGTTTGAATTCCGGAACTTCGCAGGCTCGGCTGATGGGCGCTTGCCCCATGTCGCGCAGAGCCTGGTTCACCATGCCTTTAACGATAATGGCGCCAGCGGAATTGTCCGTGCTGGATTCTGTGCCAAGACCAAGAAAACCGATCTGATTGGCGTTGATGTCATATTGTTTGATGAGTCGCAATACAGCTGTTGCAGCCATGGTGTATGCGTTTTCGTTGGCGCCGCGCATGCGGAAGCTGTTGCCCACAACATTGCGGATTTTCTCAAATTGATCACCCGTCCACTGGCACCACTGGGCCAGCTGCACGCGATGTGGAGGCAGATAGCTGGCAAAACCGCTGATGCCGATACCACCAGTTTTACTGGGGCTGTTGCTATTGGAACGCGCCATGCATTCTCCTAAGGGGGTTGAGCAGAACAAACGCTGCAAAGGCTGCGATGCGCATTCTAACTGCGCTGCACGCGAATATCGAGCAGCCAGAGGTGTGTTGCGCGCAGGTCATGAACGTGCCGGAAGGGCATCGGCAAATTCTTCGTTCAGGCGTGTCCATTCCAACCTGAACCAGGGTGTAAACGGCTCGGAAGGGTCTGACAGCACGGTGTCCAGTTCACCCGGGTCGGCCCAGCGCCAGGCGTCTATTTCGGTGCTGTTCGGGTTTGGTTCGCCATCGTATCGCCCCACATACACGGAGCATAGTTCGTGCTCGCTGCCGAGATCCTGAAAATTTGCCTGATAGGTAAACTTATACAAATAGTTCAGTGGCGTGCTGAAGCCCAGTTCCTGTTCGCAGCGTCGTACGACCGCGACGTCCATGGTTTCCCCTTCACGCGGGTGTGAACAGCAGGAATTTGACCAGAACCCCGGCCACAGACGTTTGCCCGCTGCCCGTTGCTGAATCAAAAGCTGGCCTTTTGAATTAAATATAAACAGGGAAAAAGCGCGGTGTAAGATACCGTCTCCATCATGACAGGCGGCTTTGCTCAGGTAGCCGACAGGCTCGTCCTGTGCATCGACCAGAATCAGGCGTTCGGCATCGTCTGACACTATTGCATTGGTTGCTGCCGCGTTGCTGTTGGATGTTGCTGACAAGATGCGCTCGCCGAAAAAGTGCCATTGTAACGAGTTAGGAGGAGATTTATGAAATTAAGTGTAGCCATGGCTTTCAGTTCACATACGCCTGTGGAATTTATCCGCGATGCGGCGCAACTGGCCGAAGCCAAAGGCGTGCATGGTATCTGGATGCCCGAGCATGTGTTGTTCTTTCCAGATTACGCCTCAACGTATCCTTACAGTGAAAGTGGCCGCATGCCAGGAGATCCCGAAGGCCTGCTTGACCCATTTACCGCTCTGACCTACATCGCCGCACATACCAGGACCTTGCGCCTCGGCACCGGAGTTGCCCTGGTGCCACAGCGTCAGCCCGTCTATACGGCTAAGATGGTTGCCGATGTCGATTATCTGTCTGGTGGCCGGGTTGATTTCGGCGTCGGCGTCGGCTGGTTGAAAGAAGAAATGGATAATCTGGGTGTTGATTATCACCAGCGCGGACGTTTATGTAGCGAATATATCGACCTGATGAAGGCATTATGGGCGCCTGGTGTGACTGAATTCAACGGTGCAACCCAGACTCTCACCGCGTGTCATTTCAACCCTAAACCTGTGCAGAAACCGCATCCGCCTATTTATTTTGGTGGTGAAAGTGCAGCCGCGCTGCGACGCGTTGCCCGGCAGGGCGATGGCTGGTACGGCTATGACCTTTCGCCCCAGGGGTTGGAAGATCGGTTACCCGATCTGGAAGGAGAACTGGCCAATGAGGGCCGCAGCCTGGCGGATATCAACATCATCGTTGGACCCAACCATCATCCGGTGACGCCGGAAACTGTGGCCGCTTACAGTGCTCTGGGTGTAGACCAGCTGGTGGTGCCTGTGTTTGCTTCCAATATCGAGAAGTTAGGCTTGCGAATCGACGCCTTGCTTGAAAATTAGGCGAAAGTCAGGGGTAAACAGGCGTCCATGCAGTCACTTAATTCTTACAAACGTCACATTCTCTCGACAGACACACCTGCTCAGAGCGCTACCATGCGGTGCATCAGAAGTTGGATGTAGTCGTATGAAAGTAAATCGTGACAACGAACAGGCTCGAGTCTGGTTCCGCTCCGAACGAGTGTTCCTGTCCGGCAGCAGTGATTGGTACTTCCAGACCCGCGAGGGCGTGGATGTCGGACCATACGAAAGCCAATTTGAAGCAGAAATTGAAGCAGGTTTGCTTAAAGAGCTGCTGTCTGAGTGTGCCGACGCGCGCGCTGTGCGCGAGGCGATCCGCGAATTTGTGCTGGATTCATACGCCATGGGTCGACCACTGACGCCATTGTTCCGTGATGACGTCAAGTTTGCCGACAAGCTGGCGGTGGCGTCCTGACGCCACCCGCAGCCTCCTCTACTGGCTGATTGTTCCTGACGTATCGAACAGCTTTTGTCTTCGTGCTAAGGCGCTCGCTCGCCAGACCTCGTTTGCGCGATAATACCCTTTCGATTGTTTTATGTTTTCAGGCAGCGTTACGCCGGCTTGCTTCGAGTCGGTGTATATATGCACATCTGGTATTACTTGTTTGGCTTCCTCGAGCGTGTTTACCCGAACAAATGCTATATGTTCACCTATTCCGGCGTATGCATAGTGGCTCCATAGTGTTGTCTTGCACTCAGTGCAATTCACGAGAATTTGGCCCTGACCACTTTCGGACGGAATGGTTTGCTCAACGAGACACCCGGTTAGAACCTGCAGATTGCTGACTTCGATGAGTGCATTAATCGCGAATGCCTCTCCTGTTTCCTGCTGGCACCAGGAACAATGGCAGCAGTGCACAACCATCGGTTCATCCATCATTTTGTAGTGAACTGCCCCGCAACGGCAGCCCCCGCTTTTCGGTAAGAAAGCGTTCATGCTAAACCTTCGCCTCCATAACAATGTTGAATGGGCTGCTTGTCGCTACACGGACCTGGCTGAATCCTGCGTCTGCAAGGATTTCGGAGAGCCTCTCTGGCCCTGCTTGTGCGCCCAATGCCAGACCCACCTCCTGGGATTTTGAACACGGCGTACAGACCGCGGTTGAAGCTGCGTAGTACATTCTACTCACGGGATTAACGTTTTGCGAAACGCAGTCGTTAGCGGCCGGTTCGACAAGTAATAAAGTGCCATCTTCAGCCAGCAGTTTCCGCGCATGCCGTGCTGCTCCGACAGGGTCCCCCATGTCATGTAGACAATCCATGAAACACACCAGGTCAAAATCTCTCTCATTGATGAGCTTTGCTTCGCCAACAATAAAGTTAATGTCGTGCTGGCCCAGTTCAGAGCTCGCCCGCTCTTTCGCCGTGCGTACCGATTTTTCATGATAGTCGTACCCATAAAACGAAGAGTTTGGAAATGCTTTTGCCAACGCAATGGTAGATGCGCCATGGCCGCACCCTATATCTGCAATGCGCGCACCCTCGATCAGTTTTTCTTTTACGCCATCAAGGGCATCGATCCACTCGCCTGTCAGAAACGTTTTGTAGCCTGGACGAAAAAGCGATTCACTGCCGCAAAACAGGCGGTGATTGTGATCTCCCCAAGCCATACCTTCACCAGTTCTGAATATCCTCTCAAATTTGGACTCATCCAGCCAAAGCGATGCCGCAACCTCCAGTGCAGGGATTAAGAAAACCGGACTGTTCTGGTCAACCAGAACTGGAATGTGAGCATCCGGGAGCAGGTAGCAATTCGATTCCGGGTTGTATTGCACGTATCCACCGGCAACCTGGTTGTTCAACCACTCTCTTACATATCGCTCATCTGTCTCGGTTTTCTCAGCAACGGCGCTGCTGGACAGTTCGCCCGCATGCGCCATGGCTGCATACAAACCCAGTTTGTGGCCCAGGTTTGTCATGACACCCGAAAACACTGCGGCAACATCTGCTACCACTTGTCCGGCAAAATCTTCAGTTGTTTTAGTCATGGGTGATCTCCTTATTCAGTTAAATATTCTGGTTACGTTTGGGGCGTCTTCGATACAGAGCTGTTCGATGATCTCCTGCGCTGGTAGTACGTCGTTTATTCGGGCGGAACTGGTGCCCGCATAGAGAGCAAGATCAAGTACCTCTCCGGTTGTCGTATTTACGGGCGATGCGATGTGATACCTCGGAATGTCCCAGCCCGCCGACGTTGTCGCAACGATATCCCCTTCTCCGGGACGCCTGCCGACAGGAGGGCAGCCATGCGCTTCCCATTCCATCAAAGTACGATTTCGAAGTACCCGAACACTTGAGTATGGCCAGTCGCCGTCAAAACACGGGGTCAGGACAGCGTCGTCTTCCACAGCGTTGGATATGGCTTGCTGGTAGCTTGCGTGGGCGTTGCTCTCGCTGGCGTTGACGAACCTGGTACCCAGGGCGGCCATGGTTGCTCCAGCATTCAGTACCTCGGTTACGTCTTTCGCGTTGGCGATACCGCCGGTTGCAACAACGGGAATCCTGTTGTCCATGTTAAGAACGGCTTCGAGTAGCGATAACAAAGGCGTTGATGATTGAACGTGGCCACCCGCTTCAACGCCCTGGCAGATTAAGAAGTCTGCGCCTGCATCTAAGGCCATGCGTGCGCCCTCAGCTGATCCGATCTGGATGCCGAGTATGGATTTAGACCTCTTTATCTGCCTGATCTTGTCAGTTGGCATACCCCACGACAGAGTGATTATCGGTACACCTTCTTCTACAGCCGCCTCGATACCTGGGCACTCAAACGTGCAAACAAAATTTACCGCAAATGGACCGTTACACTTTTCAAGTAAGTAGCGAGCAGTTGTGCGCGTTTGCTCCGGGGAGTGCCATGTCAGGGCGATCGACCCCAGGGCACCTGCGTTGCTTACAGCGTTGGTCAATTCAAGGGAGCATGCGCTGCCGATCGGGGCTTGCATGATGGGGTACTTCAGGTTTTTGAATAGGGACACAGCCAGATCTCAATGTTGTTAAGGCGGCCCCAATTTAGGTTCTGGCGTGATATTGTTCCAATCGAATTAATCTCTATGAGATATTGATAAATTGAATATCAGAAATGTGGATCTAAATCTGCTTTATGTCCTGCACATCCTTTTGCAGGAACAAAATGTCTCCAGAGCCGCAACGAGACTGAATTTAACCCAACCTACGGTCAGCGGTATGCTCGCTAGACTGAGGGATACGTTCAACGATCCCCTTTTCATACGTGTAAGTCACGGGTTGGAACCCACAACTCAGGCGTTGGGGCTCCAGGCTGATCTGGCTAAAATACTCCAGGATATTGATCTGCTGATTCAGCGCAGCCCGTTTGACCCGGGTACAAGCACTGCAACGATTCGCTTGTCTACAAACGACTACATGCAGTATGTGTTTGTGGTGCCGGCATTAAAGAAGTTAAAACAGGCTGCGCCGTTTATGAAGTTTGCAATTGTGCAGCCCGAAATTGGCACGCTCCATAACAAGCTCTTAAACGGAGATATAGATCTTGCCGTTACTATCCCTGAATTCACTGATACACGACTGCGCGAACAGGTGCTTTATTCGGATCAATACGTAGCAGTACTTCGCATTGATCACCCGCTAGGCAAAGGGCAGTTAACGCTGGAGAAGTTTATTGAAATGGACCACGGGATTGTTTCCCCAACTGATGCGGACTTCTTTGGTCCAACGGACGAGGCGCTCGCCAGGTTGGGAAAATCCCGAAGGGTTACGGTTTCGACGTCGAGCTTCTTCAGTCTTATACAGATTATTGCTACAAGCGATCAGGTTGCCCTGTTACCCAGGCG